CACGCACGCACACACAAAACACGCACGCACACACACACAAAACGCACACACACGCACGCACGCACACACACAAAACACGCACACACACACAAAACACACACACACACACACAAAACACACACAAAACACAATAACCAATGCGTGTTTGGTTATACAGAATTCAAAATTTAATAATGGCCTAACGGTATTTCAATCAGTATCACAGTTGTTGTCTCCAGCTTTTCTCTGTATCGCCACTCCATGATATTTCTCGAAATTAACTCTATTTTTCAACAATATTGTAATATATAGCATCAATATCAATATTGCTGATTAAGTGTAAGTACAAAAATTACTCCGTCACATTCATGTTTTATTGTTAATATTAAAGTAAGTAATGGGATGTCCTCAGATCTTTGTTTAGCGACAGCGAGACCTAAGATCTGATTTTAACGAGATTGGTTTTACATGTACATTCCTGAAAACATTTTACCACTTAAAGATAATACCCTTCGGATTCAAATTAACTGTATATTTATTCATATCACCTTCATTTCTAGTATATCATATTATCTGTAAAGGGCATTGTGTCGTGCTCTTCTCTCAGCTCCAATGCTGAATTGTTAAGGGTTATGTCCGTAAGATATTAACACAGTAAAGAGTCACTTATTTACTGTAAAAATGTAATAAGGTGTCAAACAGGTGCTTAGGATTTATGTTTAAGTCCCAAAAGGAACAGAGGCTGTGTATGTTTTATTGTAACATAAAAGTAGGTATGTTCTCTGATCTGATTGGTTAAAAAGTGTTGTCGAATGAGCATAACATCGCTGAATTTTTGGGGTCTCATCACCGTGTATGTATACATTAATTAATGGAACTATTTTTGAAATCATCAACATGGAGGAACAGATGGAAATTTACCCTGACTTCCACATCGGAGATTTCGATGAAATATTGAGTGATTGGGACGACGAGACATTTTCTGAGATAATTCAAAAATTTGAAGGTAAATGAAATTTACCTATTTTCATTAATTACCCAATCATAATCATAAATGATGTAATTTTCTTGGGCTTGGCCAAAGGGAAAAGAAAAGAAAATCATTTTTTAACAGAGTAAAAACATTTATTGCAACTCTATAATAGTTATGACTTTCATACACCCACCTACTTTTGTTATTATTAATACTCACAACAGCTGTTGAAGCTGAAAACCGTTCTGAGATGGCCCCTGAACTAGGAAATACAGCCAGCGTTTCCGTAGAGCCAAAAGTTCAAGCGTCCAGTGACCGCTTCGCGTCCCTTGATGCAAATGCAGTACAGGACATCGTGGATGGGAACCTCTCCAAATCTACTGGATGTAATACCTCCTGGGGAGTTAAAATATTTCGACGTAAGCCATTGAAACATAAAAGAATACATAAACACATACCTAAAATTCCTACGCAGATTCGATCAACATCAGCGAGAGTTACCTCCCTTACACCATTGCCATGATAGCAATGTAAAGCGTGACCAATGTGTCATCGCAAAAAATAGCAATAATATAACGAGATTGACCAAAATCTTAACGTAAATTAAATATTTCGTTTTGTAAGATTTGAGATATGTTATGCTAAATGGATATACGGAAATTTCATTTAAACACGACGCCGTAATAGGACTAGGCCCTAATAAAAAATTACTCCCACTTACTGTCACATTTGTACCCTGAACAAGGCAATCTTTTTCACTTCCAGAATGACTTGGTTTCCGAGGTTTTGAACCCAAGTTCGAAGAGCTTCCTGCTTCTCAACTGAATGAGAGACTGAGGTTCTTTTATGCCGAAGTCAGAAATGCTGAGGGAGATCTTTACTCAAAATCGAGTTTTGTTGGGTTGCGTGCTGCCATACACAGGCACATCAGGGGACCGCCATTTGAGCGCAGCATAAACATTATCCAAGACCGGGAATTTCACACTGCAAACAATGTTTTTCTGTCCATGATAAAAAAAACTAAAGCGCGATGGCCTTGACCAGACAACACATCATGCTGCTATCCCCGAAAAATTACGGCGTCGTGTTCACGCACATCTTACAAAACGGAATATTTTAGGTATACGGAATTTTTTCATTTGAACAATGAAATTTCCGTACATCCATTCAGCATAACATCACGCAAATCTTACAAAACGAAATATTTATCTCCTAAATAAAACACGTTAGCCATGCATAACACATGGCGTGATGTCAAGATCCCCAAATCTCAAAATGTTTTGAGCATTAACGTGTATATAAAAACTGTGTTATTTTATTAATGGTGTCATTCCTTAGTTACCGCGTCCCTCTCCCGCATCACCACGGGTACATCCAATCCACTATTGTAACAATCCGTATGTCAAACTCATAAGTCACAGTGCATTATATTAATCAAGCATGTCAGAGGGAAAATGTCGGTCGTTGTGTGAGACCATTTAAGTCTGTAAGTAATCGATCACATATTCTTGTTTGATAATAGCGTCCAACCCAAACATATTTAAGCTTTCACTGTACTTGGTTATCTGAATATTGTATCATTGTGCTTTGATAAATTAATCTAAAGCGTTTTTATCAAAACAATTCCAAAACAAGTCCAGGATACAAACATATTTAAGCATCAAAACCCGTTTAAATTATCGGACAAGGATTAAAAACCTTCCAACATTAGTAACTAATTAGACATCTTCTAGTGAGCGAAAGTGCCTCCTACAAAAATAAATAGAGAAATCATATTATATTACTAATTATTAGCTGAGCTAATGACATGGCTTAGGTCACGAACTAATTTGAATTACTAAACGTTACAATGCCTAGGACCCTAGCTTCAACGGCTACGGAATGCAAATATTCCATTTACTGTTATTTAGATTTTTCGGAACATTAGTTTTTGAAATGCATGACGTAATAGTTTATTTCAGGAACTCAATACATGCTGTTTCAGTATATCCTTGTATCTTAAGCTGACATGTCTGTTACATTGAAAAACATCATCGTTATTCCAACCAAAGACGTATATAAAATCTATACACGTCTTTGTTTCAACACAATGTATGCATGCAATGGAGGACAAGAGAAAAAAAAACGTTTTCTGTGATAAGGGAAGCAAGAATCAACAGTTACTAGAATGTCAAACTACTTTGAATATGAACTTGAATAATAAAGGAAAACATTAAAAAGACAACACTTATGTGCTAGAGTCAGCTGGACTAAATACATTTACCGACCAACACGTAAAGCATATGTTAAGTTTCACGTCATATCCACAACCTGTACATTAAACTCCCTATAGTTATTTTTTAATTAAAACCTGATAGCAATGCAATGCAGTGCGTCAGTTAACAAATATTCAGCGTACACGGGAAACTTCAGTGGTATGTGGTTAATTGGGTCTCCTTGCCATATGTTACTAATCACCTCATACGTCACTTATGTGGTTGCTGCGGTTCAATCCCATTGTGCTTACATCCCATTGTGCTTACATCCCATTGTGCTTACATCCCATTGTGCTTACATCCCATTGTGCCTACATCCGCATTTGCCTACAGAAATTACTGTCGGCTCATTGGAAACTGTGACGGTATTAAGATATTTTCTTTTGAGATCAATGCCATCAATATTAGAGTGAGTATATACTTGTTACTGTATTAACAACAAGAACAAAATAATATAGAACCAATCACATCAATTAACTATATCTAATATCAATGCAATTTAAATTTTAATCCATTGCTGTTCAAACAAGCAGTGTACATCTGTTAATACATATGCACGTATAAACGTTATTTCCTTTAGAGATCAATGCAGTTAACATTAGACTTAGTGAAATGTGTCAATGTAGACAAACAGACAGACAGATAGTTTAATTATGTCTCGCCTCAATTTACATATAAAAAGCTATAAAAATAACATAAAATAAAATAAAATGAGCCACTCCTATTGGGGTTATGAGAGACAAACTACTAGAAGTAGTATAACCATAGTTTAAAAACATTATCGAGGATAAAATTCTGTACAACATATATGCAAATTAAAAAATATATTAGGCTTTATATAAAATATTACTACGCAGCTGCAAAATGTATGTCACCTCCTTTATTTGAATCCCATCACATTGAAAGGTATAAAACTTGATTTTGGCTTCTCGACTCCGGAAGAAAGACACCCATGCAGCTCCTAGATGCCGCTGGACACCTTTTTAAATTAGGACAATAATTTTCTATGATATGATGAGTATTGCCCTAACTATTGTTATTATTTTTCTTTTTTGTTATATTATAAATAAAACATACCCGTGACTTTCATTATGTATCATGTTTTTATTTCATTTCACAAGTGTTTCCCATTGTGCCTACATTGTTTCGTTGTCTCAGTATGTCTCAGCTTATCCGATCTCACAGGTGAAACAGGTCACAGTCCATCTTCCCGAGGCAAGAAAGTTAACTGACTATAAAAGTCCAGTTTCCACCCTTGCCGAACTAAGCTGGTATAATGGAGTTACTTTTTGGCTGGGCTAGCGAGTCTATGCATAGTCCAATCGAAATTGAGCAACGAAATCAAAATCCGGTTTGTAAACTGTCATGCAGATTTTGGTCGAATGCAGGATTTGCAAAGCATGTGCACCGCCAACTCGTTGTCAGCAGTTATTTTCCAACTCTTTTCATGTTTTTAATCAAGGTGCTCACGTGATTGCATTTAAGACCCGTTTTATCACAATATAGATCTTGATTATCGATCATATCGTTCTAACTGGGCGCCGCCATTTTGTTTGAAGCAAATGCAAGTGATTCGAGAGGTGGAATCTGATTGGTCTATAGGAGGGACTTGGAAGGGGCATAACTGGTAATAGTCACTGGTGGCGCTACGATGGAGCCCAGTAATTCCAGCCTAGTTCGGCAAGGGTGGAAACTGGACTTTTAAAGTCAGTTAAATCCCTTGCCTCGGGAAGATGGTCACAGTCATGATCACTCGTGCATCACTTTCTGAGTATCAGACCATATCATTTCAGGATACTGTAGGCAGAATGGAGCTGTAGGCATATTGGGCAGACACCGTTCCTGCACACTAACGGACCATTGCTGGTAATTTAACGCAGTTATATGATCAACCATTGAACTATATGCTATGTTTCGTCAACATGGTAATCTTCCAATTACCAATGACCGAATATTCAGGAGCGTATGAAACAAAGGATAAATTTAATCATACACAATTCCAAGGATAAGAAAGTCTGTGTCATCTATGAACAACATTCACTATTTCACACGTTAGAAAATACATGAAAATGGACCCGTGAAGATCCGGGGTAGAATAGGTCTTTAGCAACCCATGCGTGACGTAAAAGGCGACTATGCTTGTCGTAAGAGGCGACTAACGGGATCGGATGGTCAGGCTCGCTGACTTGGTTGATGCATGTCATCGTATTCCGATTGCATGGATCGATGCTCATGATATCAATCCCTGGATTGTCTGGTCCAGACTCGATTAATTACAGACCGCCATCATATAGCTAGAATATTGCTGAGTGCGGCGTTAAACAACAAACACACATATCCTACGGCTAGGAGAGAATATATATACAGTAAACTACGGTTATAACGAACACGCTTATAACGAACTGACGGATATAACGAACTTACTTTTTGGTCCCGACTATTTGCTGTAGTTATGCTGTATATATGCTTATAACGAACTACGGTTATAACGAACTCAAATTAGTAGTCCCTTTGAGTTCGTTATAACTGTACTTTACTGTATCGCTACAAATAATGTACAGTGCGATCATGATGATAAATAAGAATCACCTCTGACACCAAGGGAAAATACATCGACCTATGACTGTTTCCCATGTCTTAAACATTGATCATACGTCCTCTGTTCAAGTGCCGCATGGTTGAAGATAACACAGTAATGGTCTTTATAATTTATGTACGCTGGGTATGTACACAAGCTACACGTTAACACGACTCACTCTGAAGTCACTGTGGGATACCTGCCACGGATCGATATCTGCTACAATAACGCTTAACTACCATGTACTGTCTGCTGGCTGTTTTACGGTTCGCTTGTTCATGACGCGACACCGTGCCACGTTCATCGCTCTGACTGCATGTAGGTATACCTAAACATTCCCTCATCCGGGCAACAGCTGTGGGTGATGTTCCTGATTCCGCTGGTGTGATATGTAACCCTATTTTCCGGCGACAAACACTACAGGTAGGACGAAAAATAACCTTAAGCTCTCAACATTGGAACATGTCATTCGTTTAGTTCGCGGCGTATCCAGAAGCTTTGAGTGGATATGACAGCTATTGATTCTTCTGGGTGTACAATGGAACCCACCTCCCGGAAACACAGCCTATCGCACGATCACTGGAAATGGCAGAGACAGGATTAACGGGGTTAACATTCATTTGAGAATTATTGGAAAGTCAACATGTCGAAAAATGTGATTTGGTATGACATTTCCCTTTGTAAATATGTGGCGCGTTCGGGTAGCCGAGTGGTTTAAGCGTATTTTGTGTTGTAATGTACTCTATTTTTACCGGGGCGGTCGGGTAGCCTGGAGGTTTAAGCGTTCGCTCGTTACGCCGAAGACCTGTGTTCGATTCCGAGATGGTTACAATGTGTGAAGCCCATTTCTGGTGTTACCCGCCGTGATATTGCGGGGATATTGCTAAAAGCGGCGTAAAACCATACCCACTCATAGTGTCAATTTGTATATAGGAGAGATATAGACATACCAATAAGGATGAAGATTAAACCAAACGTAGGTTGTTATTTATATTTCATCAATAATAATTCATTTCAATCTCGTTATTGTAGATGAGAGAAAAGCTAGTGCTCTGAGGCAGGAGTCTTATCACATACGTTGCATAAACCATCCATTTATTATATATCCAAGCTTATTTTTAGCTCATATAATATGATTTCTACCACAGTACGTACACGTATATTGTATTTAGCATATAACACCGCACGAACAAGGGAAGTATGATATCTCGTTTAAATTGCCAGGTAAACACAACGTCACGATAATAAATAACGTGGTAATAAAAGAAAGCAGATTTAGGTCAGAGGGACACAGTTTTGGGCAATGCAAACAACCTGACTCGATAAGGAAAATATTCTAACTGACAAAGAATGTGATACCCTGGTATCGATGTCCGTTTACATAGGCTGAGAATATTAGTTCCCTATACGCGTGTATGCATATGGGGCGTTAAATGTACCATGCACTTAATGCTGCAGACATGCATGCGTGTATGCATGGTTAATGGTGTCAGCTACCCCATGCTGTCATGAAATGGAGGGATTGAATAATTACTAATTGGTGAGTTAACATAATATCTCAATGTTTAAACTTTACTGTGTGCGGGTGAGCAAGTATCGAGCGTATATGTATATAACAAACACGATGAAAGATTTGGATCGATAAAAAATTTACCATGTAATCGATAGGTTTCTCGGCGGGATAAAGCCAACGGGTTAAAACGCTATCCTTTTGGGTCATTTACAGATCGGGTAGATACTACGCTCAGAGCATGCAAACAAAGATGGCGTCGCCCTTAACTTTAGGCTATGGAGTCAGTATTGACTATCAGGTATGAAGACAAATTACTGGGACAATAGATCACAGTTCAGTTACGAAGCCGTTCTTGATTCAGATCGATGAGACTGATTATGGAAGAGTAACTTGAACGGCATGGTTTGAGTGATATCAGACCGACTATGTCTGTCTCCGTTTTGTTTTGTAGAATCATACAGATGAATGAAAAGTAAATACATTACAGTAAACTACGGTTATAACGAATATAAAGGGACAACTAATAGTAGTTCGTAATAACCGTAGTTCGTTATAAGCATATTTTCAGCATATATACAACAAATGGCCGGGACTTAAACTTAAGTTCGTTATATCGGTCAGTTCGTTATAAACGTAGTTTACTGTACTTAAATCTTTGTACACCATGAATCTTGTCAATGTATTTCGCGTTTATTCCTTATACAGGGTATTTGTCATCACATAACACAATCGCGTGATAACACCTATATCCCCAATATAGGCACGTTTATTTGCTTTAACGGCTATTATTATTATTGGATTGACTTCACGGTATGATAACATTTACTATAAGACCATAACTTGTACTAAAACTAAACGGTTACCGTATTTCCTAAGATAACAACGTTTATCTATATTTGTTAGTCGGTCATACACCGCCTCCGTGGTCTAGTGGTAGAGCGTCCACCCGGAGAGCGGAAGGTTCGGGGTTCGATCACCGGACGTGTCATAATAAAAGACGTTAAAATATGGTACTTGTTGTTACCCTGTCTGGCGCTCGGCATTAATGGGCTAAAACAAGGACTGTTCGGCTCGGAGTCTACAGCATACTGTGTTTGAGTGGGGTATTCATGTTAAACTGCGGCATGGTATCTCAGTGGGCTAGCACTATAAATCGGCATCAGTCCGGACACACACACACACACACACACACACACACAAACACGTGCCTGCACCTCGCTATATAAGTGCAATAATCTTGGATGTGACGTTAAACCCCATTTCACCTCACCTCACCTAGTCTGTCATACAGACCCTTACACAAATATATCCAATAAGTCTAGATTACTTGCAATATCAGATCTATTTTTGTCAACTTTAATTAATGAAGCAAACGTTTAAGAGATCGATAAAAATGCTTAAAACAAGAAATTGAATATATACACTTTTCCAAAGAAGTTGCAGAATAGCCTAGTATTCTTTTATTTACTGTCACGTTCGTAACTTCTTTTGAGTAGTATATAATCTTGATGGCCGACGGACGGATTTTTCATGCCTGCACGTGCATGACCCGAAGGTCTGTCGAAGGAGACATGAAATGTACAACCCGTCTGATGTCTTGATTGGTATATTGCCTCATTCGCCTAGCCATGAGCCAGTTCGCGGCGACGGCCCGCTTATAACATGACTGTGGAGCGGTAAGCTAAATGTCAAATAAAACAACTTGTTCCACGTACGATGATACGAAGCTCACTGAATGTTTGAAAGTATTTCGTGAAGCTCGGAAGACTATGGCCACCGCGTCGCCCTGAAGGATACATTACGAATGTAATTTGTTTTGAAACAGTATTTATTCGTTCATCCACGACAGGATGGCTTGTATCGGCGATGACGAAGGTATGCATTATTGTATTCTTTGCGACAGTAATCAATAGTAAGTTCGCTAAAGTGTTTTACTGCAACGTCAAAACACGCTTAGGAATGTAATGAATGTCGGTATTGATTAACACGATAACATCTCACAAAGAAATTGTATTATTTCAAATAATTAATCACGCTGTCTTGAAGATAATGCAAATAGCAACCACTTCTTATGAGTATGCCACGCAAATATCACTGATCTTTGCTTTTATAGATCGCAAACGCTTTTAAAGGTTTTAAAGAAATTTTTAAAAATATAAATAGATATAAAAAAAACCTTTTCACCTCACAGCCAATGGCTATGTGGAAAGATGCTATATAAATCTATATAGCTCATTTATATACAACCTGAGGTCGGTAGTATATATACACCCAAGAAATAAGAGATTACAGCTTTTATTATCATCATCATCATCATCGTCGTCGTCGTCGTCGTCGTCGTCATTATTATTATAATTATTATTATTATTTTAACACAGTGATGGGGGTCCTGAGGATGGTGTGCTTCCGTAGACGGAAATGTCAACATGCAATACTCATACTGGTTCCCGTATCGCTACTCATAACCTACATCTACTTTGTCAACGACGACAGCATCGCCCATATACAACATCTACAGCGACAGGCGTTAAGGGCAGCCGGTCTGAGGTTCCAATCGGATGTCTCTAGCATGTCTGGGGAGGAGAACGCGAGGGGGCGGCCAAAGCAGGTTCCCGGGGTAGGGGAAAATGAGAAGGCCGTGGACATTCCCCGCGGAAGGGATCGGTTCATGCCTGCCCCTAGCTACAGGGACGGACTTACGGACAGACTTACACACGATGAGCAGCATAAACTGAGGATACATACTGTTAAAAAAGGAGTGGAAGGGCTGAAACAGGAAGAGAAGCCTGCATCTGAAGGTTACGAATCACAAGGGGGTGGACAGAACCCTGGCGAGGGTGGTGGTCACGGGCCACAGCTGTCCGGCACGTGTGATAGTGGGGTGAGTGTCCTAAAGTTTACATCCATATACCAAATATATAACGTGTGCTAGTTTGTTTGTTTGTTTGTTTGGATTGTTGTTTCTGTTTTATCATTAAGCTATTGCTCACAATCTTGATACTAAATCATAAGCCTTAATACAACACTGTCATACGTGTATCCGATCACATGAGAACTGTTCATTGTTTGTTTGTATATTATTTAACGCCGCACTCAGCAACATTCCAGCTATATGACGGCGTTCTGTAAATAATCCAGTCTGAACCAGACAATCCAGTGATTAACATCAGGAGCATCGATCCACCTAATTGGGATACGATGACATGCATCAACCAAGTCAGCGAGCCTGACTACCCGATCCCGTTAGTCGCCTCTTGCGACAAGCACAGTCGCCTTTTTGGTTGCTAAAGACCTATTCTAGCCCGGACATGTGCGAACTAACAACATATGTTACCATCAGTGACATATTGGTTTAATTAAAAATGAGTACCGAAACACTACGAATACGCAGGGCCGAAAACTAAATATTATATTGCCAAATTACTTTCTTTGATTTATATATTGATACTTTGTAGTCATCAATTTGTAGTCATCGAGACGCTGTTACAGTACATCGTTACATCGATACATAGCCACTAATTACTATACTCTTCCTTGAATTGGTATTAACTTATCATACCTATTGTTATACGTGCATCGTCTCTGCGCAGAAATGTAATCCTACAAAAGACGGCATGCTCAACATCCACATCGTCGCCCACTCTCACGACGACGTCGGCTGGAAGAAGACGTACATGCAGTACTTCAACGGGAAGTCTGGAGACTTTGGTATGTGCAACCCAATACGTCGGCTGATATCACTTCTACAGATGCTGACAGCTGACGTCGCATCTCTTTTGTTGGACGAAAGTTTTCAGATGTGTCACTTTAATGGTCGTCTCTTGCATACGGGGCGGTCGGGTAGCCTAGTAGTTAAAGCGTTCGCTCGTCACGCCAAAGGCCCGGGTTCGATTTCCGACATGGGTATAGTGTGTGAAGCCCATTTCTGGTGTCCCTCGCCGTGATATTGCTGGAATATTGCTAAAAAGCGGCGTAAAACCTTACTCACTCACTCACTTATTGCATACGTTCAGAAGTCACAGGGGGCACGGGTTGCCAAGTCCCCTAAGCCGACGCGATTCGCTGTGCTGAATTGCGTCCCTTGGGGACGCCAGAAACCTATGATTGTGGGTTAGAATCCCGGTTCGATTATGTTTCTAGGTTTGTCAGCACCATACCCGTGCTCGTGGGTTTCACCGAAGTGGTAAACGTCCGAGACCTGCATCACTTCGGGCTTTTCTTCCACATTAAGCTGACACGCCGCGATATAACTGGAATACTGTTAAAAGCGGCGTTAAACCCAACTCACTCACTCACTCACTCCCAAGTCACAAGTCACAAGAATATGTTTTCGTGTTAATCACGAATTCAAATCCATTAGACAACTTTTAAAGTGGCACATAACACACTGAATTATTTATTTATAATCAATGCTTTGTGCATCGTTTCTCGATTAAAGATTACTCTTTATACCAAATATTCATAAGTTATATAATAACATAAAATGTCCATTTCGTATACATTGTTGTAAATATTTCTATGTGGAGCGTTATAATTGTAGGACGTATCAGCACACACGAGTTCTGGCATACACAGGTCTCGCTATTAACCTTCTGACTTTGGCTATGCACACTATTACAAGGACACTATTACACAGAGATTGGCTGGATGAGTCAGTTGATATAAACCCGTGAAGATCGGGGGTAGAATAGGTCTTCATCAACCCAGGCTTGCCGTAAAAGGCGACTATGCTTGTCGTAAGAGGCGACTAACGGGATCGGGTGGTCAGACTCGCTGACTTGGTTGATGCATGTCATCGTATCTTAGTTGAGTTGATCGATGCTCATGATGTCAATCACTGGCTTGTCCATCTTCCCGAGGCAAGAGAGTTAACTGACTTTAAAAGTCCAGTTTCCACCCTTGCCGAATGAGGCTGGAATTCCTGGGCACGATCGTTGCGCCACCAGTGGCTATTACGAGTTATGTCCCTTCTATGCCTCTCCTATGGTCCAATCAGATTTCACCTCTCGTATCACTTGCATTAGCTTCAAACAAAATGGCGGCGCCCAGTAAAAACGATCTGATCGATAATTAAGATCTTTATTGTGATAAAACAGGTCTTACATCACGAAGTGCATCCAATCACGTGAGCACCTTGATTAAAAACATGAAAAGATTTAGAAAATGCCCGTTGACAACGAGTTGGCGGTGCAAATGCTTTGCAAATCCTGCAATCGACCGAAATCTGCATGACAGTTTACGAACCGGATTTCGATTCCGTTGCGCGATTTTGGTTGGACTGTGCATAGACTCGTTAGTCCAGCCAAATTGTAACTCCATAATACAAGCTAAGTTCGGCGAGGGTGGAAACTGGACTTTTATAGTCAGTTAAATCTCTTGCCTCGGGAAGATGTGGCTTGTCTGGCCCAGACTCGATTATTTACAGACCGCCGTCATAGCTGGAACATTGCTGAGTGGCGTGAAACAACAAACAAACAAACAAACAAAGTTGATATATATGTCCGATATAATTATGACGTATTTTCCAGGCGAGACTGGATATCATGGCGGAGAGTGTACTCGCTGCATCCTCAACTCTGTCATCCCCCAGCTGCTGAAGGACCCCAGACGACGCTTCATCTTTGTGGAGATGGCCTTCCTCTCCCTGTGGTACCAAGAGCAGGACAAGCAGATGCAGGAGGATGTCAGGAAACTCATCCGGGAACGTAAGCACCATTGGTCATGATGACTCACCATAGTACACATACATGTGTTGTTCCCGGTACTCCGGCTTGTTATAACAGGCGACTAAATGGGTCGGTTCGGAAAATGTAATTAGAAAATAGGTCCCCAGATATCTATGCTGGTCGTAAGAGGCAACCAAATGGGGCGGGTGGTCAGGCTCGTTGATTGCAAGTCATCGCAACCACAGGCGTTGCTAATAATTGTCAATCACTAGTTTTTTCCTGCCATGACTCAATGATTTAAATCCACATAGAAGTTTTCGGGAGTGACGTATCGGGTGTTTGGGATCAGAACTGCTTTGGGCTATATTGCAAACTTACATGTTTTTCATTTGTTTACATTTAAATTTATGTTTTGTGATTCCAAGGTCGACTTGAGTTGATTATCGGCGGATGGTGCATGAGCGACTCAGCGACGACATACTACGATGACGTCATCGACCAACACACCTACGGCTTCCAGTGGATCGAACGCCAGTTCGGCGAGTGCGCCATGCCCCGGAGTGCCTGGCACGTGGATCAGTTCGGCCACTCCAGGGAACACTCATCACTATTCGCCCAGGTAGGCCACAGAATAGATGAAGAACAAAAAGTCAGATCATAGCCCAAAGAAACAACCCAACTTTTTATCCTATCTGTCTCATTTACAAGAGACCCGTGAAGATCCCGGTAGAATGGAAATGGAAATAATTGCCCTTAACCAATCAGAAGCTAGTATTTCAATGTAAGGTGACATAAATGTAGATACCCAGAGCTGTGAGATTCTCATTAATGCAAAGACGTTCGTGCCACTACCAGAGGTCCTGACCCGTGAAGATCCGGGGTAGAATAGGTCTTTAGCAACCCATGCTTGCCGTAAATGGCGACTATGCTTGTCGTAAGAGGCGACTAACAGCATCGGGTGGTCAGGCTCGCTGATTTGGTTGATGCATGTCATCGTATCCGAATTGTGTGGATCGATACTCCTGATGTTAATCACTGGATTGTCCCGTCCAGACTCGATTATTTACAGAACGCCGTCATATAGCTGGAATATTGCTGAGTGCGGCGTTAAATAACAAACAAACAAAATCATTCACATGAGTCGGTCGTTATCTGTTTTCATGTTATCCAGAATCCATAAGTATAGAATTGCGAAGTGATATTTATACATTTTGCTAGACTAACGGTTGGTCTCTGACAATATATAGTCTTGATAGAAACAAACTACACTCAATACAAAAGGAGCCCGAATGGCATGGGACATTCAGAACCTGAATCTGTGGAAAATCTAGACTTGCTTCATTTAGAGCTGTGGTGGTGGGATTGGGATTATATTAGGGAGAAATATACGCTCTAGAGAAATAGTGTTTTTCCTCATTACAGAAATATAATGAAGGTAGGATTTCGATTGCAAATATATCTAACTCATGCGATATTCATGTTCAACGTTTGATAACTTTATATGTATGTAAATAAGTTTTTAAAAGAGATCGCTAAAGTTGTAACACGCTGGACATATAACTTTAATGGGTTTTTATTTTTCAATCATCTATGAGCCATGTTTGTTGGTTTATTGTTTTACGCTGCACTCAGATATATTCCAGCAATATGACGGCGGTCTGTAAATAGTCGAGTCTGTACAAGACAATCCAGTGATTGACATCATGAGCATCGATCTTCGCAATTGGGATACGTTGACATACATCAACCAAGTCAGCGAGCCTGACCACCCGATCCCGTTAGTCGACAAGCATAGTCGCCTTTTTACTTCAAGCATGGGTGGCTGAAGACCTATTCTAACCCGAATCTTCACGGCTATGGGTCATGTGGCCCATAAATACATAATATAATATATATATTAAAATGATTTTACAGTCATTTAATGACCAGTGTTTACACCTGCGTTCACAACATATACTATTATACAACAGTAGTAGTGGTATATATGTAGCCTCCTCTAGATTTTTTGCAGACCGTCATCATATAGCTGGAATATTGCTGACAGCGGTGTTAAACAACAAACAAACAAACAAATGAATTAAATACTGAACAAACACTCAGCTTCAAAAACGTTTCTCAGAGAAAGACTGTAGACTTTGCCATGATCACGATCCTTTTACTTGCCTTTGCATGTGTTTGTGACGGGTGCCACCGGTGGGGCAGGATACGCTCACTTTTTCGCGAACACCTGGTATCATTACTATTTGATAATGATTCATAAACACATGCTCATAATATAGTCAGAATCGTACAATCGACTCTGCTATTGGATATGGAAACGGTTTTGTCCCTTTATTTATTCACAGTTTGGCTTTGACGGGCTACTGGTGGGGCGGATTGACGTCTTTGACCATGAACGAAGGACAAGGACGCGGAACATGGAGACGATATGGAAGACAAGTCCAGATAACCTAGGTGTGTCTGGTATATACCGCGTTTCACTCTAAAGGTATTCAGTGATTGTTGTTTAAAGGCACAGTGAGCAATATTGCAGCTCCATGTTTATTTAAGGCCTGTAAATGTCAGGACTTGAACAACATGCGCTTAGAAACGTGAGCAATGATCTACATCGACGGGCAACAATGTCACACATCAACCAGGTCACACGTAGTGGCAAACGTGTTCTCATGTGAGTGAGTGTGGTTTTACGCCGCTTGTAGCAATATTCCAGAAATTATTATTTTTAAACAGACACCTTTCTTTATTCTGTTCTATGTGTGATATCCTACAACATAACACTAGCACCAGCAGGCATCGTGTCTTGCGCGAGGCAGTGTTCTGTTTAAAATGTTAAGAAGATACCTCCCCCTTAAAAAAAGAAAAAAAAGGAGAATAAAAAGAAAGTTACCTAACATAATAACATGTTTATTTGGTTGTTCAAGTAAATTTAACATGGTTTTACATATCGTGTTTGTGATGTTTTGGGTGGACTCTCTCTCTCACACACACCTCCCCATCCTCCTCCCCATCCCCCTCAATGTGGAAGCCCCTTTCTTGCAGTCCTAGATGCGTCCCAGCCTGTATCCCGATGTTTTTTCCAGATGTAACGCTGGTCTGTATCTCTATGTCCAGGTGACAAGACTGACCTCTTCACCAGCGTCCTGTACGACGGCTACTTCACCCCCGGCACCTACCACGGTGTAATGGATGTACGTACAGGAGCTTCTTGATTAAAGAAGACAAGTTTGTTGTTTCCGTTGACAATTGCTATACGAAATTCAATGATCAAGATCGATGCCGTCGTTCTAAACGAACTTGTACTTTAAATGGCAGTGCGATGATAAAATACCTGTGCTGCTGATGAAACTACTAATGATATTGTCAATACTATGCTACTTGCAGATTGATAATGCTTTTGATTGTTGCTGCAACTACCACTGCTGCTACTACTGTTGCTACTACAACTACTACTACAACTTCTACTAATACAATTACAGTTACTTCTAAAACTACTACAACTATTACAAGCACGACTTCTAAATTCGCCTCAGTTGGCTGTGCAGAGTTGGGCTAAATCATGTTTTCGTGTGATTTGCTCCCCGTCCCTCTGTCAAACCCCTACGAAATGCCAGAAGACGTCAAAAGATGGTACTTGTTGTTACCCTGCCTAGCGCTCGGCATTCAAGGGCTAAAACAAGGACTGGTCGGCTCTGAGTCAGTATACTGTGTTTGACTGGGGTATTCATGTTAAACTGCGGCAGGGAATCTTTGTGAGCTAGCACTATAAAATCGGCATTAGTACGGATTAGTACAAGCAGCCACACACACACACACACACGTGCATGCACGTCGCTATATAAGTGCAATAATCTTGGACGCGACTTTTCACCCTACATCACCACACCTTATGAATGTGTAGCTGTCCTCCCAGTGTTGCAACTCAGATGTGATGGTGTATAATGATGCAGTACATTGTGGTGTTTTACAGGCCAGAAGTCGGAACACGACCATGGAGAGATTCATTGCTATGGCAACAGAGCGGGTAAGACTAGTCTAAGTCCGAATCACGAGTACATGGTACATGGGGTCATACTAATTTCCCAATTAGTTCCAAAGAGTGATCGAAGGCACGCTTGATCCGGACTATCGATATCAATACAAAAGGGACCAGACTAAATGAGTCAGATTGAAGGGGCGAGACTGAGGGGGCTAGACTAAAGCAGCAAGACTAAAGGGACCAGACAAAATGAGTCAGATTGAAGGGGCCAGACTAACGGGGCTAGACTAAAGCAGCAAAACTGAAGGGACCAGACTAAAGAGGCCATACTAAAGGGAGCAGACTAACGAGGCCAGACTGAAGGGACCAGACTAACGAGGCCATACTAAAGGGATCAGACTTACGAGGCCAGACTAAAGGGACCAGACTAACGAAACCAGACTAACGGGGCCAGACTAAAGGGAGCAGACTAGCGAGGCCATACTAAAGGGAGCAGACGAACGAGGCCATACTAAAGGGACCAGACTAACGAGGCCAGGCTAAAGGGACCAGACTAACGAGGCCAGACTAAAGGGACCAGACTAACGAGGCCATACTAAAGGGAGCAGACTAACGAGGCCAGACTAAAGGGATCAGACCAACGAGGCCATACTAAAGGGAGCAGATTAACGAAGCCAGACTAAAGAGACGAGACTAACGATGCCAGACTAAAGGGAGCAGATTAACGAGGCCTGACTAAAGGGACCAGACTAACGAGGCCATACTAAAGGGAGCAGACTAACGAGGCCAGACTAAAGAGATCAGACCAACGAGGCCATACTAAAGGGAGCAGATTAACGAGGCCAGACTAAAGAGACGAGACTAACGATGCCAGACTAAAGGGAGCAGATTAACGAGGCCTGACAAAAGCGGTTTCAATTTGTTAAGGTGTTAAATTATATCATATGGGGACGTCTTTGAATGTTAAATGTTGTGTCTTACAGCAGTTAATAATTATGCCTTCGAGCTTTCTATATTCAGTGTAAACAAAGCCCCGTTGATACTATACCGTTACCGCTGAAATTACCCGGATTAACATAGACCTGGTAAACGAATTCCTAATGTCTATTTGTATCAGACGTCCCAGAGGGACAAACTCCACAACAGATGCATTGACTTGATTGATCATTGCATGTGTTTAAATCTCTGAATGGGGATCGTAAAGTTTCAACCAAATTTCAGAGATGGTGTGATATACTTGCGATCATTGTCCCCAGGCCAAAGGTTTCAAGACAAATCATGTGCTAATCCCCTTCGGCGGAGACTTTGACTTCAGCAGCGCATCCGTTCATTACGACGTCATCGACAACCTGATCAAACATATAAATGCACAGGTAACTCCTTTCATCTGAACATTTTCTTTGCATCGTAGTCATCTGTGTGTAGCAATCTGTGTGTAGCCATGTTTGTTTGTTTAACGCCGCACGCAGCACTTTTAAAGCAATATGACGGCAGCGTGTAAATCATCGAATCTGGACCAGACAATCCAGTGATTGACACCATGAGCATCGATCTATGCAACCCATGCTTATCGGAAGAAGCGACTAACAGGATCGGGTGGTCAGGCTCACAAACTGGAATATTGCTGAGAGCGGCGTTAAACAACAAACAAAACAAAACATATATATTATTCAAAGTCTTACATCTTTTGACAAAAGAATCCTACAAATGTTTATCATGTGTAAGTTATATCGAAGAAATTCAATCAAAACAGAAATATATATAACTTCTAACCAGCTGTGTGTTATGACAGACTGTGCACTTTTCACATTTAATTAACAGATGCAAATGCTTCACATTTATCATTAGCAAAATAACGGCGGCAAGGTGAACGTCCTCTATTCCACCCCGACCTGCTACATCAACAGCGTCAACAGAGAAGCGGCAACTTTTGAGACGATATCGACCGACTTCTTCCCCTATGGTATCATCCCCAACACCTACTGGACGGGCTTCTTCACCAGCAGACCCGGACTCAAGCGCCATGTGAAGACGGCCAGCAGCCTGTTGCAGGTATTGAGTTGGTCATGTGAAGATCGTCAATCATCAATTCATCATGAGAGATAATTATGTCAATAAGAATATGTCACTATATATAATTTAAAATGAGGGTATACGTCAGTCCCCTCAAATGACTTATATCTGCCTGGTTGCAATGGTTAATCGGGCCGTGAGTGAGAGAGTGAGTCGGGGTTAACGCCGCTTTTAACGATATTCCAGTAATATCGCGGCGTGTCAGCTTAATGTGGGAGGAAAGCACGAAGTGATGCAGGTCTCGGACGCTTACCACTTCGGTGAAGGGCGGTCGGGTAGCCTAGTGGTTAAAGCGTTCGCTCGTCACGCCGAAGACCCGGGTTCGATTCCCGACATGGGTACAATGTGTGAGGCCCATTTCTGGTGTCCCCCGCCTTGATATTGCTGGAATATTGCTAAAAGCGGCGTAAAACCAAACTCATCCACTCACCTCGGTGAAACCCACGAGCACGGGTATGGTGCTGACAAACCTAGACACATAATCGGAGCGAACCTGGATTCGAACCCACAATCATAGGTTTCTGGCGTGCCCAAGGGTCACAACTCAGCACGGCGAATCGCGGCGCCTTAGACAACTGGGTCACCCGTGCTCCCTAATCGGGCCTTGAGAAATCTGTGATGTATGTTTGTATGCTACACTGGATAGACAACCAATTTTACCTGGAATGACCAATCAAGGCAAGAGTACCTCTGGAACAGACGAATATAGAACGTCTCCAGATCCAACCTATATGGAATATCCATTATATGCTGAACCGCAAAAGAAACGTCCCCCCAAGAACATTGCATGAAAAGTTGTCATTTAAATATCTGGGTAATTTTTGTCAAAGTTTCTAAAATTCAACATTATCTTGTCCGGAAAAACGAAATTAGATGATAAAAAAACAAAGCGGATGACAATAAAACCGATTGCCCAAACGCATCATAGCAACGGCCATGGTAACCCGATGCACGTGAGTTCCGTGCAAATTTAAATGCACAAGCGTTCCCCCATTTCTTGCCCTATAAAAATCCACTCAGATCGGATAACATTCGTTCGTTATTAAATTGCTACCACATACCAAGAGTGATAAGAAATCAGCGACACCAAGCCCTTGGACGGTTGCAAGCTGGACAAACCGCCCGGCAAGTAGTCAATGCATTTTCAAGTAGTCAGACCATATACAGGCTCCAGCAACAGTATAGAAGACCGACCACGTATTGGAAGACCAAGGGTCAAAACCCGACGTCAGGATCGTCAGATTGTTCGACAGCATCTTCAAGATCGCTTTGTTACTGCTGCGGGAACTGCTCGACAGACCATGGGGACACACCAGCCACACATTAGTGCGGGCACCGGGATAATCAGTTTTCTCCAATTCCATCTTTTTAGTATGTCTCAAAGTATGTTTACAGTGTTTGGAAAAATAAGGTTTCTCATATATCCATCTATGGTGATGTTTCTTTTGCGGTTCAGTTTATAAGCTATAACGGCACTAGTAACAATAGAACTATCACTATAAATTAGACTATTTAATTTAATTAAAAACTGCTACTACTGAAGCTATTGACTGATGATCAGGTACAGACACCGAGACTACAAGAGGAATACGATCCAACATGATCTAAAAAAAGATTAATGTTCTTGCGCATCAGAATTAATGAATAAAAGCACAAAACAGTGTCAAATAACAAATTTCTGTACCAGAACTTTCATGTGAAATATGAGAACCGGGTGTTGGAAAATCCAAGATTAGTTGTTACTGACGGTATACGGTCTCATATTAGGTCAGTAATTCTGCTCTCTGATTGGTCAATCTCACTTTGGGCATAATAATTATCACAATGTTGTCTGTAAACTTCAGTTCAACAAATCATAACAAACCCTCGTTATTCCGGACTGTACAGGTCCACAAACATTTTTGGAATCCCCTTGTTTGAGCTTTTTCGGAATGTTGCGGGTAGAACGTAAATCGACCCGTGAAGATGCGGGGAAGAATAGGTCCTCATCAAACCATGCTTTCCGTAAAAGACGACTATGGTTGTCGTAAAAGGCGACTAACGGGATTGAGTGGTCAGGCTCGCTGACTTGGTTGCTGTATGCCATCGTATCCCAATTGCGAAGATCGATGCTCATGATGTCAACCACTGGATTGTCTTGCCCAGATTCGATATTTACAGACCGCCGTCATATTGCTGGAATATTTCTGAGTGCGGCGTTAAATAACAAGTAAACAAACAAACAGAACGTAATTATAATCATGTTTTCCCGACTGTGGTCGGTCTTGGTACCAGAGTATTTATTCCACCATGCCGGACTGTTGAGGTTACTTTGTTTACTTTCAGACCTGCAAAATGCTAGCCGTTTTTGCCGAGTTGAAAGATTCCGAGCGCGGCGTTGATGATCTGAGTGAGTGTGATACGTTACAGGCAGACCAACAGTTTACAACACATACGCTCTCGAACCATGGACCAGCGCAAACCTATCGGGTTACCCCTGACATCTAGATAAGCGTAGTGATGATATTATTCTACGGTGCCGACAGATAGTGCCAGGACGAGTTGTTTGCTTTGAGACTAACATCTGATATTCTAATGATTTATTGATGGGGTGGTGCAACCCGAGGGCAAAGAACCCTCAACAGCTTGTTCAGTGTTTTAAAGCATAACCCGGTTTAGTGTTATGGCTTCAGTTTAAACTGTAAGTTTAATTATGCAGGTGTGTGTTAATGGAGATTTTGTCCCCTTTCAGAGGAGGCTGTGGCGATCCTCCAACACCATGATGCCATTACGTAAGTAGAGTCGACGGAAAAGAGTTGCAAGTCTTTGTTGGAACATGAAGTTGAAGCTTGTTTTGAGCGTTAGGACGTTGTGTTTGTTTGTTTGTTTGTTGATTAACGCCACACTCAGCAATATTCCAGCTATATGACGGGGCTCTGTAAATAATCGAGTCTGGACCAGACAATCTAGTGTTTGACATCATGAACATCGATCTACGAATTTGGGATATGATGACATGCATCTCTCAAGTTAGCGAGCCTGACGACCCGATCCCGTTAGTCACCTCTTGCGACAAGCATGTGCATCGTGTTGCTGAAGACCAATTCTAACCCGGAGTGCAGATTGATACGGTTAAAGTCCGCACTGATGCACCTCATGCTAAATGCCATCCGAGATCACGATCTGTATATTTGTGTCAGTATATATGAGGCAAGATCGGATGCATGTATGTTGCATGTATACGCCATGGACGTTGTTAACATAACGGAGCAGACATTAATACTTGGGATTCCCTCGTGCTTGTATGACGTGGATCACCCGTGAAGATCCGGGTTAGAATATGTCTTCAATGGTTGCCGTAAGCGATTATGCTTGTCGTAAAAGGCGACTAACGGGATCGTGTGGTCAGGCTCGCTGACTTAGTTGATGTATGTCATGGTATCCCAATTGCGTGGATCGATGCTCATGATGTATTCACTGGATTGTCTGGCCCATTATTTACAGATCTCAATCAAATAGCTTGAATATTGCTGAGTGTGGCGTTAAATAACAAACAAAGAAATCTGACGTGGATCGTTTTCTCTGCAAGCTATGTGTCGTGGTAGGTCTTGTTTCGTTGTTCATGTTTTCAGTCATAGGTTTGGCTGTTTCAGACGAATATTTAAAAAACCTCCGTGATATATACGACCCGTGAAGATTCCGGGGTACAATAGGTCTTCAGCAACCCATACTTGCCGTAAAAGGTGACTATGCTTGTCGTAAAAGGCGACTGACGGGATCGGGTGGTCAGGCTCGATGACTTGGTTGATGCATGTCATCAATCCCAATTGCGTGGATCGATGCTCATGATGTCAGTGGATTGTCACTGGATTGTCTGGTCCAGACTCGATTATTCTAAGACAGCCGTCATATAGCTGGAATATTGCTGAGTGCGGCGTTAAACAACAAACCGACCAACCAACCGTGATATATATTGCGGCATCTAACAACATTCACTCACTCATAATTTGAATGTTTTGCAGGGGGACCGAGCAACAACACGTGACAAATGACTACAACCTGATACTAAGTGCTGGTGAACAGTCCTGTCAGGTGGGTGTGGCTGAGGTGTATTGTCAGAACCTTGCAATAACGAGTGACAACAGAAATTTCTTTGATAGCACATTGCGAATTCGACATTATGAAAATCCTGTTCTATGATAAACTAATTTCAAAACTCATCCATATATAAATATTTTAAGTGAAATAATGTTAAAGTTGACATGGCGTTGGTGTGGTGTTGAACTATATTCCTTTGTGACTCCGGGGCGGTCGGGTAGCCTAGTGGTTAAAGCGTTCGCTCGTCACGCCAAAGACCCGGGTTCGATTCCCGACATGGTTACAGTGTGTGAAGCCCATTTCTGGTGTCCCCCGCCTTGATATTGCTGGAATATTGTTAAAAGCGGCGTAAAACCATACTCACTCACTCAATTCTCTGTGACTCCAGTCCGTGGTCTCGAGGGCCTACCAGTCCCTACTAGGAGTGTCAAGCACTCTCCACTTCTGTCCACTACTCAACATCAGCGTGTGCGGGCTGACGGAAAGCAACACTGAGGTGAGACGCGCCATGCGTAGTATTGAGTGAGTTATTGTTCTGCTCATATCGGCACCGTGTCAGACATATACCATCTTCCCGAAGTCCAGTTTCCACCCTTGCCGAACTAGGCTGGAATTCCTGGGCTCGATCGTAGCGCCACCAGTGGTTATTACGAGTTATGTCCCTTATATGCCCCTCCTATGTACCAATCAAATTCCACCTAACGTATCACCTGCATTTGTTTCAAACAAAATGGCGGCGCCCAGTCAAGACGATCTGATCGATAATAATCTATATTGTGATAAAACGGGTCTTACATCGCCAAGTGAATCAAATCACGCGAGCACCTTAATTAAAAACATGAAAAGATTAGGTAAATATCTGTTGACATCGAGTTGGCAGGGCACATGCTTTGCAAATCCTGCAATCAACCGAAATCTACATAACAGTTTACAAACCGGATGGAAACTGGACTTGTGTAGTCAGTTAACTCCCTTGCCTCGGGAAGATGGACATATACTGACGAGAACGCTGTATACATGCATTACAATACTGTCAGCAAACGTCAGTATTATAGTAACTGATGAATAAAATATAAGCGGTTAAAATCAAACTATCAGAGCTACATAATAAGTTTTTTTGTAAGCCAATCCCGAAAAGGTATATCATACCACATTCCCCGAGGGATCGGCTGACAACGAATTCATCTCACCGACATTAACATTAATTCATATATGTAAGCAAAATTCGTAGCAGACGACGCAAACGAACCGAGTTACTCTACCCATCGCATTCAAGTGAACATTGGTTCATTTCAACTCAACGCTACTTATTCGAGATATACATGTTACCGAAGATGTTTTCCGATTGATTTCCCAGCGGGCTGCATGGAAATGATTGCCCTTAACCAATCAGAAGCTAGTATTTTAATGCAAGGTGACATACATGTAGATACCCAAAGCTGTGAGATTCTCATTAACCCAAAGACGTTCGTGCCACTACCAGAGGTCCTGACCCGTGAAGATCCGGGGTAGAATTGGTCTTCAGCAATCCATGCTTGCCGTAAAAGGCGACTATGCTTGTCGTAAGAGGCAGCTAACGGGATCGGGTGGTCGGGCTCGCCGACTTGGTTGATGATGCATGTCATCGTATTCCAATGGCATAGATCGGTGCTCATGATGTCAATCACTGGATTGTTTGGTTCAGACTCGATAACTTGCAGCCCGCCGTCATATAGCTTGAATACTGATGAGTGCAGCTGGATATCAAACAAACAAACAAAACCAGAGATCCTGTAGATAGGAACAGTTACTACTTTATGTGATATCGGCAACTGCACACCATACCCATAGGATGTACTTTCGACTGTAAATTATGTCAACATTTAAGTGCTAAGAAACCTTATTTAATATATTCAGGACATCTTACACAATGTCCATCTACATAACCGTAATCTAAACTATGTATTTTTAACACGGTTGTCATATAATTGTGGTCATTCCTTTCTTTGAATAAGCACGGCAACATTGACATGAACGCCACCATTACTTAACTTCCCTCTAGTTTACAGTGCAGGTCTTCAACCCTCTGGGATGGAACGTCACACACTGGGTTCGACTTCCGGTTCCGGTTGCAGTTTACACAGTGCTTTCCCTTGCAGCAGGAAACTTGCAAAATCAGGTAATTCCATTTTCATAATTTCATCTTCACCAGAAGTAGTTTACTTATATGGCCAACCGCGGATAACGTGTCAGGCTTAGACTACAGTGTATGCGCCAGTGAGCGAGTTGGATCCAATACCACTTGGAACAGTATTTTATGATTTTATCACGGCGTGTCAGTGTTATGAAATAATGCAGGTCCTACACCTTAACCACTTTGGTGAAACACAGTCCCCTGATCACCGGACTGTGGTATCACTGTAATACAAACACAAATGCAGGTTCCTGACACGCCCAAGGGACGCAACTCTGCACCAGAACATTTGTATGTGCAATATAGAACTCCTCCTGATGATAAACATAATCATGTGTGTATGACCAGGCAACTGTAATATGAAATTATGATAGACTGGAATAATCACATAAGGTTACAAGATCCGGGGGTAGAATAGGTCTTCAGCAACCCATGATTGCCGTAAATGGCGACAAACGTGATCGGGTGGTCAGGCTCGATGACTTGGTTGATGCATGTCATCATATCCCAATTTCCTAGATCGATGCTCATGATGTCAATCACTGGATTGTGTGGTCCAGACGCGATTATTTACAGACCGCTGTCATATAGCTGGAATATTGCTGAGTGCGGCGTTAAACAACAAACAAACAAAACATAAGGTTACAATAGGTACAGATCGTATGTGCAACTTGATTCTTGATTGTAGTATCGTGTTTAATGCGACTCCAACCATCCATTGTCATGCAGCTTGTGCCCATTGCGGATTCTACGAAACATATTCCAGAACGAGGTTCGTCGGTCAGTGTGGCGGAGCTAGTGTTCAAGGCCGAACTCCCCCCTCTCGGCTACAGCGTCTTCTACGTCCTAAAAGCCAGCGGTATGTTGTAGTAGTCGCATACTTCGAATTCTTCATTGCATTAGATATAATCCCGAACCATGAATATCTGTATTTGATCAAATCCAGTATATATCATTATCAGAAATAATTGTTGTGTTATTTAAGATTTCTTAACTATAGGTGAGTATACATTGTATTATGTGTCGGTATATACTAGAGACAGCAATATATCACAAGAAAGGTTATTTCTTCCAGATCTGAATCTTCAACCCCAGATAGTGGATCACGCAGATCAGGGCGATATTACCATTGGTAATCAGGTATGTGTACATAGTAAAACGATGTAGATATGTAGGTCAATACACGAGACATGGTATATGTAGATCTATAGTTCTGATAATGAATATCTTAATTATAGTAAGCTGTACTAGAGTCAGAGAAATAAATTTGAAATAGGAAGGAAATTCGATCTCGGGAGCACGAGTGGCCCAGTCTGCTTAGGCGCCGCGATTCGCTGTGCTGAGTTGCGTCCCTTGGGCACGCCAGAAACATATGATTGTGGGTTCGAATCTCGTTTGGCGCCCTATTATGTTTCTAGGTTTGACAGCACCATACCCGTGCTCGTGGGTTTCACCGAAGTGGTAAACGTCTGAGACCGACATCACTTCGGGCTTTCCTCCCACATTAAGCTGACACGCCGTGATGTAACTGGAATACTGTTAAAAGCGGCGTAAAACCCAACTTACTCGCTCCTCAAATCGATATCGGTTTTCTCGACATAGCCACGGTTCCGGTAGAATCTTGATAAGCGCAACGATTTAATGTTGACCTGAATGCCCTGAACAATGGCCAATGTCATTAAAATCAGATCTACGTTCTCGCTGCCTCTAAACAAAGATCTGAGGACATCCAATTACGGGTAATTGCGCGCGTCACTGTATTAGCTTTATAGTCTTCAACGCGACGTTAAACCCCATTTCACCACCTCACCTTGATTTCATAAAAACGCATCAACGTACGTGTTGTAAAAGTAAAGCGATTTTACCTTATGTTTGTGTTTGATTAACGAATATGTTCCAGATAGTTAATGCTCTTAGTTTTAAAGAGATATAATATGCTAACTCCTCATAATGTTCTGAAATCTCTTACCAACCTATAAAAGTCGCGCTTCCACCTTTTCAGTATTTGTCGCTTGTGGTCAGCGGTTCTTCCGGTCTTACACAGACGTTGAAGAACGTTGCAGCCGGCGTGACCATAGACTTTGCCCAGTCTTTTCTGTATTACATCGGAAGTGAGGGTGGATACAGAATCCCTGGGGACAGGAGGGGCGGAATGGGGGGCTTCTTCGGGGGACACAAGAGAGCGTCCGGGGCGTATGCATTTGTTCCCAAGGAAAATACGCCACCAGTTAAGTTAATGGGACGTGACGGGAAGGTCAAGGTCAAGGTGGTCAAGGTAAGGTTCTGTTTATATCGGAGTAAATGAGTTTGTGATGCTGCATTACGTCACAGTCAGCAACTGTCTGCACTAGGGCAGACTGTAAATCACTGTTTGACAAGGTGTTATGCTTGTCGTAAGAGGCGACTAACGGGATCGGGTGGTCAGACTCGCTGACTTGGTTGATGCATGTCATCGTATCCCAATTGCGTGGATCGATGCTCATGATGTCAATCACTGGATTGTCCGGTCCAGACTCGATTATTTACAGACCGCCGTCACATTGCTGGAATATTGCTGAGTGCGGCGTTAAGAAAACTACAAAACAAAACAAAAATCACGTGACGCATGTCTTTGACAATTGGTGAAAGCAACAAAAAAAGAGCATGCGCTGACAATTTGAAACCAAAGATCATAACTTCATGGAATTGTGGATTCGAACACCCGAACATACCTGTACGACCTGCTTGATAGTCTTGCCCTTGATCCTACTTTTTTCGTGGTATTAGGGTACCAACGTCCAGGAGATACACCAAGAGTTCAGCCCATGGGTCAGTCAGGTGGTCAGACTGTATGATGGGGCGCCCTACCTGGAACTAGAGTGGACAGTTGGACCTATACCGGAAAGGTAGATATTCCATTGCAATATTGAAGTTTGTTTGTTTGTTTGTTGTTTAACGCCGCACTCAGCAATATTCCAGCAATGTGACGGCGGTCTGTAAATAATGGAGTCTGGACCACACAATACAGTGATTGATATCATGAGCATCGATCTACGCAATTAGGATATGTTGACATGCCTCAACCAAGTCAGCGAGCCTGACCACCCGATCCCGTCGCCTCTTACGACAAGTATAGTCGCCTTGTACGGCAAGCATGGGTTGCTGAAGACCTATTCTACCCCGGATCTTTAAGTGTCCAATACTGAAGGTACAGCACCGTATCACAAGTACAGAAAATGGTTTAACACGGAGTTATGATATCACAACGATACCTGATTATATACTACTCAAAACAAGTATAAGGGCACCCACGATTGTAAGGATGTGTGTTGCTCTACCCACCGGCCATGGCGATGAACTATAGTCATATGAAAACATCTTTAACTTCTTTTGAGTAGTATATTTGACTTGACGGCGCATCCCCATGCCCCATGTGCAGACTCTGTGTTTCAGTGACAGGCAGACTAAGGAGGTGATATCCCGGATACAGACTAATCTGCAGACAAAGAACACCTTCTACACAGACTCCAATGGTCGGGAAATGATTACAAGAATGTAAGTCATTTCATTTCCTTTGAAAACTGGAGTCTTTAACGACACACATGTAGCGAATGTGTGTCGGTTCTGTCAATACCTTTACTTTGGAATTAAAAGTAACGTTCAACATTTGAGTCTATACTGCAATTGATGTACGAATGTCTAGTGAAAGATGTACGGATATGATATCAGTGTAACTGCGACCTGTTAGACACGGTTGGAATGGACCTTTCTGGTCACCCTCTTCATAGGTCAGTATGAACTGTGTACTCTTACATTGTTTTGTTTGTTGTTTAACGCCGCCCTTAGCAATATTCCGGCTATATGACGGCGGTCTGTAAATAACCGAGCCTGGAACAGACAATCCAGTCATTGACATCTTGAGCATCAATCCACGTAATTGGGATGCGATAACATGCATAAACCTAGTCAGTGAGCCTGACGATCCGATCCCGTTAGTCGCCTCTTACGACATGCAAGCATGGGTTGCTTAAGACCTGCTCTACCCCGGATCTTCACGGGAAGGAAACCTTTATGAGCAAGATGCCGCTGTAAATAGGAATATTGATGGAAAATGTAATACATTGTCTGCTTCGTGCAATACTCCTTGCTTCAGATAACATTATATTGTTATTTTCTCGTTTCCTGATTGTAGACTGAATGTCCGGGAACCGTCCCCCTTTAACGTCACCTGCCCCATATCTGGCAACTACTACCCTGTCACAGGACGAATATTCATCAAAGTAAGCATAAACCTGTTTGTTTTTGTTTTTTTGTTTAACGCCGCACTCAGCAATATTCCAGCTATATGACGGCGGTCTGTAAATAACCGAGTTGGGATACCATGACATGCAATTAGGCAATTAGCCTGACCACCCGATCCCATTAGTCGCCTCTTGCGACAAGCATAGTCGACTTTTGCGGCAAGCATGGGTTGCTGAAGACCTATTCTACCCGGATCTTCACGGGTCCTTAAACCTGTACCTTGATAACATGCTAATAATAATATACAAATAATCTTCACCATAAAACCAGAGGCGTATTAATAATGTATATATACTGCGCATTGTGACTGGTATCTGACCGAAGACACTTAACCACCACTTTTACTACTGCTGACCTAGCTGGAATATTGCTGAGTGCGGCGTAAAACAACAAACCAACCAACCACCTGCTGCTGACGGATTTTAACGCGTCACATTTTGACAAACTTGAAAGAAACATTTTGTGGGTAACAATGCATTGGCGCTTTTTGTATTATTAGTGTCACAAGTTTACATATTATAAAAGTAGTCACCTTACACTGCTGATACCAACTGCGTATACCCCGCGGCGTATCCGCTATATGAATGCAACGCGATAGTTTCCCAAAACGACCACAGGACTTCACGAAAATAATCCACGACAAAGCTGTTATTCGTTTCGAAAAAGTAGAGCATTTTTTCATCGCAATGATATTTTCTAACAGTACATTCAAGTATGGGATACCAGAAGGGACATTGCCTCGTTGTCGCATTGCCAAACAACCACAAAGTGTCATCATTAATCAAAGGGAGACAATGCGACAACACATCATCTGACGTACCGGGTTCAAATCCATGCACAATACACTATACCATTCATTGACCTACGTGTACGCCTTTTGTGCGGTGATGTAGTTTGTTCCTCTTTCCTCAGGACGATGAGAAGAATGTCCAGCTGACCGTCCTTACTGACCGCTCACAGGCTGGCGCTAGTCTCCAGAATGGGCAGATGGAACTCATGGTCTGTATTGTGTAGTATGACACAAGTGAACACGAACTGTTATGTATGGAATACTGTAAGGGACATTCTCGCCCTTTGGAAACTAGCTTAATATGGCAAAAACACGAGAATGCGAGAACGCGAGATTTTGACATTCTCGTGTTTGTGGCATATTTAGCTCGTTTCCAAAGGTCGAGATCGCGAGAATGTCCCTACCTAACAGTGTTCCATAGTTTTTGTTTTTTCATTGTGATTTTCGAAAAGCGCATCACTCAAACCACCTGTTTTTCTTGTTTTGACCTAAACTTATTTCTGATTAAAAGTGCCCCCCCCCCCCCCCCCCACCCCCACCCCCACCCCCCCACCCACCCACCCACACACACATACTTTCTAAAGTTGAAACATCCAATTCAAACAGTGTCTAGCAGTTCGTTTGTTCTTTACACAAGGGATGGTGAAATGTAATGTTTGACAGGGGAGACATTCTACATTAGGATCTAATTTGCCATTTTAAAACATATAATGTGTAAAACGGAAATCAATCAACTCGGTTTGTCAACATAAGAGGTTTATAATACACACACGTAGAAGATAAATTAGTTATGCCAGGTAGTCCAAGCCATCCTAATTATCGTTAATCTTCACCACGTGGGAGTGCGTGAGTGAGTTCGGTTTTACGCCGCTTTTAGCAATATTCCAGCAATATCACGGCGGGGGACACCAGAAATGGGCTTCACACATTGTACCGATGTGGGGAATCGAACCCGCGTCTTCAGCGTGAAGACCGCCTCCGTGGTCTTGTGGTAGAGCGTCCGCCCGGAGAGCGGAAGGTCCAGGGTTCGATCCCGGGCCGCGTCAAACAAAAAGACGTTAAAAGATTGTACTTGTTGTTACCCTGTCTGGCGCTCGGCATTAAGGGGCTAAAACAAGGACTGGTCGGCTCGGAGTCAGTATACTGTGTCTGAGTGGGGTATTCATGTTAAACTGCGGCATGGTATCTCAGTGAGCTAGCACTATAAATCGGCATCAGTCCGGACTAGTACAAGCAGCCACACACACACATACACGTGCATGCACATCGCTAAATAAGTGCAATAATCTTGGACGCGACGTTAAACCCAATTTCACCTCACCTTCAGCGTGAAGAGCGAACGCTTTAACCACTAGGCTACCCCACCTCCCCTCACCACGTTGGTATTCCGCCGGGTTAGAATTGTCCCAAGATACCTATGTGAATTTTTTGTTTCTTTGTTGTTTAATTACGCCACACTCAGCAATATTGCTGAAGAGCTATTCTACCCCGGATCTTCACGGGTCCTATGGGCGGGTGGTCCGACTCGGTGATTTCCTGACAGGGTTACACCGACGGCGTGGTAGACGCCGTCATATAGCTGGAATATTGCTGAGAGCGGCTCTAAACAACAAACAAATAAATAAAAAAACTTCAATTATCAATAGATGACATCATCATATATATTGTTGCCTTTGGACATGTGCAGTTACTGTTAAAACACACAAACAAAAATATTATTTGGCCTTTCAGAAATCTATATGTTAAAAGTTGTCACACTGAAAACACTCCGTACGTAATAATATGTAAATAGTTTGCATCATGTAAACTAACCACACACCCAAATGTATTACAATTGTTTCAGTTTCACATATACATGTATATGTGAATAATCTCCCTTGGTTCAGGTACACCGCCGAACATTCAAGGACGATGACCTTGGCGTAGAAGAACCGTTGGATGAGAAGGGAGTGGATGGAAAGGGCCTAATAATCAGAGGTTAACATTTTATTCACTGCATATATTTATTTGTTGCATATGTTTCTGCAATCATTATTGTTCTATGCAAATGGCCATTGCTACCGGTAGGACAAGACATGTTTAGTTACCCCTTTCGCGAACACTCGGTGTCAGCGCTGATTTTCAGTGGTCCATTCATATGATCTCCAGGCCCTTTAAGCCAAGTGGAATCTGTTTCGGAGCATAATCTAAACTGGGTATACTCTTGCATTGATAATCTATATTTGTACGAACGTGAGTTAGTTTGAAGTGTATTGACGAACAACAAAACATATATCTATATAGGCGAGTCAGTGTGTAACGTTTTCCACGCTTACAACAATAGTTTCACCAGTAACATGTATGTTCTTCTAATGCCTTGGATGATACTCATGCTTGCTGTAAAGGTGACTGTACTTCTCGTAAGAGGCGACTAACGGAGTCGGGAGGTCAGGCTCCCTGAGGTTGTTAATTTATGTCATCGTATCCCAGTTGCGTATATAGATGCTCATGATGTCAATCACTGGATTGTCTGGTCCAGACTCGATTATTTACAGACCGCCGTCATATAGCTTGAATATTGCTAAGTGCGGCGTTAAACAACAAACAAACAAATCTAATGCCTTGGACCACGGCCTGAAAGAATAAAATCCAGTTCATCAGGGGCAGCACGAATATAGTTCACACATTACATCCTTGGGAAGAATAGATCCCGAAATGTTGATGCATACACTTCCATTTGGGACAAATGTAGACTAACACTTAGTCAATGAGAACATTTCTTTAAAATATTTTGTTTCTTTTCTTCGAAAGAACCTTTCCTCTTCTGCTTTTGATCTAGACTTGCCTAGACTTTTAGTAAATATATATTTATATTTATATATATTCCACCGTCATGGCGCAGGACTAAGACAAATGTGACGGGATGCATTTTATAAAACCGTCATTGAGAATGGAAATCACAGTTTAAAGTTTATTTCCAAGTATATCTTTATATTTTCCATAGACAAAATAAATGTACACGACGTTTACGATAAGTACACATAATCACATGTTATGTGTCTGTACAGGTAAGCATTACGTGGTACTGAACAGTGTTGAACGAGCAGCGGAGGACTACCGCCATCTGGGGCTGCGGGTGCATCACTTCCCTACGATGTCCTTCATGTCGGGGGTGGACATCAAGGGAATCAAGACAAAGGTGGGTTGGACACGTATCCCCACTGATGAAGGTGGAACCCGTGAAGATCCGGGGGTAGAATAGGTCTTCAGCAACCCATGCTTGCCGTAAAAGGCGACTATGCTTGTCGTAAGAGGCGACTAATGGGATCGGGTGGTCAGGCTTACTGACTTGGTTGATGCATGTCATCGTATCCCAATGACGTTGATCGAGGCTCATGATGTCAGTCACTGGATTGTGTGGTCCAGACTCCTCGATTATTTACAGACCGCCATCATATAGCTTGAATATTGCTGAGTGCGGCGTTAAACAACAAAGAAACAAAGAAACTGATGAAGAGTGAGATGAACAATTGAGTTGGACACGTATCTCCACTGATGACGGTGGAGGGTGAGTGAGTGAGTGAGTGTGGTTTAACGCCGCTTTTAGCAATATTCCAGCAATATCACGGCGGGGGACACCAGAAATGGGCTTCACACATTGTACCCATGTGGGGTATCGAACCCGGGGCTTCGAACGCTTTAACCTCTAGGCTACCTACCGCCCGATGACGGTGGATGTAGCCACAGGTTGACATGAACAATAGAATGAGTTGGACACATATCCCCACTGATGAAGGTGGATGTACGCCAAGCCCGCTATTTTACGCCTCAGATCACTGTTTCCCGCGATACTCTCTGTGATAGTGAGACGGTGGGGTAGCCTAGTGGTTAAAGTGTTAGCTAGTCACTCCGAAGTCCAAGGTTCGATTCCCAACATGCGTACAATGTGTGAAGCCCATTTTCTGGTGTCCCCCGCCGTGGTGTCGCTTGAATATTGCTAAAATCGGCGAAAAACCATACTCACTCGCTCATTCTGTGATCAAAAGTGTATTCAAAATACAATTAACATTGTCATGAAATCCTTCCAAACCTCACGATGCAAAATGATGTTATCTTTATTGACATATTGCAGACTAGTTGGCTGAAGAGGAGCCTCCCGGACAATGTCCATCTCTTGACCCTTGACCGGATCCACGGAGACCCCAACATGCTTCTTCTCCGACTTGAGAACTGCTTTGAGACGAAGGAACGCTCGCAAACAGCTGAACTGGCTTTACATGTTCGTATTCATCATAGAGAGCTAATTTCGGGAATGTTAACATGTGTTGGTATTAGTTATGTACATGTTAATGCTCGATTAATAAAGTCCTCAAAAGACATACGACCTACCATCAGCAAAATATATATGCCAACAAATTTACTATCTGATCGCTGAACTAGTTCAATCACAAATAATGTCTATTTCAATATTCACTCATTTGAAAACAGTTACTTTTACTTTATTATTTGAAATAGCGTTACATAGATTTCTAAAAAATGAAACGGAAACAGTAGTCTGTAAATTCATTTATGAAGACCATTTTTTCACTACATTGATACAATTTGTTTGTTTGTATCTTTGTTGTTTAACGCCGCTCTCAGCAATATTTCAGCAACATGACGGCGGTCTGAACAATAATCGAGTCTCGACCACACAATCCAGTGATTGACATCATGAGCATCGAACCACGCAATTGGGATACGACGACATGCATCAACCAAGTCAGCGAGCCTGACCACCCAATCACGTTAGTCGCCTCTTACGACAAGCATAGTCGCCTTTTACGGCAAGCATGCTGAAGACCTATTCTACCCCGGATCTTCACGGGTATGAAAAAGTATACCCTTGTCTTACGGCTGAGTCAAGAGACTATTGATTGTGGCGTGTGTGTATTTGAAGGATTACATCGAGGGGATCAAGTCAGTGCGAGAACGCAGTCTCGGAGGCAACCACAACGTCACGGGTGTCAAGCGACTACGCTGGAAGACCATGGACGGTATAACAACGCCAGATCAGATAAGCGGTAATAACTTCAACGTTTGCTGTCTAAAGTCAAACGTCATAAGCACATGTTTTCTATTCTAGACATTGACTCCTGGGGAAACGTTACCTATCTTTGAAAACTAATAATACCCAAACAAATTTCCATATATCAGTATGTAATCACTGCGGCGTTCACGTTCACGTATACATGTAGAATTACTAATACTCTAGCTATTGACCCTTCTGTTTCAAGACCTGAGTTCCGTTTCAGAAGGGGCACGTCTAAGGCGCCGCAATTCGCTGTGCAGAGTTGCGTCCCTTGGGCACGCCAGAAACCTATGATTGTGGGTTCGAAACCCGGTCGCCCGATTATGTTTCTAGGTTTGTCAGCACCATACCCGTGCTCGTGGGCTTCACCGAAGTGGTAAACGTCTAAGTCCGGCATCACTTCGGGCTTTCCTCCCACATTAAGCTGACACGCCGTGATATAACTGGAATACTGTTAAAAGCGGCGTTAAACACAACTCACTCCGTTTCACAAACGATCGTAGCTCTGTCACTATCGTAACTCCAAAACTTTAACGTTGACAGTCGTAGCGTTATGGTCGACTTGTCAAACGAGGACCAGTACGTATTAACTCGCAACTGGCAAATGAGATTACTTTCCCCGATAAGTTCTATAATCCCGTTTAATCACTCACCAAGAATATTCTGTTGTTGCAGATGCAGTCACTGACGTCCTTCTTCATCCATATATCATATCATTAAAGCCAATGGAAATTCGAACGTTTCATATACACATAGAGCGGTCTGTGGCGACGTAACGTCAACATATTCGTTTATTTGATACCATATTATGTATAAATGTTGTCTAAATGATTTCAATTGTTGTTCGGGATGTAAGAGAAATGGAAATTTGTCAGTATTTTACAACCTGTTTAATATTTCGTTTCTGGTTTAATAAAGAACACGTTCTGAATCACAAATCCTGAGATTAGATTAAGTGACTGTTCCGCTGTGGATACATCTTGGGAAGGTAACATAATTAATATGTATATATTCTGTACATAAAGTTTTGCGAATGTTGGTTGTTTTGTTAGACATGTTACATGTGTGTTAAATAGCTTCAGGTTAGCAAACGAAATGATGGGTCGATCGGGTTACAGAAAACAAGTACGTTTATTTTAGGCATTACCACTAAGTCTCGATCTTCTTTATAACAATGGTCAAGTGTGTCCGAATGTGACCGGTGTGTGGACAGTGGGCTGTCCTGTGGATATCCTCGTTATCGTTTAGTACTGCCTTACAGAAAGCTTGGTTTGAACACGGATTCAATTTTTGTAAATAAACACAGATATATATGGATAATATTGTTCTGTTTTACACATTAATAATGATTTATATTAGTAAGTTAAACCAAAATCCGACCCGTGAAGATCCGGGGTAGAATAGGTCTTCAGCAACCATGCTTGCCGTAAAAGGCCAAGGCGACTAACGGGATTTGGTGGTCAGGCTCGCTGACTTGGTTGATGCATGTCATCGTATCCAAATTGCATGGATTGATGCTCATCATGTTAATCACTGGATGGTATGGTCTAGACTCGATTGTTTACAGACCGCCGCCATGCATGTAGCTGGAATATTGCTGAGTGCGGCGTTAAACAACAAACAAACAAACAAACAAACATAAACCAACATCCACATGACGGGGTGTCGGTAAACCAAGGATCCACCGCGTCACACTGAATGAATAATGTGTTTCATGGGATCAAGATAAGACACATGTGGATTTGTTGTTGTGACCCTGAACATAAAGGACATATAACATAAACATATGAATGATCTTATCAATACGGAGTCGACATTCCTGCGTGAACACACAAACATCGATTTGTTTTAAACTGAGGTAAGTATGTTGTGTACATATCTGATGAAGGTTTTGTGAACATTTCTCGTTTCAATACACACAGCAGGTAGGTACCTGTACACACATGTAGACACTATCACAAGCCGAATCTGAACATAACGGTCAGACACGCGATCTACGAATGCCTAATGTTGCCACTTTGGTAGCTTAATTTATTTTTTCAATTCGGAATTTCTCGCTATTTGAATTATTTTCTCGATACTTCGATTATTTTCACGTTATTTCAAGTTTAGTAAAAAATCGAAATTTCGAGTTTTTTCAAATAACGAGAAAATAATCGAAGTAGCCAGAACAAATTCGTAATTTCGATTTTTTAAAATAAAACTAAAATTACGAGAAAATAATCATAATTACGAGAAAATAATTGAAATAACGGGAAACTGCTATTAAGAAAAAAATATGCTACAAAAGTGGCACCATTATGCTTTCGTAGCTGTGCCTGTGCGGGAATGAGAAGAAACTAAGCGAGTGTAGACATCCGTCAATGAGCTAATAATCACGGGATTATTGTTTGCGAATACTTTGTAGATATAAGAAAGAAATAAAAGCCATTATATTGTCTAAATATACCCTCTATGATCAATAAATGTATTATAAAGTAGAAACACCATATATGGAAGAAACTTTCTAGATTATGCTGTCAAATAATCAATGTTTAAGTAATGTGTGATCTGTCGACATATACTTGTATATTGATCTCTGATAACTACCTTATGTCTGGACCACACAGTCCAGTGATTGACATCATGATCATCGATCCATGCAATTGGGATACGATGACATGCATCAACCAAGTCAGCGAGCCTGACCACCCGATCCCCTTAGTCGCCTCTTAAGACAAGCATAGTCGCCTTTTACGGCAAGCATGGGTTGCTGAAGACCTATTCTACCCCGGATCTTCACGGGTCGTTTAACACTTAGTGAAAGTTCTGTGGCGGCGGCCTTTAATAATCGAGTCTGGGCCAGACAATCTAGTGATTGACATCATGATCATCGATCCATGCAATTAGGATACGATGACATGCATCAACCAAGTCAGCGAGCCTGACCACCAGATCCCCTTAGTCGCCTCTTACGACAAGCATATTCGCCTTTTACGGCAAGCATGGGTTGCTGAAGACCTATTGTACCCCGGATCTTCACGGGTCGTTTAACACTTAGTGAAAGTTCTGTGACGGCGGCCTTTAATAATCGAGTCTGGACGAGACAAACCAGTCATTGATTTTATTACCACAGTCCCTCGCCGTCGTGGTGCAATAACACGCAATCAACCAAGTCACCGAGCCTGACCACCCACATTTAGTCGCCTCCCGCGACAAGCATATAGTTCCTGGGGATCTATTCTAACCGGGAATACCAAAGTGGCGGTATTGAAAAATGAATACTAGATTGACGTATACATCTTGCTAAATATATCTTCCAGTTAGCAATTATAGTTAATTTGCAGTAAGAAACGACAAAACACAATTCAAAAACGCACCTGATCTCACAGCCGCTTTCAGTGGTTGCCATATCTCTGCGTGTCACGGTCAGAGGGGAGGAAAGGCCACGTATGTACAGGTCGTGATTAGCCTGTACCAGTCTGTGATTAATGGGCAGAAACATAGCGACCGAGGTGGTGGTGTATATTTAGTCACATGTAGCTGTTGTTTCTTCGATCTCTTTAAAGACAACGTGCGTGTCAGCTGTGGCTTGTAACTGAAGAATGTATGTCATATAAACAGGTCACAAAGCTGCCAAATGGATCTGATAGAATTTTAAAGTGAAGATGATTTGCCCACTCACAACGATTTGTCAGTTTCCTTGCATTGCTCTGTGAACAATCAGTATCAAAATGGGTGAGGTACTATCCCCTGAACTAACTTTTGTTTTGTTTGTTTGTGTGCTTGTCGGCAATATTCCAGCTATGTGACGGCAGTCTGTCAATAATCAAGTCTGGAACAGACAATCCAGTGATTAACGTCGTGAGCATCGATCCACGAAATTGGGATACGATGACATGCTTCAACCAGTTCAGCGAGCCTGACGACCCGATCCCGTTAGTCGACTCTTACGACAAGGGACGGTCGGGTAGCCTAGTGGTTGAAGTCACGCGGAAGACCCAGGTTCGATTCCCGACATGACATTTCTGGTGTCCCCCGCCGTGATATTGCTGGATTATTGCTAAAAGCGGCGTAAAACCGTACTCACTCACTCTTACGACAAGCATGGTTGCCTTTACGGGAAGCATGGGGTGCTGAAGACCTATTCTACCTCGGATCTGCACAGCACACAACCCGCCCTCCGGACTTTCTTATTTGCTCTGCAGGGGGTTGAACCAGACGGTTTGTTCAGATAAAATGTTCTATTTTTACATACACGTTTACTTTACGTTATCAGTTGAGTGTATAAATGTTATCTGAAACGCATGAACAAGCTGTGTATTGCATGCCGCCATGGGGTATACCATGTAAAATGCAGTCACGAAACATGTGTTACCCACGCACAAAGTCGATTCTCCCACTTCGCACGTGCATTTCGTCACCTCGCCACGTTGAGTGTTGACAATGAAGCGGATACACTGGCATTGATCAGGTAAGAATCACTGAATGTTACATTTATAAACATATACTGCTTCGCGATACTAGTCTTCCGGAGAGAATGTCATCAGGTCGCTGTCTACAACACCTATTTTGGAGGGGGGGATACTTCCGCCCGCAGCACCCCCCTCCCGCCCCCTCCAAAACTTATATATATTTCTATGTGTTTATTGTAAGGTACTTATAAAGTATTTTGAGATCGCCAGTGAAATTCAATGTATTCTCCCCTAATTCTCCCCGCCCCTAATGTCTTCTTTTTTACTTTAAAGCACTGTTAAGAAATAACTTTTTCAACTCAAAGTTTCGTTTCGGATTCCTACTTTTGTACCTGCCATGCACCTGTGTGTCAGGTTCACGGAAGTCAGGTCTGGGGTCAATCTCTTCATACATGTTCAAGCCGCAAGGGACGTTTGTTTGTTTGTTTGTTTGTTTGTTTGTTTGTTTGTTTGTTGTTTAACGCCGCACTCAGCAATATTCCAGCTATATGATGGCGGTCTGTAAATAATCGAGTCTGGACCAGACAATCCAGTGATAAACATCATAAGCTTTGATCCACGCAATTGGGATACGATGGCATGCTTCAACCATGTCAGCGAGCCTGACCACCCGATCCCGTTAGTCACCTCTTTCGACAAGTCTTTTACGGCAAGTATGGGTTGCTGAAGACCTATTCTTCCCCGGATCTTCACGGGTCCTAAACACTTGGACCTGCCACAAACTGGTCTGGGCGCTGCGACTGTCCATGGTACAATAGTGAGTGTTTATACGTACGTGATGGCGTCATGGTGCTGCAGAAGGGCCACCGCTTTCTCTGAAAGGAAATACACTGTCTTGCATGAGACGAGTAAAAGTCTTTATAATTTGATTTATTAAAGTAGATGTTGTGGAAGACAACACTGACAACAAGCTGAGGTCAATTGTATTAGATAAATATGTCGTCATGTGATAGGAGTGTAGATAACGACGTTATAGATTCGTTACCTACTCAAGAAATAAAAAAAACAACTAAATCATACCACCCTCCAAGTCAGTTTTGAAAATGAGAATTGACAAACTGGCCTTATATGCGTTGTCTTCATACATGTATGTACATCATTAACACCGGTCAGACCGGTTGTGTACCATCGTGACCCTGCTGACTACGTCATCTTTAGTAATAGTATCAACCTGTTGTTTCCCCTGGCCAAGGCGTTTTACCTGCCACCCTCATACAGATGGAATGTTCCTTACTGCGGCGTGAAATTAAATAATATTTTTTTCAAACAAAGAGTTGAATAGGAGTGACGTGAATGAGTATGAGGCTCGCTTACTTGGTTAGTGCATGTCTTGGTATCCCATCATCGTGTCATGGTATTGCGTGGATCGATCCTCATGATCATTGGATTGTCTGTTCCAGAGTCTGTCATATAGCTGGAATATGGCGTTAAACAACAAACTAACAAAACCTTTACCACAAGGCTGCCCCACTGCCCCGTGTCGAATAAGAGGTACCTGATAGATGTTGAGTTTAGGTGTAGAATATTACACTTATTTATTTCACTTTTGATTCTCTGAAGTCGTTTGACAATGACATACATGGTCGCTGCTCTCGGCTGACTACAGTGGAGTACTAGTATTGTAAATCTGAAATTAAGCTCAGGTGATATGAAGTAAATTTTGTTTAATCTCGGATATAAACTTTCGCGAGACAAACATGTCTGTACAATATAGGGCGTATAGATCGCTATAGGCTGTTTGGTTCTCCAGTTATCGTTGTTGCAGTTGATTCGGACCCAAGAATTCGCTGGCTATTCTGAACGTGTATTTGTTCAAGTGAAAGTGACTCAAATACTCACCGCCAAAAGAGACGCGAACCACAGAAACATATAGAGAATTATTACTTGTCCGTGAAGTGATCACCCGTTTAATAAACATACAGCTGTATTACACATTGTGTAATACCAAAACGCGTGCTTATGTACTGTCGGAACAAGCTTCACCAACAAATATTGAAAGCTCTCAACATCCCTTGGCTTATTCAACGACATTGCGTGTGGAGATAATAGATCATTGAGAGGAGTTTATGCACACTCGATGACCCGAGCAACCTAGTTGCTAGGCTGACGTCACATGACATTGTTTCGCAGATGGATCTTGCAACAAAATTCCACAAATTACATGATCGGATATTGTGACGTGATAGTAAATTTTGTGGTTCAGAGCCCCCGTTTCACAAGAAGATCGTACTGTAGCGCAACGACAGTCGTAAGTCTAAGTTAAAGTATGTTTGTTGCGATAACCTTAGCGCTATAACCTTGTGGAACGGACGCCTGAATTCTGAAGGTGGACCGTTGTATGGTAGTAAATTAATTATACGTGTCAACGTTTGACGTGTTTGAAGTATTATTCTGTTAAACTCAATTGGATATTATGCCTAGGATCGTGTAGGTGTCAGCCTATTCACACACGACAGTGTAATTCTAAAAACGTTATAAATGCAAGCAAAAAATAAAATACTAAACTCGCTCCCGTGTAAAACCAATTTTATGAAACTCGTGAATAGATGTGGTATCCGACTCCCCTTCGCTCGTCCGATACCACAACTATTCATTCGTTTTATAAAATTGGTATTACACGGGAGCTCGTAGTATTCTATATGTATGTACGTTAAGAAGATTGTTTCCAATGGATACCCATTAATGACAAAACTAGTCAAGTGTTACCGCAGAGTGTCTTTATTCTTATCACGATATGCTGCGCGTGATCCGGAATCAACATATTCTCGTGAATTCTCATGAATTCTCCATTTAAATTAATGACCACGCCTTGCATTAAAACATTACCAAACAGTCACTGAAGCAGAATCTATGCTCTTCGAAAAGTATATTATTATATATTGATTATTATTATATTATTATTATTATATTATTATTTTTTTTATTATTATATATTATTATTATATTATATTATATTATATTATATTATATTATATTATATCATTATAAATACAGACATTCTAACGTTATAAAAAAAACAGTCGTCCCCCATGCGCAGCCGATCAGTCGGATTATGTCGTGTATATTCATATCCATACATGAACGGTGTTATCCAATCGAGATAAACAAGCATGCAGGTGTATGTTCTTATAGTTGGTTTACGATGCGTGTGGAATTTGTGTACACGTGTGCGTTTGTGTGTGTGGCTTTAAGCCATGCCTTCTATGACAGTGCAGCTAAAGTTTATATATTTCTCACAGTGTGCATCAACTCATCTAACACGCCATGTTTCGAGCCCGGACGAAGCGTCTATTCCTTTCCATAGTGGTGGTAACAGCCGTTCCTTTCGTCCTCTTCTTTTTGGATTCTCTCAGCCTTGGTGTGAAGTTGCTCAAGGGAGACCACTCTGAATTAATTCGACGAGTCGCGATAAACGAAGATGACAGACCAGTTGGCGTTGATAATATTATCCGTGAAGAAGAAAATGTGGAACCTGAAGAGATTGAACAGGAACCACTTTCAGTTACCTGCCGCAATGATAAAGTGAGTACAAATCAGCAAAGGTAAAAAACATAATAATGTTGATTTGTTTTGTCGTCGACATCGCTGACGCTTTTTGTCACTTTATATTAAGGTCTTAAATTATGAAATCTAATCTACTTGAGCATGTATCTGTGCGTACGTGCGTGTAGACGTATGTGTACCGTGACAAATTCCTATTTTATTCTATAAACATATGTTGATTGTAACCATACGTCACAACAGCATTAGGAGTGAATAACGCTGTATAGGCCTTTATCATGTTTTGCTGTTCGTCTTTGCTGTTTTTTATAAACATGTGTGAACATGTATGAATGCGTGAGTGCGTGCTTGAACGAGTGATAAACATCGAGTGTTACTGTATCTGTGGACCACACAAGGAAACTATATTATAAGATAGCTACGCGATAACTCGCAAAGGGCAAAAAGCAACGAAGCTTATGTGTGGTATATTTAAGGAATTTACGACGAGTGGGAGTTTGGGAGTTGTTTATTTCTTATATGACATATCAACATAATGTACATCCCCTTCAAGGATGGTTATAACAAGTATAAGCTTTACAAATAGTTGCCTTACTTTTGATAATGATGACTCCCTGAACAGAATCCGACTTCGGCAATGTCGGACAAATCCATTTTATGAACAGGTGTTGTATTTCCCGCATATTCTCACAATCATTACGTCGATTATCTGTACCTTTTCTCCTTATTCAGATTGTCATATCTCTCCAACTCTTGGGTGCGATCGCTCGGTAACTGCGTTTATCTGCGTATCCCAGCTACATCTATGGGGAACAACACACTAGATACTTCCCTCGCTAAAAATAAAGTCGTCCAATATATGACGCCATCAAGTTGCGAGCGCATATTCGAATCACCAGAAATATGATGAAATGATAGAACAATGTTTTTTCGTGAAAACACGCTTCGTTCTTCATTGCTCTTTGCCATTTATCGCGTAGCTATCTTATATTTCACGATAATCATGTTCTATCGTGATTAAATCAATGTTTAAATGATGTTCATCGTCTCAGATTTTACACAAGTCAATAACTTCCCAATAAGGGTAGAGAGTAAGTTTATCACAAGATGCGCTGAAAATTCCCGCGTTTCCAAATTAGTCGAAATATTGTAAATCATTTAATAAATAGTTAATGTGAAGTTGTGAACAGTACGTTCGAATCCCAGATTCAGCCAGATTATGTTTCTTGATTTGTCAGCATCGTATCCGTGCTCATGGGTTTCACAGAAATGGACGCCTAATACCTGCTTCACTTCTGGCTTATCTTAAGCTGTAGGGTAGCCTAGTGGTTAAAGCGTTTGCTCGTCACGTCGAAGACCCGGGTTCGATTCCTGACATGGGTACAATGTGTGAAGCCCATTTCTTGTGCCCCCGCCGTGATATTACTGAAATACTATTCAAACCGGCATAAAACGAAATTAACCAACTCACCAAACACGTACAGACAGAAAATGGAATAATACACCTCTTAATCAGACATGTTTAGTAATAAATTCGGTATGTTCAACATTCTAGAAATGTAATCCAACAAGATCAGGAATGTTCAACGTACACATCGTCCCTCACTCACACAATGACGTTGGTTGGAAGAAGACGGCAGACCAGTATTACACTGGAAGGGGCGGCGGCAACGGTAACATCTTGAGTGTAAATAATAATGATATCAAGTCAATATCTAATATTTTTTTTCATTTTGATGGCTTGAACCTTAACCATATATTCTGTATAGTAATATACACATACAACGTGCTCTTCATACCAGCTAGGGACCGCCTCCTTGGTCTAGTGGTAGAGCTTCCGCCCGCAGAGCGGAAGGTCCGGTGTCGATTCGCGGCCGCGTCATACCAAAAGACGTTAAAATATGGTACTTGTTGTTACCCTGTCTGGCGCTAGGCATTAAGGGGCTAAAACAGGACTGGTCGCACGCACGCACGCACACACGCACGCACACACGCACACATTTAAGTGCAATAATCTTGGACGCGACGTTAAACCCAATTTCATCTCACCTTACCGGATGGTCAGATTCATTGACTTTGTTGATTGACCACCATTGATGGACGTAGCACATATCAACCCCTCGATTGTCTGGCCCTGATTTGAATACCGGCATACAGATCAATTATTGCTGACTGCTGTGTTAAGCAGCCTTCACTCGCTCTCAGTACATCTTGTAAATTTCCCCCTACACTATTGGCTCAGGCTAGATCCAGGGTACATCATACTTGTCCCCCTGTGTGTGTTCCGGGGCAGAGTACCTTATACTTGTCCTAAGATCCGTGAAGATCCGGGGTAGAATAGGTCTTCAGCAACCCATACTTGCCGTAAAAGGTGACTATGTTTGTCGTAAGAGGCGACTAACGGGATCGGGTTATAAGGCTCGCTGACTTGGTTGATGCATGTCATCTATCCCAATTGCGTGGATCGATGCTCATGATGTCAATCACTGGATTGTCTGGTCTAGACTCGATTATTTAACGACCGCCGTCATATAGCTGGACAATTGCTGAGTGCGGCGTTAAACAACAAACAAACAAATATACTTGTCGTCTTCGGATAAAGGGGCGGTGGGGTAGCCTTGTGGTTAAGGCGTTCCTTCGTCACGCCGAAGACCCGAGTTCGAATCCACACATGGGTGAAATGTGTGTAGCCCATGTCTGGTGTCCCCTGCCGCGATATTGCTGGAATGTTGTTAAAAGCGGCGTAAAAACATACTCATTCACTCATTTCTCGAGATAATTTTTTAGACAATATTCAATTCTGCTAATGCCCTGTCAAAATGTCCTTACTTTTATTAAATCATGAAAATGTCTCGATCTCATTATCTCTTGCAAACCACTGCTACCGTCCGTGACCACCTCGTTGTGTGTCACCTCACCCCGACGGTGTGGATTGATGCTCATGATGTCACGCACTAGTTCAAGTTGGATCAACGTGACACTGATGACTGCAGCGCAAAACCACATTAACTTACTCACTTATGTATTGCAGCCGCGTCGTTCTATGACGGGACCGAGTGCAGCAAGTGCATCCTCGACAGCGTCATCCCCCAGCTGGTGAGGAAACGGGACAGGCGCTTCATTTTTGCGGAGATGGCCTTCTTCTCCCGCTGGTTTAAGGAACAAGACTTGAATACTCGACAAGCAGTGAGGGACCTCGTGGCACAGGGTAGGTACGCACATTTAATCTTCATTTTTTTAGTCTTGTGGATAGAGCGGTGGTTCGATTCCCGGCTGCGCGGTACCAAAAGACGTTACAAAATGGTAATTGTTGCGTAGTGCTCGGCATTAGAGGAATCAAACAAGGACTGATCGGTTTTTTGTTGTTTAACGGCAACATTCCAGCTATATGACGGCGGTCTGTAAATAATGGAGTCTGAACTAGACAATCGAGTGATTTACATCACGAGCATCGATCTACGCAATTGGGGTAAGTCGGTGAATCTGACCACCCGATCGCCTCTTACGACAAGCATAGTAGTCGCCTTGTACGGCAAGTATGGGTTGCTGAAGACCTATTCTAACCCGGATCTTCACGGGTTCTGAGATGGGTAGCACATGGTAGCTCAATGGGCTTGCACTATAAAACCGGCATTAGTCCGGAGTTGAACAAGCAGCACGCACGCACGCACGCACGCACGCACGCACGCACGCACGCACGCACGCACGCACATATTAAATGCACGTCGCTATATAAGTGCAATAATCTTGAACGCGACGTTAAACCCAATTCACCTCACCTTTCATCAGGGGCAGATAACTCTAACGTCGAGCACTTCGGTAGTGCAGATTTGGGCCTCACTCACACAATCTCGACACAAAAGACTGCCTCTGGGATTTACCGTGTACCACAGCACTTGTTTACAATTGTGTAGTTTAAACCAAGTCTCTTTTAAGGACGTCTTCAGATTGTAATCGGTGGCTGGAGCATGAGCGACTCGGCCACGACCTACTACGACGACATCATCGACCAACACACTCTTGGTTTCCAATGGATACAGAAGGAATTTGGAGAATGTGCAATGTCTAACATCGGCTGGCACATCGACCAATTCGGACATTCTCGTGAACACTCGTCTTTGTTCGCTCAGGTACATAGAGTATTTTGTATTCTGTCGGTGTATTGTTCTTGCATTCGGAAGTTTTATTAAAGGAATGATGTTAGGTTTCTTCCTTGATTGCATGAAATGACCCTGGAGTTAGTGAGTGAGTGAGTGAGTTTTAACGCCTCTTTGAACAGTATTCCAGTTACAGCTCAATGAGAGGAAAGAGCGAAGTGATGCCACGAGCACGGATATGGTGCTGACAAACATAAAAACATTAATCGGGGCGAACCGGGATTCGAACCCACGATTGGTGCGCCAAAGGAACGCAACTCTGCACTGCGCGTGTGGCGTCTGAGATAACTTGGCCACCCCTGGCCCCTGAATGACCCTTGAAAGTCTACTCCCCCTGCAGTGTTGGAATATTGTTAACAATTGAAAGACTTGGACTTTCATGTCTGATCTGGTATAACCTGGCATTGTCTTTGTTACACGTGGAAACCTGTAACCTTTGGCAAAGCAGGATAACGATGTCGTTGTAGACGGACTGTTTTCTTTCTAAACATGGAATGAGACCTGTAAGAAGGACTATGTTTGTGTTTGCGAGCATTACAAGATTATTTTGAGTCAAAATAAGACTTTCGTCTGACAGTTAAAAAAGAGCAAATAAAATATTTTTAGACAATTACAGATTGTTCGGATGTAAAAATAATGAAAGACCACCACCCGATTGTCATGGATACAATCTTCACTTTAATAGATATGATCGATCAGCGACCATAGCTTTGTTTTCAATCCGATTTGAATGGCATGAGTCCCGTGAAGATCCAGGGTAGAATAGGTCTTCAGCAACACATTCTTGTTGTAAGAGGCGACTAACGGGATTATTTACAGACCGCCGTCATAATGCTGGAATATGACGCAAGAAACAGCCACCCAATCAAATTACAGTCACTCGCGAGATATAGTGTGGGACGATACTGGCACGAGTCGTGGAAATATGGACGTCCTTAATGAATAGATCCAAGGCTTTTGTCAAGATAGAAAAAAAGAATAATACACGGGGTAATCAAGCGTGGGTCGACACGTTGTGGGGAGATCTGTGTGCTTCTTGCAAGATGTTCCATTAGCTGGTAAAGGTTGAAAACCACGCTCGCTTGGATAGCCTTGAAGTATATGTGTATACCTGTTCCTATGTATCGTGTGTATATGCTCAGTTCACTGGGGGCACGGGTGGCCCAGTCGTCCTAGGCGCCGCGATTCGCTGTGCAGAGTTGCGTCCCTTGGGCACGCCAGAAACCTATGATTGTGGGTTCGAATCCCGGTTCGCCCCGATTATGTTTCTAGGTTTGTCAGCACCATACCCGTGCTCGTGGGTTTTACCGAAGTGGTAAAAGTCTGAGACCTGCATCACTTCGGGCTTTCCTCCCACATTAAGCTGACACGCCTTGATATAACTGTAACACTGTTAAAAGCGGCTTTAAACCCAGCTCACTCACTCACTCACTCAGTTCACTGTTTCTCCACAGATGGGATTTGACGCTATCTTTCTCGGGCGAATAGATTTCCAGGACCACACAAGAAGACTCAAGTCTCGGGACATGGAGACTGTGTGGGTGACCAGTCCACAAAATCTGGGTATTTTTCAATTCATTACTGTAGTGGGTGGTATTTTTCTAAATGTTTGAAGGAGATATCGGGAATTGATGTGATCAGATACATCATCACCTAGGCCTGGCATATTCAACGTCCACGACCTAGCTGTCGGAATGGCTTACCTTCATCTTCAACATCTTCCCGAGGCAAGGGCGTTAGCTGACTTTTGAAGTTCAGTTCCCAGCCTTGCCAAACTAGGCTGGAATTCCGGAGTTACATTTTGGCTGTACATCGTAAACAACTTGGATTTCAACTGTGAACCGCAAAACCGGGCGTCAACAGCTATTTTGAAAAACTTTACATGTTTGTAGTCGAGGTGTTCCAGTGATTTGATGGTAAGACCCGTTACAATATGACATTACAATATAGATCTTGATTAGCGATCCGATCGTCTTGACAGAGCGCCGCCATTTTGTTTGAAGCAAAAGCAAGACTAGTGATATGAGAGGTGGAATCTGATTGGTCAATAGCAGGGATATAGAAGGGACATAACTCGTAATAGCCACTGGTGGCGATACGACCAAGCCTGGAAATTCAAGCCGAGTTCGGCAAGGGTGGAATGTGGACTTTTATAGTCAGTTAACGCCCTTGCCTCGAGAAGAGGCGTCTCAAACAAAAATATAGCGGGTACTATATGACAATGTGTGACGTGACTGATATTTATGTCACCCTACAGGGCGTGACCTGATGCTCATGGTTTCAACCTATTGTTTATCGAAACGGAAATCGATGTCATTAAAGCCCGACATGGATAGATTTCAGTAGCTCAGTGATGCCTTGTTAGTCGTGTATAATATTGTCTCGTGATATAGCTTATCTCTGGTTTGTTTGATTGTTTGTTGTTTAACGCCGCACTCAGCAATAATCCAGCTATATGACGGCGGTCTGTAAATAATCGAGTCTGGAACAGACAATCAAGTGATTAATATCATGAGCATCGATCCACTCAATTGGGATCGATGACATGCATCAACCAATTCAGCGAGCCTGACCACCCGATCCCGTTTGTCGCCTCTTACGGCAAGCTTGGGTTGCTGATGGCCTATTCTACCCCGCATCTTCACGGGTCGCCTATCTCCGGTAAAATATTCAAAGTCAAATTGTATATTCAACATTGTGATAGGTTCCTCATGTATATCTTAGTCTGTTTTCTAACACTCAAAGTCTGGATTAGAACCCGTATTTTGTAAAATTGTGTTTAGACACTAAAGGTTCTACAAGAGATTGTTTGCTTGACTCATACAGCGTATTGACCTTCCAGGAAACAGCCTGTTCACAAGTGTGTTGTATGACGGATATTTCAGCCCGGCCAACCTACGTTGGGAGGGACTCCCACCGTCTTCGTCCGTACGTCATAACTGGGACCATCCCCTTCCGCATTTATTTAAGTATCTTTGTTAAATCAGTGAAAGACCATGCCATTGTTTTCGGGTAGTAAGCAGACATTGATCCACTGTGTACAGTTGCGTCGAACAGAGCGCCTGCCCAGGTAGATCGGTTATTCGATCCCCATTCCACGTCATACCAAAATACGTTGAAAGATGGCACTTGATGTTACCTTGCCTGGCATACGTCATGGTGGGATAAACAAGGGCTGGACCTCGTGAGTGAAATGATCTTGAACGCGACGAATCTTGATACGTATGTATCTTGTAAATAAATATTCCCAATGTCTGGGACCGCCTCCGTGGTCTAGTGGTAGAGCGTCCGCCCGGTGAGCGGAAGGTCCGGGGTTCGATCCCCGGCCGCGTCATACCAAAAGACGTTAAAAGATGGTACTTGTTGTTACCCTGTCTGGCGCTCGGCATTAAGGGGCTGAAACAAGGACTGGTCGGCTCGGAGTCAGTATACTGTGTCTGAGATGGATATTCATGTTAAACTGCGGCATGGTATCTCAGTGAGCTAGCACTATAAATCGGCATCAGTCCGGACTAGTACAAACAGCCACACAAACACACACACGTACATGAACGTCGCTATATAAGTGCAATAATCTTGGACGCGACGTTAAACCTCATTTCACCTCACCCAAATGTCTGAAGGACGTGGATTGCGACTGGACAAACACGTGTCTCATTGATCCAAACCATGTTTGTAACGCATAGACGCTACATTCCTCGCGGTGAGGGGTAAGGTGAAATAGAGTTTGAGAGTGAGTGAGTGAGATACCGCAGTTTAACATGAATACTCCACTCAAACACATTATCGATCCGGGGATCGAACCCCGGACCTACCGCTCTCCAGGCGGACGCTCAATTACTAAGTGTGATAAGACAAGGGGAGTTGAGTGCCCTTGTCTTTACGGTTGGCTGACATACAGCTCAATAAAGCGGCCCTTAAGGACGTAATTATATAGTTAAATAGGACATGATTCTGATCAGAGAACTGTGTTGTCCATGATAGAACAGTCATGTGTATGGAACTGTTTTGTACACATGAGGGTTTTGACTGGCGTCAAGTTGTATCTTATGTTTCAGAAACGGATACGGAAGATGGAGGCTAAAGCGCTCATCAACCTTGCAGTGAAGTGGGTATGTAGTTGGTTGTGGGTACAGAAATAGGCTCGTTCAGTCCTTTGGGCCATCACATAGGGTTTCAGAAGCAGAGCTTACCTGTGCCTGCATATCCATCATCCCAAGGCCTAAGGGGTATCTCATCTTTCTTACAACTTAAGGGGGTATGGGTGGCCCAGTCGTCTAAGGCGCTACGATTCGCTGTGCAGAGTTGCTTCCCTTGGGCACGCCAGAAACCTATGATTGTGGGTTCGAATCCCGGTTCACCCTGATTATGTTTCTAGGTTTGTCAGCACCATACCCGTGCTCGTGGGTTTCACCGAAGTGGTAAACGTCTAAGACCTACATCACTTCGAGCTTTCCTCCCACATTAATCTAACACGCCGCGATATAACTGGAATATTGTTATAAGCGGCGTTAAACCCAACTCACTCACTCACTCACTCTTACAACTTAGGGACGTTTGGGTAGCCGAGTGGTTAAAACGTTCCTTTCGTCACGCCCAGACCCAGGTTCGATAACCCACATGGATACAATATGTGAAGCCCATTTCTGGGGTCCCCCGCCGTGATATTGCTGGAATATTGCTCAAAGCGGCGTAAAACCATTTTCACCCACTCACTCACTCACTCAACTTATAAAATGGATTTCTAATGTTTTATGCAACTTATGGGTCTCCAATCTTAATTAAGTTTTTCTGGTATTGTAAAATTATTTAAACATTCTTCTCTTTACAACTCTTCCCCTATCAGTGAAACGATTCATAGACTAGATACTGGATGCTTGTCGTAAGAGTCGACTAACAGGATCGGCTGGTCAGGCTCGCTGACTTTGTTGATGCATATCATCGTATCCCAATTGCGTGTGTCGATGCTTATGATGTCAATCACTGAATTGTCTGGTCCAGACTCGATTATGTACAGAACGCCGTCATGTAGCTGGAATATTGCTCAGTACGGCGTTAAGCAACAGAACAAAAAATAAAATCAATTTGTGGAACTCTTCAGGCGGAGTCCTACAAGTCCAGCCACATCCTGATCCCCGTGGGTGGGGACTTCGCCTTCCGCTCCGCCGCCTACTGGTACGAGGGTCTGGATCAGCTGATAGCCACAGTCAACGCTGAGGTAAATGCAGGTCAAGGGGACCCGTGAAGATCCTGGGAAGAATAGGTCTTCAGCAACCCATGCTTGCCGTAAAAGGTGTCTATGCTTGTCGTAAAAGACGACTAACGGAATCGGGTGGTCAGGCTCGCTGACTTGGTTCAGGCATGTCATCGATCCTAGTTGCGTGGAGCGATGCTCATGATATCAATCACTGGATTGTCTGGTCCAGACTCGATTATTTACAGACCGTGGTCATATAGCTGGAATATTGCTGAGTGCGGCGTTAAACAACAAACAAAAAAACAAATATAACTTGTCCTCGGTGTGTTCATAATGTCTGGCATTACATCGTATAGTAGCAAAACACAAGATGAAACATGTATCGACATCCCATTGTGTGCTTAATGACCTCCTGTGTGTTCGGAGCAGTACAGGTCCCCAGCGTCCCATTCCTGTGTGAACCGACTGAAATGATCAGGGGCTACAGTGAGTGACGTGACTGACACTTATATCTTTACACAGGGCTTGGTTCGGTGCTCATGTTAATAACTTATAGCTAGTTTATCGGGGCGGAAATCGATGACTGGTCCAGACTCGATTATTAACAGGCGGGCGTCACATGTAGCTGGAATATCGCTGAGTGCCGCGTTCAACCACGCACGCACGCACGCACGCACACGCAATAATCTTTAACGCGACTTGTATACTGAGTGGGGTATCCATGTTAAATATCTATCTCAGTGTGGTACCACGATAATGTCCGGACTAGTTCAAGCTGCCCCCGCAAACACACACACGCACGCACACACGCACACACGCACACCCGCAGACGTAAACACAAACATACTCACACACTCACCACTGACTAACAATATTGCTGTATTTTCTTTGCAACGTCAGCAAAAGTTCGGCAGCGTCGTGCACGCTCTGTACTCCACCCCAAGCTGCTACATCAACAGCGTCAACAAGGAGGGTGTCAAGTTCAGCAGAATGTCTGGCGACTTCTTCCCGTACTCAACCATCCCCAACACCTTCTGGACGGGCTTCTTCACCAGCAGACCCGGACTCAAGCGCCATGTGAAGACGGCCAGCAGCTTACTACAGGTAGGAAAACATTCACTTCCTTCGTGGGCAGTAGCTTACTACAGTTGGTGAAAGCATGTCACTCCCTTCGTACATAGCAGCTTACTACAGCTGGGGAAAGCATGCCACTTCCTTCGTACATAGCAGCTTACTACAGTTGGGGAAAGCATGCCACTCCCTTCGTAGATAGTAGCTTACTACAGCAGGGGAAAGCAAGTCACTCCCTTCGTACAAAGCAGCTCCATACAGTTGGGGAAAGCATGTCACTCCCTTCGTAGATAGCAGCTTACTACAGCAGGGGAAAGCATGCCACATCCTTCGTACATAGCAGCTTACTACAGTTGGGGAAAGCATGCCACTCCCTTCGTAGATAGCAGCTTACTACAGTTGGGGAAAGCATGCCACTCCCTTCGTAGATAGCAGCTCACTACAGTTGGGGAAAGCATGCCACTCCCTTCGTAGATAGTAGCTTACTACAGTTGGGGGAAGCATGCCACATCCTTCGTACATAGCAGCTACCTACAGTTGGGGAAAGCATGTCACTCCCTTCGTAGATAGCAGCTTACTACAGTTGGGGAAAGCATGCCACATCCTTCGTACATAGCAGCTTACTACAGTTGGGGAAAGCATGCCACTCCCATCGTAGATAGCAGCTTACTACAGTTGAGGAAAGCATGCCACATCCTTCGTACATAGCGGCTTACTACAGTTGGGGAAAGCATGCCACTCCCATCGTAGATATCAGCTTACTACAGTTGGGGAAAGCATGCCACATCCTTCGTACATAGCGGCTTACTACAGTTGGGGAAAGCATGTCACTCCCATCGTAGATAGTAGCGTACTTCAGCAGGGGAAAGCAAGTCACTCCCTTCGTACATAGCAGCTCACTACAGTTGGGGAAAGCATGCCACTCCCTTCGTAGATAGCAGCTTACTACAGAAGGGGAAAGCATACCACTCCCCTCGTACATAGCAGCATACTACAGTTGGGGAAAGCATGTGACCCCCTTCGTAGATAGTAGCTTACTGCAGTTGAGAAAACATGTCACTCCCTTCACTGTCATTAGATGTCTCCAGGTGGAGAAAGCATTAACTCTTATATTTAGTAGCCAGCATGTGACTCATTTCTGTCCAACTAGTCAACTGCTACGTTGATATGCATAATATGTTTCATTTAGTATCTAGATAAAGTGACCTTTGAGTGAATGCAATCTGACAATATGGTCAAAGCTACATGTGACCCGTAATAATCATTCACAAAATTAAAACTTGCACACATTATTTCTTCTTTCAGACATGCAAAATGCTGACGGTACTTGCCCGACTGACTCAAGTTAGCAGGGATATCGCTGTGTTGAGTGGGTACATGTGCTTGTAGGCATGGTCGAGTATATCGTGCGTTCGTGCGTGCGTGCGTGCGTGCCCTACACACTACATTCTAGTATATATATATTTATGCATACCCTTCACACTATATTCTAGAACATATATCCCCTCTACACTATATATATTCTACCATGTAAATAGCCTTCACACTATATTCTACCATGTAAATAGCCTTCACACTATATTCTACCATGTAAATAGCCTTTGACTATGTTCTACCATGTAAATAGCCTTCACACTATATTCTACCATGTAAATAGCCTTCACACTATATTCTACCATGTTAATAGCCTTCACACTATATTCTACCATGTAAATAGCCTTCACACTATATTCTACCATGTAAATAGCCTTCGCACTATATTCTACCATGTAAATAGCCTTCGCACTATATTCTACCATGTAAATAGCCTTCACACTATATTCTACCATGTAAATATCCTTCACACTATATTCTACCATGTAAATAGCCTTCGCACTATATTCTACCATGTGAATAGCCTTCGCACTATATTCTAGTACATTCTTGTACATATATACCCTAGACACTATTATCTAGTTTGTATATCCCCTACACACTATATTCTCAAGAACTTGGCTGTTACCCCTACTTCAAGGAATACAACTGTCAGTCCGCCCGTCCGTCAACCTTCAGGTCCGATTCTTGAATTTGAGGAACTATTTGAGGAGCGTGTTCTTGTAGTGTCTTTTCCTATGTAAATATTGCCATTACATTAACATGAACCTCCTTGTTCATTGCATTCTCTTTTATTTAGTTACTTCAATTGTCATTCTATTATGATTCTCAAAGCGCCCTTTAGGGAGTGACGTCATCAGCAATGACTGGATTATCCTGTCCAGACTCGATTATTTACAGACCGACGTCATATTGCTGGAATATTGCTGAGTACAGCGTTAAACAACAAACAAAACAAAATAAATGAATACCCCCTACTTCTTTTAGAGGGTATATATCATATGGGAGAGATTAATACACTGACTAATCGGGGATGTGACCAGTAATTCACGGTGGCGCGTTATTCTAAGATGTATTACCAAAGGTTTTTGTTCGTTATCTTGAAATAATTTGAATCCAACATGACCCTTTCCAGTTAGACATTGTCTAATACTCCACATTTTATTAATGCTGCATGCAAAAAAAGAATGGAGCGTGTTTGTAGATCCTGACCAATCTCATTTCACGTCACCTGTTGGTAAACTTTGTAGGAGGATCCTCGTATGGCGCCTGGTGGTTGAAGTATTCGCTCGTCAAGCCGAACATCCGTGTTCGATTCTCCGTCGAAGTATTGTTAAACCGCTTCGTGGTGTAACGAGCTGTCATACTGAGACCGTAAACACTACTCGCCCTCTTTTATTCGTTTCCAGTCGCGACATTCCAATCAACGCGTCAGACATTTTCTGCAAGACTCTACACATGACAAGAATCGGGAACGTTAACTACACTCCTATCACATGACGACATATTTATCTGATACTATTGACCTCAGCTTGTTGTCAGTGTTGTCTTCCACCACATCTACTTTGCTAAATCAAAATGTAAAGACTTTTACTCGTCTCATGCAAGAAAGTTTATTTCCTTTCAGAGAAAGCGGTGGCCCTTCTGCAGCACCATGACGCCATCACGTACGTATAAACACTCACTATTGTACCATGGACAGTCGTAGCGCCCAGACCAGTTTGTGGCAGGTCCAAGTGTTTAGGACCCGTGAAGATCCGGGGAAGAATAGGTCTTCAGCAACCCATACTTGCCGTAAAAGGCTTGTGGAAAGAGGTGACTAACGGGATCGAGTGGTCAGGCTCGCCGACGATCCCAATTGCGTGGATCGATGCTCATGATGTTTATCACTGGATTGTCTGGTCCATACTCGATTATTTACAGACATCATATAGCTGGAATACTGCTGAGTGTGGCGTTAAACAACAAACAAACTCCAAGTTTTAAGCTTGAGCATCCTAGATTACCCATGGGCGGATACAGAGAGGGGTGCGCACCCCCCCCCCCCCCCCCCCCCTTTTTTTTTATTTCGAAAAAATATCTTTATTTCTGTATAAATTACCACCAAAGACAATAAATAGATCTTAATTGTGCACCACCACCCCACCCCTAAAAGGCTTCCATAGATTGTGGATTAATCCTCAATACAATACTTGTTGGTTTCTGTAAAAGATGTGAAATAACACCCGATTCGTTCATATTACTGTAGTTAATCTGTCATGCAATGTGTGTGTGTATATATATATAATTATATATTATTGTAATATGTTTAGTACAGAATGGGTGGACAAAGCTCAGTGACCTGGGTGATGCCGTGTCATTGGTTCTTTATGCCCAAGGCCCGACTATTTACAAAACCGTGGTCATGTACAGCTAGAAGATGGTCGACAGCGGTGTAAAATTGTCTGACTGATGATGGGTTTTCCCTAGAATGTGAGACCCGTGAAGATCCGGGGTAGAATAGGTCTTCAGCAGCCAATGCTTGCCGTAAAAGGCGACTAACGGGATCGGGTGGTCAGGCTCGCTGACTTGGTTGATGCATGTCATCGATCCGAATTGCGTTGCTCGATGCTCATGATATCAATCACTGGATTGTCTGGTCCAGATTAGACTGATTTTAAGTGCAAGCAGAACCAGTATTACGAGGTCCCGCTAGTTGGGTTTAGGGGCATGATTACAAGAAAATTTTAAAAATTAGATGCTCTTAAACGCTATTTCCTGCAGTTTGTTTGATTTGATTTGTAACAAATATTGGTAATGTTTTATTATTTTTTTATTAGTGATATATTACGTGTTTCATCATGTTCATTCGTAGTATGTGATGGTGATTTGTTTTTTCATATCTTTACGACGATCTGGTATTATAATGAAAATAATTGTGTGAGCGCGGTTTGCTCACGTCACAAACCGTCTACCACTAAAATCCTTAAGTGCGTGAAGATTCCGATTTTCAAGTCAGACAATAAATATCACGTTCGACCGCGTAGAGTTTGAATTAATAATTGACTGTAAAGATGGTAATATGAGGTTTACTTATAAAGAAAATGCTTATTTCGGTGTAAGTAATTGCTTTTCCGCATGGTAGTTTCGCCTCTAGTAAATCTGCGTGAAATAACAGGTGAATACGTAAAGACACTACATTACAGAATTGGTTGAACTGAACTGTTAGTCTACAGCTGACCTTGACCTGTTGTGTTCAGGGGGACGGAAAAACAGCATGTCACCGACGACTACAACAAGATGCTGAGCGAGGGGGAGAGAGCATGTCAGGTCGGTCCTATCACAGTAAACGTTATAGTCGAAAAGTCGTTAAAAGATGGTATTTGTTGTTACCCTGCCTAGCTTTCGGCATTAAGGGGTAAACACGGACTGGTCGGCTGGGAGTCGGTATACTTTTCCTGAGTGGATTATCCATGCTAAGCTACGATATGCCATGGATGTACCAGCGCCTACGCGCGCACACGCATGCACACGCACACGCACACGCATGCACAAGATGACGCTACATAAGTGCAACAATCTTGTCGTAAGAGGCGACTAACGGGGTCGGGTGGTCAGGCTCACTGACTTGGTTGATGCATGTCATCGTATCCCAATTGCGTAGATCGATGCTCATGATATCAATCACTGGATTGTCTGATCCAGACTCGATTATTAACAGACCGCCGTCGTATAGCTGGAATAATGCTGAGTGCGGCGTTAAACAACAAACAAACAAACAAACAAACAAATTGAAAGTGGCGTAAATCCAATTTCATCCTACCTCCATCAAAGTTCACAGAATTAACAGCTCTCCTAACTTGATGGGCAAATATTCAAGAACCCTTTTCCCCTGTATTTAATTCAATGGCCGTTTTGCTCTTTGTGTGTCTTTGAATTTGTGAATATTAACTTTGACATATGGAGTACCTTGAGGTAGATGCGGCGACGTAGGCAGAGACAGAGAGTCACCCGTTAAGTTAGCCTGTAGATTAGGGGTCTTGTCTTTTTGTGACCGACAGATGTGTCGATGTGGAGACCGACAACTGCACGCTGCTCTACACGACGTCATCCGTCCAATGTATGTTGCAGTATGTTGTGAATACCGCCTACCAGAAGCTCCTTACAGAGAAAACCAGAAAGCTTCCGACGCAGCATTTTTGTAACCGCCTCAACATTAGTGTGTGTCAGATCACGGAGACAGCTGACAAGGTATGTGTACAGTACACAGTTGTACAGTAGACTGGTGTACAGTGGATGGGTGTACAGTTGCGGATGAAGAGAACAGGACCAACAGAGGAAGGTTTATGTCCGTGTGTGGATGTTTTGTTGTTTCTTGTAGACAAATCAGATGTCGGGGATAATGATGCACTTAAGCAAAACGTTGTCTTAGGCGCCGTGATTCGCTGTGCGGAGTTGCGTCCCTTAGGCATGCCAGAAACCTATGATTGTGGGTTCGAATCCCGCTTCGCCCCAATTATGTTTCTAGGTTTGTCAGCACCATACCCGTGCTCGTGGGTTTCACCGAAGTGGTAAACGTCTGAAACCTGCATCACTTCGGGCTTTCCTCCCACATTAAGCTGACACGCCGTGATATAACTGGAATACAGTTAGAAGCGGCGTAATACCCAACTCACTCACTCTATTACCCAGCCTGGCCCAGATTCGACTAATTTCAGGCCGCCGTAATATTGCTGGAATATCATTGATGGAAAACAAGATTCACTCACTCAATGTGGCTCGGGACCTTGAAAATATGAACAATGATTCTCTCCCAGAGTTGTTTGTTATGACATTGAGAGCGTGGGGGCAATACTGACGTTCCCGACGTCTCCGCCTGTTGCAGCTGTTCGTGACTGTGTTCAATCCTCTGGGTCAGCCTGTGTCGCACTGGCTACGTCTTCCTATGGCGGTACAGCACTACATCGTCACGGGACCCAAATCTCAGGCTACAGAAGCTCAGGTAGACACGCACGCACGCATGCACGCACGCGCACACACACACACAATAATAACTTGGGAGTCACTATTTGTAAATATTTTTATTTTATTTTATTTCTTTTTGGAGTACTCAAACAATAAGTTTACAGAATATAGTTCACATACAAAGTATATATGGACAATAACAAACAACTATTCCAGTGTTAGTTATACTGTGATTTAAAACATTTCGTTTTTCTTGACAAAATTGTCAATTTTGACATTTCTAGTTTTGTCTTTGATCTATTTTAAAAGGTTGTTTCAGACATGTTTTACAATTTCACAATGAAGATATGTGCATTAACGTTTGATTTTCTCGTTAACAAAAATTGCAATAAAAACTATTCTTCATATCCCATGTTGTACAGCAATCCATAATTTTATGAATAATACTGTATTGAAACCATTTTGTTTTGAGGACTATGTCATAACTGTGGAGACTAAGATTAATCATTTGCCATTCTTTTACCGTCAACTTGCCAGTGTTGTCATAAGGGCCACTAAGATAGCTATTGGTTGGTTAAAGCGTGTGATGTCATAATACCAGGACGCTTTTATGCGTTTACCCGTGAATATCAGGGGTAGAATTTGTCTTCAGCAACCCATGCTTGCCGTAAAAGGCGACTATGCCTGTCGTAAAAGGCGACTAACGGGATCGGGTGGTCAGGCTCGTTTTCTTGGTTGATACATGACATCGATCCCTATGCGTGGAACGATGCTCATGATGTCAATCACTGGATCATCTGGTCCAGTCTCGATTATTTACAGACCGCCGTCATATAGCTGGAATATTGCTGAGTGCGGCGTTAAACAACAAACCAACCAACCAACTTTTATGCTTTACTATTGCTGCAGACCACTGCATGGTAGGTTTGGATCTTACAGGCCTCCGTGATTTGATAGAATATTACTGACTGCGGTAGAAAATATCTTTCACACTCTCAGTTTTGAAGGATTAATAGATTGTATGTCCCAAACGTCTACAGATTGTGCCATTTACGGAATCCACTCTGAGAATTCCAGAGCGAGGTGTAAGGAAGCCCCGGGTCGATGTTGTGTTTGAAGCCATACTTCCGCCGTTTGGATTCGCAGTGTACAAGATTGAAACTGACAAGGGTAGGACAAAAGTTGATGAGACCCGTGAACATCCGGGGTAGAATAGGTCTTCAGCAACCCATGCTTGTCGTAAGAGGCGACTAACGGGATTGGGTTATAAGGCTCGCTGACTTGGTTGATGCATGTCATCGTATCCCAATTGCGTGGATCGATGCTCATAATGTCAATCACTGGATTGCCTAGTCCAGACTCGATTGTTTACAGACCGCCGTCATATAGCTGGAATATTGCTGAGTGCGGCGTTTAATATCAAACAAACAAACAAACAAACAACATGAGTTGATGAGCGCCAGCATCAAATACTATACAACTCATAAAGTTAATGTCACTGATTCTTTCATCCAGTTTTAACCGTCTATAACGTTTTGAGTAGTATATAACTATAAAGGGTAATCGTTTTAATAACAATCAAATGATTACAATGTGAGCCATATAGGCGTTTAATTATAGCATTGTTTGTTTACGAATGTTGCAACAATGCAACAAGGTCATTATGCAACAATACCTCTTAGCACATTGTTCCTGTGGTATTATTTCTGCACCCACCCACAGACGCCACCCTAATACCACCAAGAGAAGACATTGGGACTGGCCGATACTACATCACTAATCAGGTACACATTTATATACTGACACCCTGCCTATTTCCGAAAATCACCAAGTCACATTTTATATAAATATCGATTGTTTCCTATCGAAGATTTTTATCTGCTATAAAGGCGCTAGGGTAGCCAAGTAGTTCCAGCATTCATTGAAGACCGGGTTCGAGGTCCATGTGGGTAAAGACCGCCTCCGTAGTCTTGTGGTAGAGTGTCCGCCCGGAGAGCGGAAGGTCCAGGGTTCGATCCCGGGCCGCGTCATACCAAAAGACGTTAAAAGATTGTACTTGTTGTTACCCTGTCTGGCGCTCGGCATTAAGGGGCTAAAACAAGGACTGGTCGGCTCGGAGTCAGTATACTGTGTCTGAGTGGGGTTAAACTGCGGCATGGTATCTCAGTGAGCTAGCACTATAAATCGGCATCAGTCCGGACTAGTACAAGCAGCCACACACACACATACACGTGCATGCACGTCGCTATATAAGTGCAATAATCTTGGACGCGACGTTAAACCCAATTTCAACTCACCTCACCATGTGGGTAAAATGTATGAACCTCAATGTGTTTGACCCTGACCGGCGAATTAACGCCATGTACAGTATCTGTTTTGACGGACGCCTGCTTCCAACCTTCCAGTTCCTGTCCCTGACTATTGACCCCCGCACGGGCTTGACCCAGACCCTGAGGAACAAGGAGATCGGCGTGGACATCAAGCTGGAGCAGAGGTACCTGTATTACCTGTCCAGTGCGGGTCAGGTGAGGGACCCCAACGACCACACGGGTGGGTTCCTAGGTTCCCACAAGCGATCCTCTGGAGCATATGCCTTTGTGCCCAGAGAGTTCACAAGGCCAGTTCCGCTCAAGAGGCCGAATTCCAAAGGTGTTAAAGTTAACACGTATAAGGTAAGATCCCCCTCATGAGTGCTACAGCCCTGTGTTTGTCGCAGTAGCCGACGTAATTGTTGATCTCATTATCTGATGAAAATGAAGTCTTGCATGAACTGTTGTGATGGTAATTTTCTCCTTGAGTTGAGGGGGGCACGGGTGGCCCAGTCGTCTAAGGCGCCGCGATTCGCTGTGCGGAGTTGCGTCCCCTGGACACGCAAGAAACTTATGATTGTGGGTTCGAATCCCGGTTCACCCCTATTATTTTTCTAGGTTTGTCAGCACCATACCCGTGCTCGTGGGTTTCACCGAAGTGGTAAACGTCTGAGACCTGTATCACTTCAGGCTTTCCTCCCACATTGAGCTGACACGCCGTGATATAACTGGAATAAGCGGCGTTAAATCAACTCACTCACTCCTTGAGTTGAGAATCATGTCCACTTGCAGTTGGTGGCTGGACTACACGTGTCAGCCATGTAGCCTCGCGAATGACCACTGTCACTAGTCATATATGATGCAGGTGAAAGTGAATTCCGATTTTGAGGACTATGTGATCCGTTTAACCGTAGCCTTGAGACAGCTGTTGGGCAAAGCGTTAGTTGGCCCTACACGGGTTCCCGAGAACGTGAAGTGCGTGCAGTACATGCTTGGTGTCTCCCGTCATTTCTGGAAGCGGCGCAAAGCTTCACTAAGCCAGAAATGTGTTACCCCCTGTTGCTAAATATCCTACAGACCCGTGAACATCCGGGTAGGGAATAGGTCTTCAGCAACCCATGCTTGCCGTAAGATGGTTGCCGTAAGAGGCGACTACCGGGATCGGGTGGTCCGGCTGGCTGACTTGGATGATGCATGTCATCGTTTCCCAGTTGAATAGATAGATGCTACCTATGCTTGCCGTAAAAGGCGACTATGCATGTCTTTAGAGGCGACTTGCGGGGTCGGGTGGTTAGGCTCACTGACATGGTTGTTGCATGTCATCGTCTGCCAATAGCGTCGATCGATGTTCATGATGTGAATCCATGGATTGTCTGGTCCAGACTCGATTATGTACAGACCGCTGGAATATCACAAACATGCAAACATTAGTCAAATCAACACTTACGTTTTTATACGACAGTAACAAGTAAGGATTTCGCTTGTCGACCTCTTGAATATTCATCGTGCAGTCGTCTAAGGCACCACGGATAGTTGTGCAGAGTTGTCCCCCTGAAGCATGCCAGGATCCTTTGAATGTCGGGTCGAATCAAAGACAGTCCAAGGTTTTAGATTTTAGGTTTGTCCGCACCAAAACCGTCCCTGGGATTTCACCAAAGCCTTCATCACGACACTGCATCACGACACTGCATCACTGCATCACGGCACTGCATCACGACACTGCATCACGGCACTGCATCACATGGTCTCACATTTCCAGGGTCCCAATGTCCAGGAGATACGCCAGGAGTTCAGCCCATGGGTCAGTCAGGTGATCAGACTGTATGATGGCGCGCCCTACCTGGAACTAGAGTGGACAGTTGGACCAATCCCAGAAAAGTAAATAAAAGCAACAAAACCCTTTCCATATTCATAAGAAATCTCGTCAAATATACTATGTCATGAGCATGTGTTTATGATTCACAACCATAAAAGTGATGATACCAAGTGTTCGTGAAAAGGTGAGCGTGTCCTGCCTCACCAGTAGCACCCGTCACAATCGCATGCAAAGTTGTTTTACACAAAGTCAAATGTGTCACAGGTACCATTAAAGAGAGATAACGGAGTAATATTACACACAAAAATATGTTCTTGTAATAATGTTGATCGGTTCCTTTGTACCAGCATTTAAGTGAAATTTAAAGTAGCGGAGTAATATTACACACAGAAATGTGTTCTTGTAATAATGTTGATCGGTTCCTTTGTACCAGCATTTAAGTGAAATTTAAAGTAGCGGACTAATATTACACACAGAAATGTGTTTTTGTAATAATGTTGATCGGTTCCTTTGTACCAGCATTTAAGTGAAATTTAAAGTAGCGGAGTAATATTACACACAGAAATGTGTTTTTGTAATAATGTTGATCGGTTCCTTTGTACCAGCATTTAAGTGAAATTTAAAGTAGCGGAGTAATATTACACACAGAAATGTGTTTTTGTAATAATGTTGATCGGTTCCTTTGTACCAGCATTTAAGTGAGATTTAAAGTAGCGGACTAATATTACACACAGAAATGTGTTTTTGTAATAATGTTGATCGGTTCCTTTGTACCAGCATTTAAGTGAGATTTAAAGTAGCGGACTAATATTACACACATAAATGTGTTTTTGTAATAATGTTGATCGGTTCCTTTGTACCAGCATTTAAGTGAAATTTAAAGTAGCGGAGTAATATTACACACAGAAATGTGTTTTTGTAATAATGTTGATCGGTTCCTTTGTACCAGCATGCAAGAAACGAAGGAGGTCATATCAAGATTCACGACAGATCTCGATACGAATGGAATGTTTTTCACAGACTCAAACGGCAGAGAGACTATTCCTAGACGGTAACATCTAGAGTCATATACATATGTATGTCACCTTGAGAAATCGAGACACTGTAAGTCCCTTGTACTATACACTCAAACTGACGCCGAGGACGGCATCGACAGTAGGGATGCATAGTAATGCACAATATTTGTTGAAAAAGATGGAAAAAAACTCAGGTCATATATTTTTTCAAAGATGGGGGAGGGCGAGTTGAGAAGGGGAGAGGTTACTTATGACTTGGTCCGTAATTCAGTCATACAAAGGTGTGTGTGTGTCGTGGGGTGGGGTGGGGTGGGGGGTTGTGGTAGGGGTGTTGGTTGCACGCTAACATTATACTGTTATACACCACCAGGAGGGACCACCGGGAGACGTGGTCACTGAACGTTACGAGCCCTGTGTCGGGGAACTACTACCCTGTCACAGCGAGGATGTTCCTCAAGGTACGATTATTCTTCCGTCCGTTTCAGCAGCATAACAACGGCCTGGTAACTAATACTACGCCTACCCACAGGAGGCAGGTTTACCAAGCGGTGTGTCGATCACGCACGAAAAGCACGAATTCATGCAATCCTGACAACCGCGGCTTGTACAAGCTACCCTGTAGGATTCCGGGAATATGTCCCCGTGACCTTGTCATATCAAAAGACGTTAAAAGATGGTACTTGTTGTTATCCTGTCTGGCGCCCGTGAGCTAGCACTATAAATCGGCATCAGTCCGGACTAGTACAAGCCGCCGTGCGCACGCACACACGCACACACGCACGCACACACACACACACACACACACACACACACACATGCACGTCGCTATATAAGTGCAATACTCTTGGACGCGACATTAAAACCTTATTTCACCTCAATCATTGACAGGCTCTCTGACTTGGTTGATACATGTCATCGTATCCCAATTGCGTGGATCGATGCTCGTGATCTCTATCACTGGATTATCTGGTCCAGACTCGATTATGTACAGACCGCCGTCATATAGCTGGAATATTGCTGAGTGCGGCGTAAACCCATAAACAAACAAATCAATTATTGATGTACGACCTCCCCATTCATGTACGACTTCCCCATTCATGTATGACTTCCCCCATGACCTCCCTATGGCCTCCCTATTGATGTATGATCCGGCCCCTCAGGACGAAGAACGGAACATTCAGCTGACGGTGCTCACAGACCGGTGTCAGGGTGGGGGTAGTCTGAATGACGGGCAGATGGAGCTGATGGTGAGTATTCCCTGTAGGGTGAAGAAGTTTTTCATCCTTAAACGTCTCCAAGAACACGGTCACAATTACATCTTGAAGAACGTTGTAGATTTCGTTCCTGTAAGAGCTACAGCAGCTGCCACAGCAAAACAACATTCCCAAACGAGTTGTCTCCCTTTGATTGTCTTTGGTGATGTGATGACACACTTTTCAGCAAACAGTATCATTTTATTCTGGAAATCATTGTAATTACCCAAGGCTGTGTCCCTTCTTTCAAAGACGACATTAATCAGTGTCTGTATCATTTCCTCTGTCGCTGTTTGTTGCATAAATTTTGATGAATATGTTTTGTGCAAAATAAAGGATTTTTAAATAATCAGAAGAATATATTTGATTGTTGGTGGCTGTACCCTCGAAGGGGGTTGAAGTAGTGTAAAATGATTTCCCCTAGTGAGGGTATGTAGGACCACGTTATTCAAAGTCAATTTATTTCTGCCAAGTTTTTAATCGTAGAATATGTGTCCATCGATGACAGGTTTTTATTAAGCGTAAATATCTGTATTATCAATCATTTCTCGTCACCGTATGGCTGAGATATTGTCGATGTGACGTTAAAACTTAACTCACTCACTCACTCCTTTTCAGGGAGGCGCATACTGTTTGAGACCCTCGAAGATCCGGGGTAGAATAGGTCTTCAGCAAACAATGCTTGCCGTAAAAGGCGATTATGCTTGTCGTAAGAGTTTGTTTGTGTGTTGTTTAACGCCGCACTCAGCAATATTCCAGCTATATGACTGCGGCCCCGAGAAGAGGCGACTACGCTGACTTGGTTGATGCATGTCATCGTATCCCAATTGCGTGGATCGATGCTCATGATGTCAGTCACTTGAGTTTCTGGTCCAGACTCGATTATTCACACACCGCCGTCATACAGGTTGAATATTGATGAGTGCGGCGTTAAACAACAAACAAAACAAACAACAAAAAGCATACAGTTTGAAATTATCTCAAGAACCTTCACGTCAGGAACACAACGATACAACAGTATGCGAAAGAACGAATGCGTTGCAAACATTGAAACATTGTCCTGAACACTGTGTAAACTGTCACCTCACGCCACGTTTTTCTCTCCACGTACCAGGTGCATCGGCGGACCTTCAAGGACGATGACCTTGGCGTAGAGGAACCATTGAATGAACGCGGGGTGGACGGGAGGGGACTCATCATACGAGGTCAGAGAACACATGATGCCTTGACACTACCCAAAAGACGCAGGTTCGATTCTCGACATGGGAAAGATGTATGACGACCATTTCTGGTGTTCCCCGCCGTGATATTGATGGAATATTGTTAAAGGCGGCGTAAAACCAAACTCACTCACTCACTCACTGATACAGCGGATGGTCATTTACTTAGGTCGCTCTGCGGAGTTGCTTTCTGCCGCTCAATGATCAATGTGTCCTTTCTTCAAATCCGAAATGACCGCCTCCGTGGTCTAGTGGTAGAGCGGAAAGTCCGGGGTTCGATCCCCGGCTGCGTCATACCAAGAGACGTTAAAAGATGGTACTTGTTGTTACCCTGTCTGGCGCTCGGCATTAAGGGGCTAAAACAAGGACTGGTCGGCTCGGAGTCAGTATACTGTGTCTGAGTGGGGTATTCATGTTAAACTGCGGCATGGTATCTCAGTGAGCTAGCACTATAAATCGGCATCAGTACGGACTAGTACAAGCAGCCACACAAACACACACACGTGCATGCACGTCGCTATATAAGTGCAATAATCTTGGACGCGACGTTAAACCCAATTTGACCTCACCTCAAATCCGAAATGACCCGTGAAGATCCGGGGCAGGATAAATCTTCAGCAACCCTTGCTCGCATAAATGGCGGCATTGCTTGTCCTAAGAGGCGACTAACGGGATCGGGTCTGTCAGTCTTTCATTTCAGTATGTCCACAGGTTAGGTCACAATTAGCTTTTTTCACACATTACAATAACGAGCTGTTGAAATAGTCACTGCAGTTCATCACCCATTGTGTAGAGGATAGAGGGTCTGCCCGGATAGGGGGAGGTTAAACGCACGTCGCTATATGAGTGCAATAATCTTGAACGCGACGTTAACCTTCACCTCGCCCAACTCACTCGCTACGGTTCTCTGTTCTTCCCTCCAGGTAAACACTACGTGTTCCTCAACAGTATAGACAATGCTGGCCGGGAGTACCGAGCCCAGGGACTTCTGGTTCACCATCCTCCCACTGTGTCCTTCATGCAGCCGAATCCTCCCACCACCAACCATCTCGTCACCTCGGTAAATATCTCACTTTGAGGGGGAACACTTCAGGGATAGTATGTCTTCTAAACTTATGGTTGGCACGGGTAGACCAGTCGGACAAAACGCCTTAACGCCTCTGTGCAGACGTGGGCCCTGTATCCTACATTCGTCATCTTCCCGAGGCAAAGGAGTTAACTGAAGTAGTAAAGTAAAGTAGTCTAGTAGAACAAGGCTGGAATTATAGAATTAATTCTTTGGCTGGATTAACGAGTCTATGCATATTCCGATCACAATCGCGTCACAAAGTCTACATCCGGTTTGTAAACTGCCGTGCAGACTTCCGTGGGCTGCAGGATTTGCAAGGCATGTGTACCGTCAAATTAGCTTCAACACTTATTTTTCAAATCTTTTCATGTTTTAAATCAAGGTTGCTCACGTGAATGGATGCACTTGAAGTACAATATAGATCTTGATTATCGATCAGATCGACTTGACTCGACGCCGCCATTTTATTTGAAGCAAGTGCAAGTGATATCGGAGGTGGAATCTGGTTGGTCAATAGAAGGGACATTGAAGGGACATAACTCGTAATAGCCACTGGTGGCGCTACGATCGAGCACAGAAATTGGCAAGGGTGGAAAGTGGACTTTCAAAGACAGTTAACGCCCTTGGCTCGGGAAGATGACATTCGTGGATTCGAAGTTCAGATTACGATTTTTGCTTTCTCTGCGCAATACCCGTGTTCGTGGGCTTCACCTGCATCTCTTGGGGCTAGCCTTCACGTACATTAAGCTGTAACGCCTTGAAAAAAAAAGATAATGACTGTGTCTTGAACCCAACCAACCCACTAACTCTTAAACCTTCCTTGTGATGTCTCCATTGAATGATGCTTCGTGTAGGTACGGAGGAACGGAGACCAATGTTGCGTGATGTTGCTGATGTTGCTGATGGGGAGGTACAGCATCATTTATGCGCGCCAGAATAAATAATTGTTTAAACAGATAAAACATTTAGATTAAAATAGAGCCTAGGTGACATTCGATATTGTCATTTGAATTGGTCACTCCTATTGTGATGGTCAGTTTTCCGGACTCCGTAACCCTCTTCCCTTCAACGTCCATCTGCTGACCCTTGACCAGACCCCAGGTGATCCTGACACCCTGATCCTGAGACTGGAAAACTTTTTAGAGGTCAAGGAAGCAGACGAAGACGAGGAAGAAGCTATCGTTAATCTACAGGTAAGTACGAAAATGTTCACAGTTGGGACAGTCTCCGTTTGATTAGAATAACATAAGTTTTAACATTTATGTTGTAAACTGTGACTGGTTCCGGTCTAGTCCAGCGTGTATGAGTAAGAATGTCACAGGCTCGAGGCAGCAGGTGTTTGCTCGTCTGTACACATCCAGACTTCATCCGACACCTCTCAATACATATACCAGCAAATGGACACTCGCGACAGATAAGGACAAATTTACATCATATTTCAACCCGTGAAAATCCAGAGTCTTCAGCAACCCATGCTTGCTATAAAAGGCAACTATGCTTGTCGTAAGAGGCGACTAACTCGATCGGGTGGTCAGGCTCGCTCACTTGGTTGATGCATGTCATCATATCCCACTTGCGTGGATCGATGCTCATGATGTTAATCACTTGATTGTCTGGTCCAGACTCGATTATTTACAGACCGACGTCATATAGATGGAATATTGCTATATTGAATATTGAATATTGAGTTCGGCATAAAAACAAACAAACAAAAATCATGTTTCTCCGGGGGCACAGTGGTGTTAGGCGTTCAGTTCGTGTTGTACAGTTGGCAATGATCAAATTATCGTGGGTTCAATGCCCAGCCATGATTAAGATGCATGTCAGCATCCATACCCGGACAATGGCGTCTAAGTGTTTGTATCACTTTAGGCTTTCTTCACGCTCTATGGTGACCTGCGTGAACTGGAAATATGGTAACAAATCGGGTAAAGGACAACTCATTCGTTCAAACTTCACAAAGTCCGTTTCTTACAAGGACCTGGCTACAAAGTATACGGACCATCTCCTGATATGATGTATGTATGTACGGCCAGTGATCCATCTCTTACACGCTTCTTGTGTGTGGGTTGACACACAGCTTTGTGGTTCTTAGATTTTGGAAGAGTTTAGGATTGGCCCAGTGGACGAAGAACCGATCTGTCAGAATCAATCAACTAGTTACAATTTCGATGACCAGATGTTGAACTTAGAATTGTTCGAACCAGACTTTCTCGAGTTTTTTGGGTTTTTTTAAGGTGGCAAGCATCTATGAACGGTTGTTGTGGTTGTTTTCAACGTGATAAACGTCTTTTATAATTCAGTCATTTACAAAGCGGCGTTCAAATTCACAATTACTGACAAGCTTGTGGTGCATTGCGTGTATTTCAGTACCTGTTCAGCAAATTTGACATCACCACAGTGCGAGAGCTGAGTCTCGGTGGTAACCACAACATCACCAGGGTGAGACGGCTTGTCTGGAACACGACTGACGGTGTCACGACAGGAAACACACTCGGTGAGCCTCTTGGTTTGGGTGTGTGTGGGTTTGGATGGGGTGTGGGTGGGTTGGTGGTATCACATCTCCCGGGTGAGACAGCTTTTGTGGATCAGATGTGGGGTGGGGTGGTGGTGGGGGTACCGGGTTGGTAGTGTCATATCTCCCGAGTAAGACGGCTTGTGTGGATCAGGTGTGTGTGTGTTGGGGTGGGGTGGGGGGTGGGGATGGATGGTGGGTGGGTTGGTGGTGTCACATCTCCCGAGGAAGACGGCTTGTGTGGATCAGGTGTGTGTGTGTGTGTGTTGGGGTGGGGTGGGGGGTGGGGATGGATGGTGGGTGGGTTGGTGGTGTCACATCTCCCGAGGAAGACGGCTTGTGTGGATCAGGTGTGTGTGTTGGGGTGGGGTGGGGATGGATGGTGGGTGGGTTGGTGGTGTCACATCTCCCGAGGAAGACGGCTTGTGTGGATCAGGTGTGTGTGTGTGTGTGTGTTGGGGTGGGGTGGGGATGGATGGAGGGTGGGTTGGTGGTGTCACATCTCCCGAGGAAGACGGCTTGTGTGGATCAGGTGTGTGTGTGTGTGTTGGGGTGGGGTGGGATGGGGATGGATGGAGGGTGGGTTGGTGGTGTCACATCTCCCGAGGAAGACGGCTTGTGTGGATCAGGTGTGTGTGTGTGTGTGTTGGGGTGGGGTGGGGTGGGGTGGGGATGGATGGAGGGTGGGTTGGTGGTGTCACATCTCCCGAGGAAGACGGCTTGTGTGGGTCAGGTGTGTGTGTGTGTGTGTGTTGGGGTGGGGTGGGGTGGGGATGGATGGAGGGTGGGTTGGTGGTGTCACATCTCCCGAGGAAGACGGCTTGTGTGGATCAGGTGTGTGTGTGTGTGTGTGTGTGTTGGGGTGGGGTGGGGATGGATGGTGGGTGGGTTGGTGGTGTCACATCTCCCGAGGAAGACGGCTTGTGTGGATCAGGTGTGTGTGTGTGTGTGTTGGGGTGGGGTGGGGTGGGAATGGATGGAGGGTGGGTTGGTGGTGTCACATCTCCCGAGGAAGACGGCTTGTGTGGATCAGGTGTGTTGGGGTGGGGTGGGGTGGGGTGGGGATGGATGGTGGGTGGGTTGGTGGTGTCACATCTCCCGAGGAAGACGGCTTGTGTGGATCAGGTGTGTGTGTGTGTGTGTTGGGGTGGGGTGGGGTGGGAATGGATGGAGGGTGGGTTGGTGGTGTCACATCTCCCGAGTAAGACGGCTTGTGTGGATCAGGTGTGTGTGTGTGTGTTGGGGTGGGGTGGGGTGGGGATGGATGGAGGGTGGGTTGGTGGTGTCACATCTCCCGAGGAAGACGGCTTGTGTGGATCAGGTGTGTGTGTGTGTGTTGGGGTGGGGTGGGGTGGGGATGGATGGAGGGTGGGTTGGTGGTGTCACATCTCCCGAGGAAGACGGCTTGTGTGGATCAGGTGTGTGTGTGTGTGTTGGGGTGGGGTGGGGGGTGGGGATGGATGGTGGGTGGGTTGGTGGTGTCACATCTCCCGAGGAAGACGGCTTGTGTGGATCAGGTGGGGTGATGGATGGGCTGTGGGGGGAGGGTGTAACATAACCAGGGTAGGACGACTTGTATGGGAGACAATAGACGGGGGCGGTGGGGTAGCCTAGTTTTTATTGCGTCACGCCGAAGATCCGGGTTCGAATTCCCGCATGGGTACAATGTGTGAAGCCCATTTCTGGTGTCCCCGCCGTGATATTGCTGGAATATTGCTAAAAGCGGTGTAAAACAAAATTCACTCACTCTGGTCCAGACTCGATTATTTACAGACCGCCGTCATATAGCCGGGATATTGCCGGGATATTGCCGAGTTCGGCGTTAAACAACAAACAATCAAACAAACAAACAGGAATCTTACTACAACTGGTTACACTGGAAAGGAAGGACACCTTGACAGGATGCTCCTCCCCCAAGTATAACTAGTTGTGTAATGAAGCACAATGCCCTTGTCTCCTACACAATTCTGTATTATGTTTCAGAATCCGATGATTCCCGTGACGTCCATTCCCCTCCGTTTTCTATCCTTCTCCGACCAATGGAAATTCGGACATTCAGAGTGACCACCGGCCCTCTTACGGACCCACCCTCGGACAATGGCGTCTAAGTGTTTGTGCGCATGCGTGAGTGATGTATTTGTAAATAAACGTATAGGGTGGTAACTCTGTACTCTGCTGAAACATCACTGACCGGTCAGTTCACATGGGTTGATTTGCACTGTCGATTCCGCAGTGGAATAGATCCACCATCACAAACAAGAGTCGACTTGGATAAAGATGGAGTGATTGTACTGTTTGTGTGTTTGTTGTTTAACGCCGCACTCAGCAATATTCCAGCTATATGACGGCGGTCTGTACAAAATCGAGTCTGGATCAGACAATCCAGAGATTGACATCATGAGCATCGATCCACGCACTTGGGATACGATGACGTGCATCAACCAAGTCAGCGAGCCTGACCACCCGATCCCGTTAGTTGCCTCTTACAACAAGCATAGTCGCCTTACGGCAAGCGTGTGTTGCTGAAGACCTATTCTACCCCGGATCTTAACGAGCAGATGTACTGAGTTATACAGTCAAGAGATTTAGTTCAGTGTTTGAAAAACCTCGACGTCGTTGATCGCTTCTCATGCATTCAACTTCCGTATGGCTGATCCTTACTTCATTATAACGTGAAATCTGGGGAATATTCCTGACTACGGCGTTAAACAACGTTCATTTACTCAACCCACTGAGGGGACACGAGTGGCCCAGTCGTCCAAGGCGCCGCGATTCGCTGTGCAGTGTTGCGTCCCTTGGTCACGCCAGAAACCTATGATTGTGGGTTCGAATCCCGTTTCGAGATGATTATGTTTTTAGGTTTGTCAGCACCATACCCGTGCTCTTGGGTTTCACCGAAGTGGTAAACGTCTGTCACCTGCACCACTTTGGGCTTTCCTCCCACATTAAGCTGACACGCCGTGATATAACTGGAATACTGTTAAAAGCGGCGTTAAACCCAACTCACTCACTCACTCACTCACTCAACCAAGTGAATGCAGTCGGAAACAAAGTGGAGCTGAGTAAGGCCGTTGCCATAGTTACTAAGCAGATACTGATCACAGTATCAGACTGTGTATTTTCTATTTGATGCAGGGAAATTACCCCCGACCTCTTCATTCTTGACACCAGAGAAAGAGGACAATGGGGAGCTCTGTAGAGGTAAATGAAGCATCCTCTCGGAGACCTTGCTCCTTAGCGCACATGCAAGACGCCCCGGCATGAATTCTCCTAAGGTCGGATGTAACGTCACAGCTTTCAATTAGTGTGTGCTTGTACTATCGACTTCTAATTGTGCATATTGTGACCATTGGGACTGCTTGGCAGGGTAATCACCGATTACATCATGAATCTTCGGACCCGTGAAGACCCGGCGTTAAAAAGGTCTTCAGCAGACCATGCTTGTCGTAAGAGGCGACTAACGGGATCGCTGAGTGCGGCTTTAAACAACAAACAAACAAAGAAACCTTCGATTCGATGACGATTACGTATGCTTTCACGGGTAATTAAAACATAGTGTCTGTTTGCTGTTTAACGCCGCACGGTCTGTAAATAATCGAGTCTGGACTTGACAATCCAGTGATTGACATCATGAGCATCGATCCTTGCAATTGGAATATGATAACATACGGCAAGCATGGGTTGCTGACCATTCTATCTCGGATTTTCACGGATAATTAGGGGCGGTCGGGTAGCCTAGTGGTTAAAGCGTACACTCGTCACGCCGAAGACCCGCTTTCGATTTACCGACATGGGTACACTGTGTGAACCCCATTTCTGGTGACCCCCGCCGAGATATTGCAGGAATATTGCTAAAAGTGGCGTTTAACCATACTCACTCACGGGTAATTAAAACATAGTGTTTACAAGCCCGCATAAATGATTACGTTTGCTTTCACGCGTAATTGTAAAACAGTGTATTGAGCGTACTAAAACTTCCTTGCAGACAGGATGCATATTTCAGCTTGATTGATGTGACTGAATGTGGTGTGTATCCAGGCGGATTTGACTGACTGACATTCACACTATCGACCACTATTCCATCTTGTCTATGATGAGTGAGTGAGTGAGTTGGGTTTTACGCCGCTTTTAACAGTATTCCAGTTATATCACGGCGTGTCAGCTTAATGTGGGAGGAAAGCCCGAAGTGATGCAGGTCTCAGACGTTTACCACTTCGGTGAAACCCACGAGCACGGGTATGGTGCTGACAAACCTCCAAACATAATCGGGGCGAACCGGGATTCGAACCTACAATCATAGGTTTCTGGCTTGCCCAAGGGACGCAACTCTGCACAGCGACGCCTTAGACGACTGGGCCACCCGTGCCCCCTTGTCTATGATGATGACAGTACACATCTCTATACACTCTTCAGCTTTCTGATCACAGCGTGGACACAACCCATTCATTCAAGACTTGGAGCAGTCCTATAACATATGAGAGGGGCACAGGTTGTCCAGTCGTTCATATTGCCGCATTTCGCGGTGCAGAGTTGCCTGCCTTTGATCGTGGGTTCGAATCCCGGGTCGCGCCGATCGGTTTTTGGTTTGACAGCACCATCCCTGCACTCGTGGGTTTCAACAAAGCGGTAAACGTCCAAGACCTGCATTACATCGGGCTTTCCTCCCACATTAAGCTGACATGTCGTCAATAACTGGAATACTGTGTAAAGCGGCGTTAAAAAAACAACAATAATATATAAGATCCAAGGTCTGTGGTTGTGGTTGTGGTAGGCTTTTCTTGCGTTTAACGCTTTCGAGTGTCACAAGGAGGTCCTGGTACGATTGACCGCCTCCGTGGTCTAGTGGTAGAGCGTCCGCCTGGAGAGCGGAAGGTCCGGGGTTCGATCCCCGGCCGCGTCATACCAAAAGACGTTAAAAGATGGTACTTGTTGTTGTTACCTTGTCTGGCGCTCGGCATTAAGGGGCTAAAACAAGGACTGGTCGGCTCGGAGTCAGTATACTGTGTCTGAGTGGGGTATTCATGTTAAACTGCGGCATGGTATCTCAGTGAGCTAGCACTATAAATCGGCATCAGTCCGGACTAGTACAAGCAGCCACACAAACACATACACACGTACATGCACGTCGCTATATAAGTGCAATAATCTTGGATGCGACGTTAAACCCAATTTCACCTCACCTCCTGGTTCGATTACCACATGTGTCCATGATCTATGTGTGAGGTCTTGTGTCCCTTGCCATGATGAAGTTGAGTATTTCTACGAGCGGCGTTCTACTCATTCACCAAAGCAGTAATGTGTAAACGTCTGAGACACACACACCTTTAGCTTCCCTCCAATATTTAACTGACAGGTTGCAACATGTCTGATATACTGTTCAACGCAGCGTTAAGCCAAACTCATTCGCTCCCAAATTGATGAAAGTAAAGCACGTATAAAATAAATAGATTTATTTATATATGTATATTATATTACAGTTAATAAAAAATAAATATTGCACATTGAGCAACATTTGCTACCTAAAAATATTTTTGAAAAATGATTTGGAATGTTTGTTTTGATCATCGACTTCTATGTGGAATGTTCGGATCTCCATCGGATTGAGCGTCACTTGGAGTGGGGAGTCCCATTGCAGTTTTACCGTAGCACCTGCAAATACAAAATACTCATTAATGCATTTTTACCGTAGCACCTGCAAATACAAAATACCCACGAATACAATGTGGAATTCCACAAATCGTCTTAGCACCAAGCGTCGTGAAAGACCATTATATTTAAAGCCCCCTTGAAGATCCTGGTTGGAATTGGTCTTCAGCAACCCACGCTTGTCATAAAATGCAACTAACGGAATCTGGTGGTCAGGCTCGTTGACGTGGTTGCTGCCTGTCATCCTAATTGCGTAAATCGATGCTCAATATGTCAATCACTGGATTGTCTGGTCGAGACTCGATTATTTACAGACCGCCGTCATATAGCTGGAGTATTGCTGAGTGCGGCGTTAAACAAAACATGCACTACATCTAAAGGTGTTTTGATGGACTGTGAGAGCCATATCCCTTGTAACTACAACTACGACCTGTTACCATTACCTATTTCCTCCGGAGTCAGTCCAGATTCTGTTCTCCACCTCAACCTCTTCACTTTGGAAGCCATGAAGTTAGCACCAAGACTAAGCTCCTCTATTCCGACTATTTGCAAGGCACCAAACAGGTTCTGTAATAGGAAATGATGATAACAGTAACCTCGGTCATGTGGATACACCCAACAATAACATGCAGCACAGTGCGACCTTTTCACAAAACAAAGTAATTGTGCAGTCGCTCGTAGAACGCTTTTTTATGTGATTAATATACACATGCACAAAAGTTAAGCGCCACCAACCATATTTGTGAGCTGTTTTTTTGGCACTTAATGATGACTATTATAACGAGATGTACGATTGTTATAAGCCGTATATGTAAACCTCATGTGATGCAAAAGTTGTCTCAAAGCAAGTTTATCTTGTGTTCCAATAGAATATGAGCAGAATGGAATTTTACCGAAGACCAGAAATTGAAGGATTAGAAAACATTGAAAAACTTTTTTTGTCATGTAACTGTCATGATATCAGCAGACCATATCAGGTGTCAGGTGTCACATAGACACCCTAGGGAGTGCAGAGTCAATTGCAAGACAGAATCGTCAGTAACGTGTGTATGATCCACGGACATTGACCACAGCCCAACCCTACGCCTCATACTCATTACAAGTCGTTGAATGCTTCTCTGAGGCAAACGGATCCATTCTTCTTGAAGTGCGGCTTCAAGTCCAGCGAGATTTTGAACTGGGGGATCACGATGTCTGATTTTCCGGCCAAGAATGTCCCAGAGATGCTCAATCGGATTAAGATCCGGACTACAGGCCGGCCAAGGAAGAGTGGCAATAGCTTCTTGACGCAAATAAACCAAAACTGCCCGAGATCTGTGTGGTCTAGCATTGTCGTCCATGTAAACAGGTCTTGTCTGAAGAGGATGGTTGTCAAAATGAGGGACTACCACTGGACGAAGAACGGCATCTTAGTATTGTTGGCCATTCAGGTTTCCACGAATTGTCACCAGCGGAAGTTTGCAGCCGAGGGCAACACAACCCCATATTATGACAGACCCCCGCCACATGCTAAGGTCTTCTGGATGTTCCTTGGTCAAAACAAGTGTTACGTTGCCTCCAAACACGTATTCGACCATCAACAGTTCGTAGCAGCATTCGACACTCGTCAGACCAATGGATCCTTCTCCAGTTGGCCAAGTTCCATCGACTACGGGCCCGACACCATATCAGACGATTCCGCATCAGTCAGTTGAGGATGTTTTACTGGTCTTCTGGCGTTATAACCAGCCGCTCTGAGGGGACGCCTTACGGTCATCGTCAAGGGTCTCTGATGGGTAATTCACAGCAGTCTTAAATCTGTTGAAGTGGCAAATGGATTTCGTCTGACAATCCTGAAAAGACGTCTATCCTCTCTGTTAGAGGTATTTCTTGGCCTACCAGACCTATGCCTGTCATTGACATCATTGGTTTGACCATGTTTGACAATCAAACGAGTGATAACACTGTGATGACGACCCATTTGTCTTGCAATGGCCCTGCATGGCATGCCAGCATTTTTTATGCCTATCACTTGCCTTCTTTCAGCGTTCGTTAACTTTCTCCTCACCATGGCTGATTTTCAACCTCTATTGGAAGGCGAATCTCCCACAGGAGCAAAATGCAACCACGTGTCAAACTTGAATTTCACTATTTATAGGGTAGGGTAACTGCAGCAACACGTAAAGCACGCTTTCCTGGTGGTATCTAGACAAATTTGGGTTCCTGAAACTATGGAAGCCTAATTCAGTCATACATCATCATATTTCGTATTTCTGTTTCCCACACGTGAAATCAAGAGACTATGAATATGGTGGCGCTTAACTTTTGTGCATGTGTATATAAAAGGCCAACGTCGTATGCCCTCATTGACACATATACATAAAGGGACGTTTTGATGTAGAAACAAAGTAAGAAGCTGCATCGAAACGTCGCCATATGCAATAAATAAGGAGTTGCTGCCCATACAGTTGTACGTTTTCTTACTTAGGTACTGACTGTAGATCTACAAGCCTCCAGGTCTACAGTATCGGAACGTGTACATCCATCTACCTTAAGGTCTACAGTATCGGACACACTGTGTAGATCCACCTACCTCTTGACCTACAGTATCGGACCGTGTACATCCACCTACCTAAATATCAACAGTTTCGGACAGACTGTGTAGATCAACCCTACCTCTTGACCTACAGTATCGGACACTCTGTGTACATCCATCTACCTAAAAATAAACAGTATCGGACAGACTGTGTAGATCCACCTACCTAAAGGTCTACAGTTTCGGACATACTGTGTAGATCAACCTACCTCTAGGTCCACCGTGGCGGGGCGAGACAGCTCAGGATGTTCCCCCTTCTCATAGAAGTGTTCCAGTCTCAGCAGAAGAACATCCGTGTTGTTGTCCTCCACGTAGTCCAGACTCAGCACGTGCACGTTGGCGGGCAGACTTGTCCTGATCCCCGACCACTGGGTGGAGAAGGACATTGTCTGTTATTTGCCTTATATGACATCTGGTTCCAGGACCCACCAATCAACTTAAGACAGCAAACAAAGTAATGCGTAGGGGATTTGGACCTGTTGCTAATTTAAACTCTCTCGAAGGGAATTTATACCTGTAAATTGACAACTATATTTCGACTAGTGTCAGTGTCTTTTTGACCAAAAAAGGCACTTTAGTAGTTTGTTAGATACTTGGACAGTTTTCCTGATAATATTCACTAGATAATTTAAACATGTCTGAAGATGCATAGTCACATATGACCCGTGAAGATCCGGTAAAAATAGGTCTTCAGCAACCCATGAAAGGCGACAAGCATAGTCGTTAGAGGCGACTAACGTAATCGGGTGGTCAGGCTCGCTGATTTGGTTGAAGCATGTCATCGATCCCAATTGCGTGAATCGATGCTCATGATATCAATCACTGGATTGTCTGGTCCAGACTCGATTATTTACAGACCGCCGTCATATAGCTTAGTGCGGCGTAAAACAACAAACCAAACCAAAGCATAGTCACATGTAAAACTCATTGGAACACTCACGGCCATAGTCTCTGTGGTGCCCCACTTGTTTGATTTGTCCGAATCTAACGGTACAAACGACAGTGTTGGTTTGAAATGGATTTCTTGAGCTTTCTCTCGACTGAATTTAGCAGAACTTGTCTTCGTGCCAACATATAAATAATGAGTTCCTGAAAAAAGTCCGAAGGGTTATATTAATCAGAGGAAACATGTTCATTTTTGTGCGTCACAACGTTTGACATTTCCCTGACGTTGTTCATTATACCTAATGCCTCTGGTACAAATATAATGGAACGTTGATATACACATGTTATTAATACACTTAATAGGAATTGTGCAGTTTAACAAAATAAACCTGCAGAATTTAAATGGAAACATAACACCTGGGTATTAATTTGATCGAGTTATGATATTCCTTTGATATTCATTAAATCTGGAGCCGCCTCCGTTGTCTAGTGGTAGAGCGTCCGCCCGGAGAGCGGAAGGTCCGGGGTTCGATCCCCGGCCGCGTCATACCAAAAGACGTTAAAAGATCGATGGTACTTGTTGTTACCCTGTCTGGCGCTCGGCATTAAGGGACTAAAACTAGGACTTGTCGGCTCGGAGTCAGGATACTGTGTCTGAGTGGGGTATTCATGTTAAACTGCGGCATGGTATCTCAGTGAGATAGCACTATAAATCGGCATCAGTCCGGAATAGTACAAGCAGCCACACACACACGTACATGCACGTCGCTATATAAGTGCAATAATCTTGGACGCGATTTTAAACCCCATTTCATCTCACCATCTGGCAACAAAGGGCATGTGTGGAAGGCACACATTGCTACCTGATGGCGGAAGCTTACGATACTGTCATGAAACCCCTTCTTTATGTCTGCCTCCGTTTTTTTTACTCTGATCAAAAGATTCCAACTTACCCCTGTAAACGAGTCCCTGGCGATTCTTCCCCCTCTCATTGAGGGGCTCCCCGACCCCCAGACCGTCGTCAAACAACGTCCGGCGATGTACCTGCAACATGAAAGACCAATGGGCATACCGAAATGTTCTTTTGGTGGTGCCTACATCGTGATGGTATCAACCCGCTTCGTCTAGTTTTATACTCGTAACCAGTAGCCGTTAGACAAACCAGGTATAGTCAGGGATGAGTGACTTTGCTAGTTAGCCAAAGTAGGCACATGGATCAATCTATTTAACTGTGAACATGGATGTACGAAATTAAATCAAAACGACAATTTAGTTATCTATCTAAGCACTTGAAAAGAACCACACGCATAATGATGTCAACATTTATTCCAAACAGACACTTCACTGTTCACGACAAGCATAAGATTCAACATTTATTCCAAACGGACACTTCACTGTTCACGACAAGCATAAGATTCAACATTTATTCCAAACAGACACTTCACTGTTCACGACAAGAATAAGATTCAACAATTATTCCACATGGACACTTCACTGTTCGCGACAAGAATAAGATTCAACAATAATTCCACATTGACACTTCACTGTTCACGACAAGAATAAGATTCAACAATTATTCCACATGGACACTTCACTGTTCACGACAAGAATAAGATTCAACAATTATTCCACATGGACACTTCACTGTTCGTGACAAGAATAAGATTCAACAATTATTCCACATGGACACTTCAGTGTTCACAACAAGCATAAGATTCAACAATTATTCCACATGAACACTTCACTGTTCACGACGAGCATAAGATTCAACAATTATTCCACATGGACACTTCAGTGTTCACAACAAGCATAAGATTCAACTGTAGTTTCAAGTATTTCAGGTACAAAAGTATCATTAAAAGAGAAATAGATTTTCCTAACACCAGTGTGCCAATATCATATTAATTAATAAATATATTTCATTTACTCCTTCTTGTGTTGTTACTGCACAAAATGTAAATTATATATTTTTGTTTGTGCAGGTAATAACAGTTATCTTATCCATCCATGCACTCTAATTTCTGGGGCGGTCGGGTAGCCTAGTGCGTGGTTAAAGCGTTCGCTCGTCACGCCGAAGACCTGGGTTCGATTCCCGACATGGGTACATTGTGTGAAGCCCATTTCTGGTACGTGTCCCTCGCCGTGATATTGCTGGAATATTGCTAAAAGCGGCGTAAAACCGTACTCACTCACTCACTCTTATTTCTTATCATTTATAATTATCACAATCCTCTTTCCAGTACCCCTTTTTCCACTTTTAGTAGTTATAACTTATTTACCTACCTACACAGTATTACGCATGCTCATGCGCATGCTCATTGGTCTGTTTTTGCTATTTAAAGAATTGATCACATGACCTCTGCCTTGTTCAATTTTTGCCCAGTGTGTAGCCAGCAGGATGTACAATACGCTGGCCTCGCTGTAAACTTAGCGCCGTTACGTATTGTGAGGTCTGTATTTGAAACACCCCAAACGAATCGTGAAAGCGCCAACGAGGTAAAGCTTAATTAGCACGGCCCTTTGCGTGCAAATTGATTGGTTATTATCACTATCCGGGTACAGAAAAAAACGCGATCGTTTCATTAGTCGTGGGTAAACCTGTGTCGTATATATAATACCAGTATGGATTCCCTGTATGTCAAGCGTAAAGCTAGTAAGAGAAAGTAACCTTGATGAAACCCTCAACACTCACCATCAGTTCCATCTCGCCGTCGTGGATGCTGCCGCCACCTTGACACCGGTCTGTCAACAACGTCACCTGGATGTCACGGTCAGTGTCCTAGACAGAGAAGAACATATGTCAGCTTTTAGTGTATGTCTTACCTCGGTATTCATAACGACAGTAGCACTAAGTGCCGCAATCCAAGTGGCATCCTTATCTTATGTAGATCAAAGTTTGTCAAGTCCACAAATCCCATAGGGACCTGTTCGGGCTAAATCCATTCCCAGGACCACGATACCACCTATCTGGGGGACACAAGAGTTGCTGGACATGGTCAGTAGTTGGATAGCGAGGTGAGGTGGGGTGAAATTGTGGTTTTGCGTGACGTACATGATAAAAGCACGGATATAGCGCTGCGTGTACTTGTGTTTGTCCATGTGCGTGCGCGCGCGACTATACTAGTCCGGAATTATGCTAGCCTATACATTATAGATGACTTTAACATGAATACCCCTCTCAGACAAAGATGTCTGACTCCGAGGCGACAGTCCTTATTTTATCCCCTCGAACCCTCCCCAATACACAGTACCATCTGTTAAAGGGGGCACGGGTGGCCCAGTCGTCTAAGGCGCCGCGATTCGCTGTGCAGAGTTGCGTCCCTTGGGCACGCCAGAAACCTATGATTGTGGGTTGGAATCCCGGTTCGTCCCGATTATGTTTCAAGGTTTGTCAGCACCATACCCGTGCTCTTGGGGTTTTCACCGAAGTGGTAAACGTCTGAGACCTGCATCACTTCGGGCTTTCCTCCCACATTTAGCTGACACACCGCGATATAACTGGAATTCTGTTAAAAGCGGCATTAAACCCAACTCACTCACTCACTAAACTACTTTAAGTCTTTTGGTATGTCGCGGCCGGTGATTGTCACCCCGGACCTTCCGTTCTCCGGGCGAGTGTTGTATCAACTCGAGGCCTTAAGTGCAATAAAACATCTTGAAAACCAGCAACCCTAATCAAGACGATTCTTGAATTCGAACCAACGACCTTCGGATCCTGATACGCCACGGGGACGTAACTCTGCACAACGAATAGTTGTGTCTCAATCTAATCTGTTAATCTGGGTCTGAACAGTTGAAGGGTAGTTTATTTATGGAAGGCGAGACTAAAGTTACTCGGGTTTTGGGGTGTGGCTGCACACTCCGTCGCAGTGGTGACTCAGCATAACACCACTGCCACAGGCTAATTTGCATATCACGTGACCGGACTTTTCTCTTGTTTGTAAACAAACGCGCTTTTTCAGAAATCAGTATAAATCGGACTAATGCAAGTAGTTGGGGGCGCTTTACATATTGTTTTGCATAATTATACAGATATGCTACTACAACTGCGACAGAGAGTTGCATGGCAATATATATTTATACATCAAAGTGACCGTATCGCTAGCTCTCCGTTGAGCTTCGCTGACAGCACGTGGAGCCGTACAACCAATGTAAACAAAGGATAACTACGCAAAAACAAGTAGATGTTCGCGTATAAGGATACTTTCTTAATGAACCGTAACCATTCTTTGACATTTGTTTATGAAAATATGTAGACTTGTCAAACATGAAACGGATGAAAAGCATATGCAATATCCTGAATGGACTGTGAAAGATGTGACGAATCGTCACATGGCGCTGGCCTGTGGCAGAGGTATTATGCTGGCTGGCTGCCGGCCGCATGGATAGGGTAGGAGAGTGGTGTGGCTGATGTACCTGTATAAACATCTTGCTTGTTACAGGGTAGTAGTTCCCAGCTACACGGTCGTTCACCTCCAGCTTCCACGTCTCCCGATAGTCTCGTCTAGTCAACGGGGAAATAGTATGTGAGTCTCAAACAACATGTACACAATAGGTGAGGTGAAATTAGGTTTAACGTCGCGTCCAAGATTATTGCACTTATATAGCGACGCGCATGCACGTGGTTGTGTGTGACTGCTTGTACTAGTCCGGACTAATGCCGGTTTTATAGTGTTAGCCACTGATCATGAGATACCATGTCGCAGTTTAACATGAATAACCCACTCAGACACAGTATACTGACTCCGAGCGGACCAATCCTTGGTTTAGTCCCTCAATGCCGTGCGCCAGGCAGGGTAACAACAAGTACCATATTTTAACGTCTTTTGGGATACGATGTGTTTCTTTTGGGGTCGAGCCCGGACCTCCCGCTCTCCGGGCAGACGCTCTACCACTAGACCACGGAGGCGGTCTGAACACAATACGTATAATGGGGGGTACTGAGATACCATTGACTTACAATAACGTGTGTGGCTGCTAGTACTAAACCGGACTGATATCGGTTTTATAACGTTAGCCTACTGAGATACCATGACGCATATTAACATGGATACCAACACAATATACTGACTCTGAGCCGGGCAGTCCTTGTTATATCTGCTTGATGCCGAGTGCCAGGCAGGGTAACAACAAGTGCACACTTTAGATGTCTTTTGGTATGACGCGGCCAGGGGATTGAACCATTGACCTTCAGCTATCCGGCAAACGCTCTATCCACTACACCATGGGAGCGGTTTGCACACGATAGCATGTAGGGGAATGACTGTGGTGTTGACACCCACTGACCACCAGGTGTCCTGGGCCCCTTTCCACAAAGCGATCTTAGCGCTAAGACTGTCGTAAGTCTAGTATGTTAAAGTATGGGAGTGACGATCGTCTTACCGCTACGATCGCTTTGTGGAACGGGACCCCGTTCCTAGCCTCATTCAGGGTGACTGAGTTTGGCGCAATAGAAAAAAACAACAAAATATTTTTATTTTAGTGCTCGATCACATTCCACGACAGGGAGATTATATGTTGCAGAGGGTAATTCCCCTTATTTGCGAATTGACACCTTAAGTGATTTCTTTAAGCCCCGAGAACAATGTGATGTGTGACAAGGTCTTTAAAGACAAGATTGCCATTCCACCCACAACACACACAGACACATTGCTTCAACTGAAACACATCGTATCTTTGTTTTGCTTTCTGATGTCAAAAATATTTTCAATTTATAGATATTAAACAAATCTGTAAAAGAACAGTAGAAATGCTGTCTCTTTTGACTATATGATAAATGTCATTGTTGCCGATATGCCGGCCGCAAACAAGGTACTAGCAGTCTTCACCCTCAAATAAGTATAATTGCGTACATAATAATATCATTATTGTATCATATAATTTTTTTTACCCACCAATCGACAGAAATAAGTAAGGTCAGTTGGAAAAATACTTTCAAGAACGACTTTCTTCATCCCTTACTAGCGCCTATTCCTTAACTTTTTAATACTGCAAGCATCGTTAAACATAGTTACAGGAAACTATAAAGGATTGCTTTTTTAATTTTTAGATTTGTATTAGTAATATTACATTTGTTTACTCGAGATCCGCACAGTCATTCAGTGTAGTCTAAAGCATACGCCACTTTGCACAGTAATTCAGTTACATCACGACGTAGATTAATATTAGGTGAGGTGAAATTGGGTTTAACGTCGCGTCCAAGATTATTGCACTTATATAGCGACGTGCATGCACGTGTGTGTCTGCTTGTACTAGTCCGGACTTATGCCTATTTATAGTGCTAGCACACTGAGATTCCATGCCGCAGTTTAACATGAATACCCCACTCAGACACAGTATACTGACTCCGAGCCGACCAGTCCTTGTTTTAGCCCCTTAATGCCGAGCGCCAGACAGGGTAACAACATGTACCATATTTTAACGTTTTTGGTATGACGCGGCCGGGGATCGAACCCCGGACCACTAGGCCACGGAGGCGGTCTTAGATTTATATTAGAGTAGAGCCCAAAGGCGAAGCTGGGAGACCGCGGGTGTGATCGGACAGCACCAGGATCGAGATTGGGTGAATCTCTGGTTTAACCAGTGGATGTATTAACTAATGGCTTAATTGTGTTTATAAACAGCAAGGTACATGGACTCACTTCCTTTTGAGAGTTTCTCGACCATTTGAGTCAGTGTAGAATTCGCCATTCGTTTGTAAGTCTGTCTTGAATAGAGATACTACTTCTTTTCCAACATGGTCTCTGAAAGAAATCAAATAGATAAAAAAAACAATGACACACTTACTAGGATTGACTATCCCTATATAGCGTACACTATCCCTAGATAGTGCATACAGCCTGAAGACAATATCTAGCAGCAATGACTTTTTACAGATGTGTTAATGAGATTTTGTGTATTTCTATCCATGAGCCAAATACATGTCATATCGTTGACTCTGTTCACGAATGTATTTATATATATTTAAAAATAAGGTCATAAGCTTGGAACTTTCTATGCCAAATGATTTTTGTTTTTTTTTCTATTCAAATACAATCATTCGTTCAACAAACTTGAAAATGTTCCAATTCTACCTTTATTGTGGCTACTGAACCGTGGAATTATAGCGATATAACATTAATTGCTGGACAACTGTGTTAGTACAACAAGGCAACAGCTGTATCAGTGATCCAGAATCTGACGTACATCTCGACGGGGATAGGGCCGACAGTCCACTCCAACACCAGGTAGTCAGCATCGTCGTAAAGCCGGACGACTTGTGACACGTACTCGTTGAACCTTTGGTGAACCTCCACCGACTCGGAACCCTGGGGTCAGAAGACACAGCACACTGTGATTGATGTGAACATATATTCAGAAAATATGGCAAACATCCAAAGTCAGTAATGATAATTCGTCAAACAGCAATTTTCTTGCAAATCGATATTGCAGAGCGATTCTGTAAAGGGATAGGCAAGTGACACTTCGTCTATCCCAACGAAACGTTTTAATCGACCGTATGAACGAACCATGGTTATGGAGAACTGCCTATTTGTATATATTTGTTTGTCTGTTGTTTAACGCCGAGTCTGGACCAGACAATCCAGTGAGTGATATTATGAGCATCGATCCACACAATTGGGATACGATGACATGCGTCAACCAAGTCAGCGAGCCTGACCACCCGACCCCGTAAGTCGCCTCTTACGACAAGCATAGTCGCCTTTTGAAATGAAATGTTTGTTGCGTAGGAATTGCAAGATGTAGCCTTGAAACATGTTATCCAGAAATGTCATGGAATCATATTCTACCATCTTAAAAGTGCTAATAAAACACTTTATGTAGATGTACCCAACAGTTATCTCTGTAAGACGTACAGACAGGGTCCGGATTACCGAGGTTATTCTTTATGTGGATCCAACTCGTAGGTCAGAGATTCACCTGTGGCTATCTTTCTGTAGAATATTGCATACTGCAGGGGTAATAGGGAAGTGGGTTAGTAGGGAAGCAATCTCATTAAAATCAGATCTTAGTTCTCGCTATCGCTAAACAAAGATCTGAGGACATCCCATTACGGGTCACGTCAGACCGACCTTGCGCGAATTTTGACCGACCAATGGAAGGACTGACAAGAAGTCGACATTAACCAATCAGAAGGCAGCTTTCTCGTGCTTTACGGCACTGATTTCAAATTGGCGACTTCGCTTCTAAACATATTTTGACAAATTCTCGATTAAAAATGTGAAACCTGTACAAAAGAACATTCTGGAATGGCAAATATATGGTCTAGATTGTATGGATTCAGTCGTTAAACCCGTAACTATCGTCCGGAATACCCCGTGTTAAATTTTTCGAGATTGCATGACTAGAAATCACATTCCGACTGTCACTTTCATGATCTGGTAAGCGACGGTCTGATTGGTCTGATGAAAGGTCGTTCTGACGTGATCCCTAATGGGATGCCCTCAGATCTTTGTTTAGCGGTAGCGAGAGCTAAGATCTGATTTTAATGAGATTGGTAGGGAAGTGATTACCCTAGGGCTCGACCCCACCTCAGCGTTCCTCGCCACAGAGGTAAGTGTATTGATTCAATCAAATATCCATCCCAAAACAATTGTAAAAGCAGACAGCTGTCATTGAAACTTTCCTCCAGATCATAAATATGTTTACCCCCGCATACTATCTCCTGCACAATCCCCACCCATCTCATCTCACTCGTGAAGATCCGGGTTAGAAAAGGTCTTCAGCAACCCACGCTTACCGCAAAAAGTGACTATGCTTGTCGTAAGAGGCGACTCACGGGATTTGGTGGTCAGGCTCGCTGACTTGGTTGATGCATGTCATCGTATACCAATTGCGTGGATTGTCTGGTCCAGACTAGATTATTTTACAGACCGCCGTCATATAGCTGGAATATTGCTGAGTGCGGCGTTAAACAACAAACAAACAAACGCTGTAACCGGTCTTACACAGCCGTGTTTGTACTTACCTTGAAGATCTTCACAACAACCGGCTGTTCTGTTACAATGGGTTTGACGTCATCAGACCTTGGGGCGAAAATATATGCCCCGGATGCACGTGGAGCGACTCGACTCTCATAGTAACCGTATTCTTGTTTGAGTTGGAGTTCAAGGTCAAGGTCAAGATTCTTTATATGAGATATCAGGCCGTCATGGTCGATGGTCACTTTGAGATGCTACAGAAGGAAAATATGTCCATCAAATAGTGCTTCGAAACGCAAGCTTCAACATGACGTCACAAACGCAAGCAGGACAGTATAAACATATAGCTTCTACAGACAGACTTTTGTATAAGTGGCCCCATCCAACCACGAGAATCGGTGGGGCAGCCTAGTGGTTAAAGCGTTCGCTCATCACGCCGAAGACCTGGGGTTCGATTCCCCACATGGGTACAATGTGTGAAGCCCATTTCTGGTGTCCCCGGCCGTGATACTGCTGGAATATTGCAAAAAGCGGCGTAAGACCATACTCACTCACCTCAACATGGCGTATAAACATGACAGAAACAATTATCACAAATGCTCGCAATTACAGCATATACACGCACAAAATATACATTGCTTAGTTGCTTTGCTAAATCCTCTAAGTCGTGTACAATTTGGGATTACTATCGATATTTACCATGCTGTTAAAAACCTCAGGCAGTCAACTTTTTCCCTTTACATTAAAAGATTATTGGGGGCACGGGTGGCCCAGTCGTCTAAGGCGCCGCGATTCGCTGTGCAGAGTTGCGTCCCTTGGGCGCGCCAGAAACCTATGATTGGAATCCCGGTTCGCCCCGATTATGTTTCTAGGTTTGTCAGCACCATACCCGTACTCGTGGGTTTCATCGAAGTGGTAAACGTCTCAGACCTGCATCACTGGGGCTTTCCTCCCACATTAAGCTGACACGCCGTGATATAACTGGAATACTGTTAAAAGCGGCGTTTAACCCAACTCCCTCACACTCTAAAAGATTACTGTCGAGACTGGCCTTGTTTTCGATAACCATACAGTCATGTATGTCCTGTACATTAAAAGATTACTGTCGATACTGGTCGTGTTCTCGATAACCATACAGACATGTATTTCCAGTTCATTAAAGATTACAGTCGATACTTGCCTTGTTCTCGATAACCATAGGCAGCTGCGGACTGGTCGTGGTGACTAGGTCAGTGTCACCTGGAAATACAACATTTATAAGTGAGACCGTGAGATATACACCCATGTTGGTTGCCAGCATGCATTTTGCGGTAGCCTCGGTGTGATATTGAGCATGTGCATTGTCAGTGCTTCTTACAAGAGTTTTGCTACACAATTTCACCATTTTCATTAAAATATGAACTAATGATCAAATCGTATTCATTCTCTTAAGTGTCTGATTACCCTGAAGATGATTATGAATGGGTGAGTGACGTGGGTTTAAAGCCGCTTTGGATAGTAGTTTGGAGAAATAAACGCGTGTCAGCGTTATGTTTATCCATTATTACCCCCTTTAGAATGGAAGCGCTGAAATGTTTATAATGTAACCCCCTATAAAAATGTTTCACTCCAACAAACAGCGAAATTGCGAACTACCCGGTGACTATGCATGACGTATTTTCAAGGTCATATCTATTGATCGTCGTAGCGCATTGATATTTCCGACGCTGAGATGATACTGCACTGACTCAAGTTCTCAGGGCCCTGTCCCCCAAACATATTAGTGCTCCAACATTCACATTTCACCCACGCTACAGCCTATTGCAGCCATTGTGCTAACGTCGCTTCCTGGAACGGGCCAAAGTCCACGTCATGCCAACATAGCTCGGAAATGAAAGACAATATTTTCCGCATATTTGACAGCAAATACGATACGTGCTTTTTTCCACAAGGGAATCAATTGTCTTTTACTATCGATCGTGCATTGAACATGGAAACGACAATATGTTTTTCTTAAACGGCTTAAAATAATGAAATGTTAATTCGCTCGTTACTGACAGTGCATGGCGGCGCGGCGCAGCGCAGCACCAACAATGACCAATGTGATATTTTAATTAAATAATAAACGAATTGAACTGAATTACAGCCGCTGCTTCGCTCATGCTCCACTGAATCCATGCATATATTCATGTTCCGATCAATGCAGAGACAATAGCCACCCCGTGTCAGTATCAACAGGGTCGACCTACACATGGGTGTATAGCCTATGAACCGGAGTTGACACAAGGACAGCAATATCAAGGCTTTACGACGACAGTCAGAAGATGCATACATTGATAATACAGGAGAAACCAGTAAATCCGGGAAATAAGGCAAACAGCCCGTGCAAGAATGCAGTATAACAGACACCTCCCGCCATTTTGGTAAGGGATGTGCACGAGCTTATTCCTTAGTATCGGTTTCTATGTTTTTCAGACGCCATTTTTGTCGCCTCGCTAAAACAAACATGGCGGATTAGTGTCCGGTATAATGCATGTGTACCACAGCCCGGATAGACAAATGTCAAGGTTAAAGAATCACTGACATAGAGTGATGTCCCTTTGTGGACAAAGTCGACGTTTCTAAAAGTCTCCACCATGACGTTTTGGGGCATCGCCATTTTAGATGAGTTGAGGTCCATTTGCATCAAGTGATCTCTGTGCTACGATTGTTGTATAAGTACACGTGGGTCTGTGTTATAGTATGGGCGTTAGTGTTGGTGTAGCATTAAGTTCGTTTGTGTGTGAACCTGGGATGAATGGTAGTGGGTGGGTGGGTGTGGGTGTCACCTCGGAAGCCCCCCCCCCCCCCCCCCCCCCCCCCCCAAAAAAAAAAAGAATTTAAAAAAAAAAAATGTAAGATGTAAATGAAACATGGATGGAACGGGCGTAATACTACACTTTAAAGCCAACTCACTCGCTGTTTGGATCTCGGGTTGACAAATATAACACGTAGACGTAGACTTCTTCGCAGTCATCTGACCCAAACATTGTTTGCTGGAACTAGCATTTCTAAATGGACCCAGCAAAACGCGTTGGTGTTAGAGATGTGGTAAATACTATTCAAAGCGGAATTAGAAACATCACCCACTCAAAATGGGTGGCATTACACCACAGCATAATATTAGAAGTGTTTAACACCTAGTTTGTATGACGTTTTGCAAGTTGGTAAATGCGTCATGTGTATACACCACGTTATATAAGGTTGGTTGGTTGGTTGGTTTGTTGTTTAACGCCGTACTCAGCAATATTCCAGCTATATGACGGCTGTCTGTAAATAATTGAGTCTGGACAAGACAATCAAGTGATTAACATCATGAGCATCGATCCACGCAATTGGTTGGTTGGTTGGTTTGTTGTTTAACGCCGCACTCAGCAATATTCCAGCTATATGACGGCTGTCTGTAAATAATCGAGTCTGGACCAGAAAATCCAGTGATTAACATCATGAGCATCGATCCACGCAATTGGGATCGATGACATGCATCAACCAAGTCAGCGAGCCTGACCACCCGATCCCGTTAGTCGATTTTTACGACAAGCATAGTCACTTTTTACGGCAAGCATGGGTTGCTGAAGACCTATTCAGCCCCGGAATCTTCACGGGTTCGTTATATAAGGAACAGTGTTTATATTTGTACCTACCTGGCACTCCTTGTAGAACAAAACTTGACATGCCCATTGCAGGAAGTTCCGCCTTGAACACAGCCTCAAGTTTAGCATCGGACTTCCGGTACGGGATATTGAATGTTGACTCTGAAATTGGAGTCATCTGAAACACACGACCGTCAAATATTCACTGTGATCAACCACAATCAGAACAGGTCATGTGTATGTTATCAGGGTATGAAAATCCAAAAAAAATTTAAGCCAGACCACAGGACTGGCTAGCTGAAATACTTGCCAGCCCTGACCAAAACCTGCCTGCCCACTATAATCATATGATTCTCAGGATAAGCTAACGGGGTTTCTTTTTGGTGACATTTTATCATTCATCTTTACATGTGAATAAATGCTTATCATAGGGAAATATTTAGAATATTTTCACATATGAAATATAACCCGACCGTCGGGCAGGGGGATTTGAAAATCTGGCAGCCCGAGTTGAAATCAACCCGTCTCGGACGGTCGGGCAGGCAGGTATTTCGAACACTGATGTTATCCGTCAGAAACACATAATTTCCAAAGGCTACTGAGTGTGGAAGGTGCTTCAAAGCTTACTGCAAGAAAAGGCAGTTTTGTTTTTTGTTGTATGTTTTTGAGGTCGCGTTTCTTTGAGATCATGAGAATACAAAAGTACTTTCAATTGGCTTTACCTGAACAGGCACTTCTCCGTCAGGCCCGGTGATAACGTAGCGCGCATGCGTGACCGGAAGTCTGATCAGGGAAGTGATCGATCGTGATATGGGATTATAGATGAACAGGGCCAGTCGATGACTTGATTCGGTCACTGGGCACATCGTGATGTTCATCTCCGGACAGAAGTGTTGGTGTATGGAATGGTCAGGCTGGTCGCTGGTCAAGAACTGGTAGGACTCGTCAATCACAGTCTGCACCAAACAGTCACGCATAGGTGTAGAAGGTCGTAAATGAGCAAAGAATTGCATTGGTGCTGATACCTATCAACACGCGTCAAGTATCAAGAGTTTTGATATAAGGTGAACCCTTAATACTCATCACAAGGGGGTGTGCTCATGGCCCATGGTAGATCAACATATCATCATAATATTTAGAATTCTCAGCTCCTTGTGGAGTATACAACCCAAAGTTGCCTATCAGAAAGCAGAAGGAATTGTGAACTCATCCTCATCCTATCGGGTACCCACCTGATGATTCATGACCTTGGTTTCTGTGTTGGGCATGGCCGAAACATTAAAAACTCTCAAGCGCCTAATGCCCGCCTGTGCACCCATTAACATGTCCACATTTTAACCTGTGTACTCATTAACCTGTGTATCCATTAACCTGTGCACCCATTTAACTGTCTACCCATTTACCTGTGCATCCATTAACCTGTCTACCCATTAACCTGTGCACCCATTAACCTGTCTACCCATTAACCTGTGCAGCCATTAACCTGTGCATCCATTAACCTGTCCACCAATAAACCTGTCTACCCATTAACCAGTCCACCAATTAACCTGTCCACCCATTCACCTGTCCACCAATAAACCTGTGCATCCATTAACCAGTCCACCAATTAACCTGTCCACCCATTCACCTGTCCACCCATTAACCTGTCTACCCATTCACCTGTCCACCCATTAACCTGTGCACCCATTAACATGTTCATACATTAGCCTGATTCCAGATATAATGTCTTTGAATTTAATGTATATTCCAAGAATATTGTCTTTGATATCTACCTGGCACTGATGAACGCCTTCACTCAGCATCTTGTTGTAGTCTTGTGCAACATGGTGTTTCTCTGTGCCGCTAAAAGTAAATAACAAACATATAAACATTGAAACCCGAAACAAGACCCAAAATGTTTTTTCGAATTAACAAACATTGTTCGAATTGAGAAGTTTCCGATAAACGAATCCTGAGGAAAGGGGAATGTCAATGTGGCTATATATAGGCGTTCCCCCCAAGAAGATCGTCCGGGCGACTGTTCTTGCCTAATAGGGTCGGTATTTATTTATAAGAAGTGGGTAAGTGAGTGGGTGATTGATTGTGACGATTGTGACGATATTGCCGACATTGCACCCAGTACAGTGTAATATTTTGTACTGCAATTGGAATCGAACCTTGCTTCCGTGTGTGACAGGCGAGCACGCCATCTACTAGACTATCCAGCTGTCCTGATTGTAGGATAATCAGCTGTTTTCATAGGTGCTGGTGACACAAAGCGTCCCAGTGTCACAAACGCAAGCAGGACAGTCGCCCAATCCAATCACGAGAATTGGTGGCGGTAGCCTAGTGGTTAAAGCGTTCGCTCGTCACGTCGAAGACCCGGGTTCGATTCCCCACATGGGTGAAGCCCATTACTGGTGTTACCGCCGACACTTTTTTGCTGGACTATGACTATTGCAAAAAGCAGCGTAAATCACTCACTCACTCACTCACACTCCTGTGAGCCCCTGTCGTCGCTACCTGCGTTGAAGTGGAATCGATTTCAGTCGGAACATAGATTTTGTAAAGAAACACCCTTACAAAAAATTTATACTTAATGGAAACCCCAGATCAGGTCAATCACAAAGAGTGATCAATAGTTCTCCTGGGGCAATCTTCCTTTAAACATCCCCTCCATTTCAACGTAAGATTTGTTTCCTGTTTATTTCTAAAGCGCGTTTCTCTAGATCTATTATTCTGTCGTCAGCTTTCTGTTCTGTGTTCTGAAGCTTTGTAATCCTACCAACAGCAACAGCCAAGGGGGGCCATCGGTGACGTCATTCAACAGTTTATCTACTCGTCTACATGTTTCATACAAGCAACGTCAAGACTACACGACCTAACTCTCATTTCATGTGTCTATGTTTATAGATTCCACTGTTTAAAAATATCACAATTAATAGACTAGTATTTTTACAGATTTCGTAAAATCGATGCAATGTCTTTAGTGGTGGAGGCTTAACGTACTCTTAAGGAGAAAAACATTAGCTAAATATTATGTAATTTGGTAATTGGGTAGTATATTGGTTGTGGCCTTCGCCACCACGCCAAACATCAGGGTTCGAGTCCAAGTCTGGATGTAATGGTGTTTTTTTTCAATTTCCCCGCCGTACAAAGACTGATATAAGTGATACAAAAAAAGAGAATAACGGGTTCGTTTAAGACATACTTCCCAGAAATGAGGGGGCACGGGTGGCCCAGTCGTCTAAGGCGCCGCGATTCGCTGTGCAGAGTTGCGTCCCTTGGGCACGTCAAAAACCTATGATTGAATCGAATCCCGGTTCGCCCCAATTATGTTTCTAGGTTTGTCAGCACCATACCCGTGCTCGTGGGTTTCACCGAAGTGGTAAACGTCTGAGACCTGCATCACTTCGGGCTTTCCTCCCACATTAAGCTTACACGCCGTGATATAACTGGAATACTGTTAAAAGCGGCGTTTCACTCACTCACTCCCAGAAATGAAAGTCTGTAATATAACACAGAATTTGATACCGCTGCAATAACATTGTTCATTCGTGCTTTGTGCTGACTCTGAGTACTCGTACGTGCCTTCACTACAATTGCTTAATAAAGATAGAGGTTCGATGAATAAAATGTGCATCAAAGGAAAGGACACTCGACAGATGCTTACCTACATATTTACGACAGATATTTAACAATGAAAGGACGATATTGAGTTTCTTCGGTTGGACAAATGTTTGCCCAGTGTGTTGGTAAAGGCCGTAACGACGTCTAGCGGGCTCTGTATTTGATACTGGTCAAGCATACTCGAGGGGGTCAAGGTAGTTTGCGAATCTTGGATAAGTGAGTGAGTTTGGGTTAACGCCGCTTTTTTCAGTATTACAGTTATGTCGCGGCGTGTCAGCTTGATGTGGGAGGAAAGCCCGAAGTGATGCAGGTCTTAGACGTTTACTACTTCGGTGAAACCCAAGAGCACGGGTATGGTGCTGACAAACCAAGAACCGGGATTCGAACCCACAATCATAGGTTTCTGGTGGGCCCAAGGGATGCAACTCTGCACGGCGAATCGTGGCGCCTTAGACGACTTTGCCACCCGTGCCCCCTAGAGCAGTAGAATATCAAATATATATGTACTGTTACATACAAAACGTAGTTAGTTGGATATTACTCGTATACCAGGTGTTAGTTACATATACATGTAGATTAGACTTGTTACAACAGTGAGGAGTTTTGTACGTGAGTGGGTGAGTATGGTTTTCATCAATACGCAATATTCCAGCAATATCACGGCGGGGGACACCAGAAATGGGCTCCGAACCCATGTCGGGAATCGAACCTGGGTCTTCAGCATGACGGGCGAACGCTTTAACCACTAAGTTACCTGACAGCCCCGGATCTTTTAACGAGGAAATACTTTACTCGCTGAAGCAAGGAAACGAGAACGGTTTGGTAGGCATTTCTGAGACGTTGACGGATGGCAAAGCAGACAACCCTCTGAGGATAACAACTTCTCTATGATACTGAAATAGCGACGTTTCGCTAGATATCATTATGTAGATCATACGTTGCTATTACAGAGAAGTTGTTATATCTAAACGTGTGTCTACTTTGGATAACGAGAACTGATTGTAACCTAGAAACGTGTTAACGCTGTCAAATGTCTTTTCGTCATTACATAAAAGGAAATTGGTTGAATTTCATTTTGAGAACCAATCAATAACTATTCTTACCTATACGAATGGTTTATTTTGCTGATAGGGGAGTAAGAGTAAGAACCACAAACAGTAAGAGCCCACAATATCGACTAGAGGGTGAAGTAGTTCTTGATAATTCTTTGAAACGTTTGGCTAAACCAAAAACCGACTCAACTAAATCGGACAAAGGCCGCATGTTCTTGAATTTAAAATTTGCAAACAAGGGAATTGGTGCCTGTAATTTAAGTAACATTCTCAGACAAAAATCAGTTTTCCAAAATGTGCCACAATATTTCAAATTTCAGCAAGCTCCTACAATTTCATTTTCCTAAACTTACACCATTTCATCCCGGTTGTTCAACTATAGGAACGTGTTGCAGAACGTGGACTTGGCAGCTCATGGGTTCGAATCCCGACATAGATACAATGAGTGAAGCCCATTTCTTGTGCTCCCCGCAGTGATATTGCTGGAATATTGCTAAAAGAGGAGTAAAACCAAACTCACTAACTCACTGAACCCACAACCGACACTTGTATTAGTGACTGGTGATGATTGTTGGCTAATCTACTGGTATTGACATATGCGATCAAAAGGACTACAGTAACACTACAGTTGACACCGTACATATTCATACGTCCTGGAAGTGTTGAAACCACATGCTGAAGGTTGCTGACACTGGAGTACTACAATCCACGCCCAACAGATTCACACTTCCTGGAAGTGTTGAAACCACATGCTGAAGGTTGCTGACACTGGAGTACTACAATCCACGCCCAACAGATTCACACTTCCTGGAAGTGTTGAAACCACATGCTGAAGGTTGCTGACACAGGAGTACTACAATCCACGCCCAACAGATTCACACTTCCTGGAAGTGTTGAAACCACATGCTGAAGGTTGCTGACACTGGAGTACTACAATCCACGCCCAACAGATTCACACTTCCTGGAAGTGTTGAAACCACATGCTGAAGGTTGCTGACACAGGAGTACTACAATCCACGCCCAACAGATTCACACTTCCTTGAAGTGTTGAAACCACATGCTGAAGGTTGCTGACACAGGAGTACTACAATCCACGCCCATCAGATTCACACTTCCTGTCAGTGTTGAAACCACATGCTGAAGGTTGCTGACACAGGAGTACTACAATCCACGCCCAACAGATTCACACTTCCTGGAAGTGTTGAAACCACATGCTGAAGGTTGCTGACACTGGAGTACTACAATCCACGCCCAACAGATTCACACTTCCTGTCAGTGTTGAAACCACATGCTGAAGGTTGCTGACACAGGAGTACTACAATCCACGCCAGACAGATTCACACTTCCTGTCAGTGTTGAAACCACATGCTGAAGGTTGCTGACACAGGAGTACTACAATCCACGCCCAACAGATTCACACTTCCTGGAAGTGTTGAAACCACATGCTGAAGGTTGCTGACACAGGAGTACTACAATCCACGCCCAACAGATTCACACTTCCTGGAAGTGTTGAAACCACATGCTGAAGGTTGCTGACACTGGAGTACTACAATCCACGCCCAACAGATTCACACTTCCTGGAAGTGTTGAAACCACATGCTGAAGGTTGCTGACACAGGAGTACTACAATCCACGCCCAACAGATTCACACTTCCTGGAAGTGTTGAAACCACATGCTGAAGATTGCTGACACAGGAGTACTACAATCCACGCCCAACAGATTCACACTTCCTGGAAGTGTTGAAACCACATGCTGAAGATTGCTGACACAATAGTACTACAATCCACGCCCAACAGATTCACACTTCCTGTCAGTGTTGAAACCACATGCTGAAGGTTGCTGACACAGGAGTACTACAATCCACGCCCAACAGATTCACACTTCCTGTCAGTGTTGAAACCACATGCTGAAGGTTGCTGACACAGGAGTACTACAATCCACGCCCAACAGATTCACACTTCCTGTCAGTGTTGAAACCACATGCTGAAGATTGCTTAAACAAGAGCTGCGTAGACACTAGATTTAGAGTGAGTGAGTGAGTATGGTTTTACGCCGCTTTTAGCAATATGCAAGCAATATCACGGCGGGGGACACCACAAATGGGGTTCACACACGGTACCCATGTGGGGAATCGAACCCGGGTCTTCGGCGTGACGAGCGAACGCTTTAACCACTAGACTACCCCACCGCCCCCACTAGATTTAGACATAATGCTCAATGTATATACTTATATACATGCATATACTTACGTAATGGCATCGTGATGCTGGAGCACGCCCATAGCCGCCTCTGTGAAAACGTAAATATGTAGTATATATATATATAATATCAGTAAATATGTAGTATATATATATATAATATCAGTAAATATGTAGTATATATATATATAATATCAGTAAATATGTAGTATATATATATATAATATCAGTAAATATGGAGTATATATATATAATATCAGTAAATATGAAGTATATATATATATATAATATCAGTAAATATGTAGTATATATATATATATATAATATCAGTAAATATGTAGTATATATATATATAATATCAGTAAATATGTAGTATATATATATATATAATATCAGTAAATATGTAGTATATATATATATAATATCAGTAAATATGTAGTATATATATATATAATATCAGTAAATATGTAGTATATATATATATAATATCAGTAAATATGTAGTATATATATATATAATATCAGTAAATATGTAGTATATATATATATAATATCAGTAAATATGTAGTATATATATATAATATCAGTAAATATGTAGTATATATATATATAATATCAGTAAATATGTAGTATATATATAATATCAGTAAATATGTAGTATATATATATATATATATATAATATCAGTAAATATGTAGTATATATATATATATAATATCAGTAAATATGTAGTATATATATATATAATATCAGTAAATATGCAGGGGAAACAGTTCTTTGCATTATTCTTATTTTTCATTTTCGGATTTGGATTTTTTCTGTGTATTTTAATTGCTGCCTCAAATTGTTATAGTATTTGAACAACTCGTTAAGGAATGAGAAAACATCGTATGGATGAATACGTAATACTACTTAATACGGACATCTTTGAAAGCCGATAGATACATATGTTAAGTGTTCATACTTATATTACGAGAATGAGGCTCCGTTAAAGTTACTGGTGTATTCAATAATGCATTATTAATAGTTTGTATTAGACCCGTGAAGATCCGGGGTAGAATAGGTCTTCAGCAACCCATGCTTGCCGTAAAAGGCGACTGTGCTTGTCGTAAGAGGCGACTGACGGGATCGGGTGGTCAGACTCGCTGACTTGGTGGTTGATGCATGTCATCGTATCCCAATTGCGTGGATCGATGCTAATGATATCAATCACTGGATTGTCTGGTTCAGACTCGATTATTTAGAGACCGCCGTCATATAGCTGGAATTGTGTTGCGTTAAACAACAGACAAACATTCTAACAGTGAGTGAGTGAGTGAGTGAGTGAGCTGGGTTTAACACCGCTTTGAACTGTATTTCTGTTACACATGATGTCCACACCCCAGGTTCACATGATGTGTGAGGAAAACCCAAATCGATGCATGCGTCAGACGTTTACAACTTTTCGTGAAGCCCCCGAGCACGGGCATGGTACTTATAAACAAGATAACATACTTTGGGCGAATCTGGATCCTGGCGCGCCTAGGGGACACAACTCTGCACACATTCTCTCTTTATTGACAAATAGATGAGCGAAATAACACACGGGAACGACCACTTTCGTCCACGGCGTGACAACAACGCCTGTTTTATATGCAGTAGTTTCAACTTACTCAATACATGCATTCTTCTGAAGACGTCAGACAACCCGGCGAACACGCTTAACTGTTTGCAAGCCTGAAATGAGAAATTTGTTTGAAAATCGATGAAGTGATTTGATTGGTCAGTGTGTCTGTGATGGAGTATATTGTTGTGCTGAATCAGCTGGACTGGATCTATCTCGTTTCATGTCAACTCTCATATTTCAAACAAAGCAATTTGGATGGTTTACAGTTATATCGACCACGTGTGCCATTCACGCAGCAACCAACTTGACTGATTTAACTAAGGCTAAAAAAATAATAATCTTGGTTCTCAGGCACCACTCGCATCCTATTAAAGTCTGCCGCACGTTTTGTTTTTATTTCCATTTTCAAAAAAATATAAAAATCATAATACTTGAACACAATGCACACAAAAATTGAAAATGGAAACAAAACCTAAAAGTGCAATGAACTTTATGAGGTGGGCAGTGCCTGAGAACCAAGACTATTAGTTTTTTTAGCCTAACGTATGCCTAAATGTGATGATTTGTGTGTGTGGGGGGGGGGGGGGAGGGGGGGGGGGGGCGTGGAGGGGTCACACTGCGTTTGGTCTGGCTCCAAAAACGCACAGTAGTGAGTGAGTGAGTATGGTTTTACGCCGCTTTTAGCAATATTCCAGCAATATCACGGCGGGGGACACTAGAAATGGGCTTCACATATTGTACCCATGTCGGGAATCGAACCCGGGTCTTCGGCGTGACGAGCTGACGCTTTAACCACTAGCCTACCCGAACGCCCTTCAAAAAGGCACAGTAAGTGTACTATATCTACTCAATGGCTCCGCAGCCCCAAGATCCAGTGATTAGTCGGGAAAATGGATACGTGCCGTGAAATAGGAACATTCAAGATCGTATTTTGAAATATGTCATAACCAATCAGAAACAGAAGATTCCTCTGATTGGCTATTATATACCTGTCACGTTGACACTTTTAAGTGTCGCTGATATGATTCATTTCGAAAACAGGAAATTAAGTCGATCCAAGATGTTCGTCAACTCTATATATCAACGGGTTGTCAATGTCGGAGTAGGGTGTATGATGAGTGGTAGACAATAACGACAATACATCATGTGTTTTGATATAGAGCTGACATTTGTTATGTTGTCCCCAGACGGCTGGTATGTCTGTATATGACATCTGTGCTGACGCGTATACGCCAGTTCCAACCGTTCTCCATTTCCAAGGCACGACGTCAGCACTCCTCCCATCAAGACCGTAGTCTACCCACCCACTCGACTCGTGGAAGAAGCAATCAACGTCTTACTGTCCCCAGTGTGCAATAAACTACACGACACGAAATTGTTGATTTCTTAGGGCCAGCAACCTATGCTTGCCGTGACAGGCGACAAACAGGATCGGGGGTCAGTCCAGCTGACTTGGTTGATGTATGTTATCGTATTCCAATTGCATGGATCGATGCTCATGATGTCAATCACTGGATTGGCAAGTCCAGATTCGATTATTTACAGACCGTCATCATATAGCTGGAATATTTCTGAGTGCGGCGTTAAACAGCAAACATACACTATGTTTTAATTACCCCGTGAAAGTTTCTTTGTTTGTTTGTTGTTTAAAGCCCCACTCAGCGATCCCGTTAGTCGCCTCTTACGACAAGCATGGTCTGCTGAAGACCTATTCTACCCCGGATCTTCAGGGGTCTGACACAATTGGATGGCATGTGTTTCCAAAGTTGCTGTACATAGTATGTTATGCCTCTAAGTTTGAGATAATTCCCATCTGAGCTAATCATTTTACTAACGGGATTCAACATAGAAACACGTACAGGTGAGGTGCCTGTTTTAAATCCATACGTAAGCTGCTTTACCACCTAGACTCTTCCAATACTTTCCAATACTTTCAATGTCATGTGACCTCAGCATTAGGTCACATGACATTAGTCATGGCATGCTCATTCCGAAAAAACTAACGGTACTTCCAATCGATATGAGTTGACCCTGTGAGGTCAGAAGAAATTATATTAGCGATTAACCTGTCTCTAGAATACCTACATGTAGGATTGTTGGATAGATACCTTGTTTTCTATTCTGAACTTAGGTTGTTATAATGTAGTTTATGCTTCACTAACTAATATTGAATGCTATCTGCTGTCACATCCCACATGCGAGTTACTAAACGTATTGACGAGACACTGTACAGTTGACATTTCGAAAGCGAGGTCTGCATATTTGCCATGTTTTTCCTGAATCTTGTCAATCACATTAGTGTCAAAAGGGACAGAAAATTCAAGGATATAAACGATTTCATTGGATTTTTCAAAAAGGACAAGATCAGGTTTGTTGGCCTGGATACGTATGTGGCTGTATACGGGCCTATTCCAAAGAATTTTGTATTTATCATTTTCCATGACGCCCTCTACATATTCCGGGTCGTACCATGGGTGACCTCTGTGTCAAAACCAAAAGCATGACGAAGACTATAATATAATGATCGAGCCACTCCATCATGTCAGTTAATTAAGATACTGTGTTTGTGCCAAAGCTGGGCATCCACATTATTATTATTATTATTAAATTATTATTATTATTATTATTATTATTATTATTATTATTATTATTATTATTATTATTATTATTATTATCATTATTACCTGTAGCAATGCCCCCGCCTTCTTCACGTGTAGTTTTAGGCCCGCCTTGCTGGTGAAGTAGCCTGTCCAGTAGCCGTTGTCCACGGCGTACGGAAAGAAGTCGTCTGTCTTGTTGGTCCACGTTACCCTTGCCTTGTTGACGCTGTTGATGTAGCAGGATGGGGTGGAGTAGAGCAGGTTGATTTTGCTACCTTGCTGTTGCTGGAACGATGTCAGGATACATGTACGTTTAGTATCCTGTTGGGTGGCTGGTTAATGTGTGAGACTGCCAAACGCCATTAACTGGAATGTTTACAAATGTTTACAAATGTAGTGACATATTTCCTCTTTCAACGAAGTCATTGGCTAACCTTAGATGCAGATGATTAGCAGATATTTACCCTGGCGTTTATCCTGTCAATGAGTTTGTCCAGATTCTCAAACCACTCTCCAGCGTTCCTGAAACCAAAGTCGCTACCCATTGGGATCATGACGTGGTTTGTTTTAAACGAATTTCTCTGCAACAAAAGATTATTGTTTAGTCTTAACCAACACAACATATATTGGGTAGGTGTGTGTGTGTGTGGGGGGGGGGGGGGGGGGGGGGGGGGACTTGTTTTATTTACTACTACTAACCAGTGATATATGGGCCATGCAAGGAAGGGGTCATGCCAAACCACATCGTATTCCAGAATTCCCAGTTTGTGTATAAACCGTTTGTAACAAGGTTTCCACGATGGAGAAACATATCTCACAAGCACACTGTATAAATATATCCATATAAATATTACATATTTCCATACAGGGGTGTAGCCGATTCCAATTTAGCTTTCTCGGTTATTTCATTTTGGCGAAAACAATTTTCAAAGATCGAGGTTAAGACTATAAAAATGGAAAGGAGATGGAAAACTGTCCCTTGCAGGCAAATGTGTATTATTTCCATTACTTTCTGCACAGTAAAGAAATTGAAATGCATGGCTTATTTAACGCCTACCATGTCTAAATGCTAGATGACCTGCCTTATATAACGCAGTGCACTGACGTGCAAGGACCAAATGGGATTTGCGCTTTCTATCAAACTAAACATCGCAATGATGAATTGAAATAATATACTAGTACGTACAGTTAGTTTATTAAATGTTCCATTTTATGTCCCATTGTATTTAATGACGGTGCTACTCAAGTTTTTTGAAAAGTGGAAATATTGGTGCTTCTGTGTAGTCAGTCCGCAACGATCGAATTATGGTCATCAGATTTACTGGGGCGATGTAAACAAGTAATGTAATTCTTGCTCATATTCAATTTAAAAAATAACCCTTTTGTAATATTTTACCTAAATCGTGTGAGTATTACTACCCTGTGTAACCTAAACGGGGTTTGTTAGTCTTGGACAGTGGTATGTATTAATTTGTGGCGTCTCTTACATTTAAGAGACTTGTTGGTTGTCAGACTCTAGTATACTTTTGTAACCTCACCAGACAGTATAAGACGACTAGCTATATACCCTCACCTCTCTACTAGATGGTCATCTCCCTATGGTCTCGAGCAATAACTGTCCATTTCAAATGGAAATACCACGACCAACTCAACCGTACGCAATGTTAGATTGTTGGACAGGTAAATTGTCGTATTCAAAATTGCAGGGATATTATCTTTATGCAAATTGGTACCCATAATGAATCTGAAGTCACTCTTTACCTCAATGAAGTGATACAGTGGTATCATAGATGATTAGATTCTTGAGGTTTAATTTAATAGTTGTACATATTTATCGTTATTATGCGAGGTGTGCAATTTGATAAACTAATGTAATGATCCGGGATTTAAGATAAGGCTACACAATGCTACATAAGCGTCAATATAATGTGCATTTATAGCCCTCAACTAAGTATAGAATTTGGCAGATAACTTGTTAGAAGAAAGGTTATTGTTTCGTTTATTCCGAAACACAAACAGTCATTTGTTGTTACTAAAATAAGTTGTTCGTTTCGTTTTTTCTCTTAAATTTACCTGCTTTTCAATCTCGTCCAGGAACGTTTGCAAATCCATGTTATCCTGGAATCAAAGCAAAATAGTTCAAGCATGGCAGTCTGTAAGACAACTCTCACTCTCTCTCTGTTTCCCTCTCTCTGTTTCCCTCTCTCACTCACTCTCTCTGTTTCCCTCTCTCACTCACTCTGTTTCCCTCTCTCACTCACTCTCTCTGTTTCCCTCTCTCACTCACTCTGTTTCCCTCTCTCACTCACTCTCTCTGTTTCCCTCTCTCACTCACTCTCTCTGTTTCCCTCTCTCACTCACTCTCTCTGTTTCCCTTTCTCACTCACTCTCTCTGTTTCCCTCTCTCACTCACTCTCTCTTTCCCTCTCTCACTCACCCTCTCTGTTTCCCTCTCTCACTCACTCTGATCCCCTCTCTCTGTTTCCCTCTCTCTGTTTCCCTCTCTCACTCACTCTCTCTGTTTCCCTCTCTCACTCACTCTCTCTGTTTCCCTCTCTCACTCACTCTCTCTGTTTCCCTATCACTCACTCTGTTTCCCGCTCTCACTCACTCTGTTTCCCTCTCTCACTCACTCTCTCTGTTTCCCTCTCTCACTCACTCTCTCTTTTTCCCTTTCTCTATTTCCCTCTCTCACTCACACTCTGTTTCCCTCTCTCACTCACCCTCTCTGTTTCCCTCTCTCACTCACTCTGTTTCCCTCTCTCTGTTTCCCTCTCTCACTCACTCTCTCTGTTTCCCTCTCTCACTCACTCTCTGTTTCCCTCTCTCACTCACTCTCTCTATTTCCCTCTCTCACTCACTCTCTCTGTTTCCCTCTCTCACTCACTCTGTTTCCCTCTCTCACTCACCCTCTCTGTTTCCCTCTCTCACTCACTCTGTTTCCCTCTCTCTGTTTCCCTCTCTCACTCACTCTCTCTGTTTCCCTCTCTCACTCACTCTCTGTTTCCCTCTCTCACTAACCCTGTTTCCCTCTTTCCCTCATTCTCTCTGTTTCCCTCTCTCTCTCTCTCTTTGGTGTTGTGTGGTGTGGTGTGTGTGTGTGCGTGTCTATGTGTGAGTGTGGGGGGGGGGGGGGGGAATGGGGTGGGGGGGATGCATCACATCGCGGTACTATATAAACCTCATTAATAACACATTTGCACGTAAATGTTGAAGCCCATTGCCACGTTACATCATCACATTTAACTTTGCATCATCAGCAATGTACATAAGCTGTCTTTCCAAGTACCGACCAAGTTCTAGACGTCAATGAAAACATATATAATCTTAATAGTGTAATTTTGCGCCCCGTTTAACAGTATTCCATCAACTGTTATATCACTGCATGTCAGTTAAACGTGAGAAGAATACCCGAGGTGCTCAGGTCGTAGACGCGCACCATCTTTGGTGAAACCGACGAGGAGGAGTTTGATGCTGACACACTCACTCACTCACTCTCTGTTTCCCTCTCTCACTCACTCTCTCTGTTTCCCTCTCTCACTCACTCTCTGTTTCCCTCTCTCTCACTCTCTCTGTTTCCCTCTCTCACTCACTCTCTGTTTCCCTCTCTCTGTTTCCCTCTCTCACTCACTCTCTCTGTTCCCCTCACTCACTCTCTCTGTTTCTCTCTCTCACTCACTCTCTCTGTTTCCCTCTCTCACTCACTCCCTGTTTCTCTCTGTTTCCCTCTCTCACTCACTCTCTCTGTTTCCCTCTCTCACTCACTCTCTCTGTTTCCCTCTCTCACTCACTCTGTTTCCCTCTTTCACTCATTCTCTGTTTCCCTCTTTCACTCACTCTCTCTCTGTTTCCCTCTTTCACTCACTCTCTCTGTTTCCCTTTCTCACTCACCCTGTTTCCCTCTTTCACTCATTCTCTCTGTTTCCCTCTTTCACTCATTCTCTCTGTTTCCCTCTTTCACTCACTCTCTCTGTTATCCTCTCTCACTCACTCTGTTTCCCTCTTTCACTCATTCTCTGTTTCCCTCTTTCACTCATTCTCTCTGTTTCCCTCTTTCACTCACTCTCTCTGTTTCCCTCTCTCTCACTCATTCTCTCTGTTTCCCTCTTTCACTCATTCTCTGTTTCCCTCTTTCACTCACTCTCTCTGTTTCCCTCTCTCACTCACCCTGTTTCCCTCTTTCCCTCATTCTCTCTGTTTCCCTCTCTCTCTCTCTCTCTCTTTGGTGTTGTGTGGTGTGGTGTGTGTGTGCGTGTCTATGTGTGTGTGTGTGTGGGGGGGGGGGGGGGGGGGGAATGGGGTGGGGGGGGGATGCATCACATCGCGGTACTATATAAACCTCATTAATAACACATTTGCACGTAAATGTTGAAGCCCATTGCCACGTTACATCATCACATTTAACCTTGCATCATCAGCAATATACATAAGCTGTCATTCCAAGTACCGACCAAGTTCTAGACGTCAATGAAAACATATATAATCTTAATAGTGCAATTTTGCGCCCCGTTTAACAGTATTCCATCAACTGTTATATCACTGCATGTCAGTTAAACGTGAGAAGAATACCCGAGGTGCTCAGGTCGTAGATGCGCACCATCTTTGGTGAAACCGACGAGGAGGAGTTTGATGCTGACACACCAAGGATCATAACCAGTGCATGTATGTATCTTACAGTCAGATGTTACAGTGACTGGCGTGGTTCTGAAATGATATGGCTCAAGGCTAGTGACTCTTGTGGATTTGTAAAGTAAAACTTCAATGCAGAGTAAATTTCTCGGCGAGTGCCACAGGGGTAGCTACATTGTGTGTTTGTTGTTTATATCTGGTTTGGTGAGGTTTTGGAAGAGAACGCGTGTGTTATACACACAAAATACGGGACACGTTGTCAATGAGTGAGCCGGGCTTCAAGCCACAGTGCTCCATCTCAGGTCTGCTGATAGACATGTACAATAATTAGGGCAAATCCACGATCAGCGTGTCCTTAAACATCTAAGGGACGCAACTCACCAGTCTGTCTTCCTTCCAGCCGTCCATGACGTAACCTTTCGGCGCGTAGTAGCCCCCGGAGATGTGAGTGAAGAGAGACCCCTTGTCACCTGTATAACACCAGACAATGCTATAAAAGTGGTTTATCATCCAAAACTGGCTCCCACAGGAGATATCGCTTGGGTGAAATCCAGCGATATCTATACTGTAGATATCGCTGCAATGAAATTGCATCACAATGCTTTGCAGACCATTGTGAAGTCATTGGTTACCATGACGTCACAATCAAATGACATCACTAATGGCTGTGCTACTGAAGCTGTTAGCAGTACTTTTTACACTTAAGACACTGCTTATAACGTTCTACAAACTGAAAACGTTGGAAGAATGATGTTGGATGATAAATAAAATCTCCCCCGCGTGTCTTTTGATTTCAAATATATCAACACTCGTTGATAAAAGTGGAAAAAAATCCTCGGCAAGCCTCGGAGTTTTCCCACTTTTATCAACTCGTGTTAATATATTTGATATCAAAAGACACTCGGGTGAGATTCTCTATATGACAGCACAATACACAATACCCCTCACACTGCAAAATCTAGTTGATTGTTTATTGTTAAACGCCGCAGTCAGCAGTTTTCCAGTTCTGTGACGGCGGTCTGTAAATCATCCAGTCTGGGCCAGACAATCCTTTAATTGATACCACAAACATTGATCCACTCACAGGATAAAATAACATGCAAAGTATATCATGTAGGCCAAATAATATTATAAGTTGTATAAATTTATGCGTCCCGCGTTAGGCTTTATATCACAAACGGGAGGTGGCGGTGGGGTAGCCTAGTGGTTAAAGCGTTCGCTCGTCACGCCGAAGACCCGGGTTCGAATCCCGACATGGGTACAATGTGTGAAGCCCATTTCTGGTGTCCCCCGCCGTGATATTGCTGGAATATTGCTAAAAGCGGCGTAAAACCAAACTCACTCAGTCACAAAACCAGAGGCATGTTTAACCGACATTGTAAAAGAATTAACACAAATTCCAAATTGATAGAAAACAGCTGTACTGAAAAAAGAAACTGCATCACATTGTGACTAATAAATCGACACGTAAAGTGCAGGCCATGATGACCAATACAAATTTGAAACTACGAGCCCAACCCGAAATTTGCCTGCCACGGGCTTTCGGGCAGGTGCTTCAAGCATGTTTAGTTTCAGCTTCATTGGTCACGAGGTTTCTGAGGAGATGATATTCACAGAGCCTAGATCACATTTGGAGAAAATTTAAGATCATCGTCAAACCACTACATTCGCGCTTCAGCACGGAATCTGTTTCATGACTCATACTCATTGAAAGGTCATGAGAGTCTTGGGTTTAACGCAACTTTGTAGAGTAGTCAAGTTACATGTATATAAATACAAATATACACATCATCGATATAAAAAAAAACCTGTTCCCTCATACAGTAATGTGATCCTAAAACAAACATCAATATCTACCCGGTCCACAGATCTAATTGTCATGTTGTCGCTACTGAGAAATACGAGCCGCCTACTCTAAAGCCTCATCAGCCGCGAATACATCCCTGTGACCGCAACTGAGATGGACGTACGTTAAATGTACATTACTATACAAGTCTTGGGATGAAGAAGGGGGCGTGGCGTCTATACAAGTCTGGGCATGGGGAATGGGGCGTGGCATCTATGCGAGTTTAGGGATAAGGAGGGGTGTTGCGTCTATACAAGTCTGGGAATAAGGAGGGAGCGTGGCGTCTATACAAGTCTGGGAATAAGGAGGGAGCGTGGCGTCTATACAAGTCTAGGCATGGGGAATGGGGCGTGGCATCTATACAAGTTTAGGGATAAGGAGGGGGCGTGGCGTCTATACAAGTCTGGGAATAAGGAGGGAGTGTGGTGTCTATACAAGTCTGAGAAAGAGGAAGGAGGCGTGGCGTCTATACAAGTCCGGGAATTAGGAGGGAGGCGTGGCGTCTATACAAGTCTGGGAATAAGGAGGGAGCGTGGCGTCTATACAAGTCTGGGAATAAGGAGGGGGCGTGGCGTCTATACAAGTCTGGGAATAAGGAGGGAGCGTGGCGTCTATACAAGTCTGGGAATAAGGAGGGGGCGTGGCGTCTATACAAGTCTGGGAATAAGGAGGGAGCGTGGCGTCTATACAAGTCTGGGAATAAGGAGGGAGCGTGGCGTCTATACAAGTCTGAGAAAGAGGAGGGAGTGTGGCGTCTATACAAGTGTGGGAATAAGGAGGGAGCGTGGCGTCTATACAAGTCTGGGAATAAGGAGGGAGCGTGGCGTCTATACAAGTCTGGGAATAAGGAGGGAGGCGTTGCGTCTATACAAGTCTGGGAATAAGGAGGGAGCGTGGCGTCTATACAAGTCTGGGAATAAGGAGGGAGCGTGGCGTCTATACAAGTCTTGGAATAAGGAGGGAGCGTGGCGTCTATACAAGTCTGAGAAAGAGGAAGGGCGAAACCGCATTATCAGTGGTTCATATTGGGAAAGGGAGGTCACTCTAATTTCAAACGGGAGCTATCTCCGTTGTTTTCGTATTTGTGAGAAATGGCGTCACCCACGCCGTACGTTGTCGGTCCAGCTATGAAATGCCCAGCTTATCCCTAAGGTAAAATGTATTCCTAATTAAATGTTTGAATGCATTATATATTTATGTTTCCATCCGTAAATCTTCTAAGATTGGGTTAGTGCTGATAACCATTTTCTAAAATGTGGGCCCACATTTTTCCCGTCATCTATGGTGATCGAAACAAGTGGGCCCATATTTGTATTTCGCCTGGCTTCGTTAGGTTGTTTCGTTAGTTCTGATTATCAATTCCTTAATGTGTGCAGACGTTCTTCCGTCATATTGATTGCAACAAAAGGGACGACATTTATTAATCGCGAAATTCTACTTAAATATTGATAATCATTTTCTCAAATGTGGGCCCACATTGTTCCGGTCATATATGGTGATCGTAACAAGTGGGCCCACATTTGTATATCGCCTAGTGGGTAGACGTTCTTCCGTCATAGGGATTGCAACAGGAGGGACCACATTAAAAAATCGCTAAGGTTCATTAGTGAATGAGTATGGTTTTACGCCGCTTTTAGCAATATTCCAGCAATATCACGGCGGGGGACACCAGAAAAGGGCTTCACACATTGTACCCATGTCGGGCTAAGCTTCATTAGCTTGGCTTAGTTAAATAACCATTTTCTAAAATGTTGGCCCACATTGTTCCCGTGTTATAGTGATCGAAACAGGTGGGCACACATTTGTAAATCGCTGGGTTTCATTGGGTTGACAAAGTCATTTAGGCTAGTGGGCTCACATTTGTCATTACTTTGCATGGGTATGTGACAGTATATATTATTCTTATTTTGTAATATTGACCGGAAATATCTTTATAAATCATTTCGTGTGACGTTAATAACCACGAAAGGCACAAAAGTCTTTAAAGTTTGAATAACGTCATCATAGCTGACCACACTAGTCTATACAAGTCAGGGAATAAGGAGGGAGTGTGGCGTCGATACAAGTCTGGGAATAAGGAGGGAGCGTGGCGTCTATACAAGTCTTGGAATAAGGAGGGAGCGTGGCGTCTATACAAGTCTGAGAAAGAGGAGGGAGGCGTGGCGTCTATACAAGTGTGGGAATAAGGAGGGAGGCGTGGGGTCTATACAAGTCTGAGAAAGAGGAGGTAGGCGTGGCGTCTATACAAGTCAGGGAATAAGGAGGGAGTGTGGCGTCGATACAAGTCTGGGAATAAGGAGGGAGGCGTGGCGTCTATACAAGTCCAGGAAAAAGGAGGGAGCGTGGCGTCTATACAAGTCTGGGAATAAGGAGGGAGGCGTGGCATCTATACAAGTCTGGGAATAAGGAGGGAGTGTGGCATCTATACAAGTCTGGGAATAAGGAGGGAGTGTGGCATCTATACAAGCCTTGGAATAAGGAGGGAGTGTGGCGTCTATACAAGTCTGAGAAAGAGGAGGAAGCGTGGCGTCTATACAAGTCTGGGAATAAGGAGGGAGTGTGGCGTCTATACAAGTCTGAGAAAGAGGAGGGAGTTGTGGCATTTATACAAGTCTGAGAAAGAGGAAGGAGGCGTGGCATTTATACAAGTTGAGGAATAAGGGGGGACGTCTCACCAAGGTTATCCGGACTACTCTGCCACACCAGCTCCCGTGTTTTACTTTGCGTTCGTGCAGCAATGTCTTGATAGTCAATGCGGCCAAGTACAATAGCATCGAAACCCATCTGTAACATAAACACACGAATCAGTCGATTAAACCTGCCTTTTCTGAAAGTTCTGTAAAATACACCTACTCAACGGGTATAACAGTAAATATGTTGAGAGGATACACATGTATCGAGGGATCTGTGTTTCTATTCTTCAGAACAATTAAAAAAAACATTCTGAAAGTGTCATATGCCACCTAACACATGCAATGAAAGTCGGAAGAACCGTGTGTGAAAGGGGAAAAATCACGTTTTTACTCTTCGATGATCAGCTTTAGATGTGAATTGAAAAAGGGAAAAGCGCAGTTATTTTAATAATCCACAGTGGATGGTTGTGTTTGTGAAAGCAAACTATTTTTTGACCCATAAAATGCTCCTCGCACATCATAAGTACACTAGGGACAAATAACAGATCATCTACGGTTTCTCTTAGTCACTGAAGCCTATTCACTACATCACTAATCAGAGTCAGAGGGGGCCAGTGTCCAACTGCGGACTGAAGCTGTGCAGTGTCATGAAACCCAGTCATACAACACCCCAGGCTTTAGCCAAATGGGTGGATTACTCACTTATACTAGGTAGACCAAAGCTGACCAGATGTAGCGTGACCTTCAACCTTAATCCAGCGCAGCTTGCCATAAAGTTATTATTAAGAACAAATTGTCTCGAAAAAAAATCTCAGACCCTCATACCCGAGGACCTCTCACAGATATTGGATAGACGGGCGTGGTCTGTGTTTTCTTGTATTCTAGGGCAGTATATGTATTTCCGTTAATATATGTGGGTCCTTGGTTATGACCAGAATAGCATCACACTGTCTAGGTAGGCTTTGGCAAACATGATATTAGAGTCGTTAAATTGACGAAGATTGGGAGACTGGCATCTCATGGATGGGCTGAAATTACACTATGTAAACTGAGAATGTCAGTATCAAACACGTTAGTGATAGACATAGATGACATTCCTACACGCACACTAATTTCAACTAATGTGTAATGCTCACTGTTCACTGGTCGTCGGGAACAAACAGTCTGCTGTTGATATTGTCTGTAGATATACTTTTACACAGACCAGTAGATTTACCTTTATCACATCTGTACACATAACTGTAAATCCACCTGTACATACACCTGTACACATAACTGTAAATCTACCTGTACACATTACTGTAAATCCACCTGTACATACACCTGTACATATAACTGTAAATCTACCTGTACATATACCTGTACACATAACTGTAAATCTACCTGTACATACACCTGTACACATAACTGTAAATCTACCTGTACATACACCTGTAGACATAACTGTAAATTTACCTTTACATAGACCTGTAGACATAACTGTAAATCTACCTGTACATACACCTGTACACATTACTGTAAATTTACCTATACACCTGTAGACATAACTGTAAATTTACTTTTACATACACCTGTTCACACACCTGTAGATTTACCTTTACATACACCTGTACACATTACTGTAAATCTACCTATACACCTGTAGACATAACTGAAAATTTACTTTTACATACACCTGTTCACACACCTGTAAATTTACCTGTACATACACTTGTACACATTACTGAAAATTTACCTATACATCTGTAGACATAACTGTAAATTTACTTTTACATACACCTGTTCACACACCTTTAAATTTACCTTTACATACACCTGTACACATTACTGTAAATTTACCTATACACCTGTACACGTAACTGTAAATTTAGCTTTGCATACACCTGTTCACATTACTGTAAATCTATCTTTACACACGCCTGTACACATAACTGTAAATTTACCTTAACATACACATGTACACATAACTGTAAATGTACCTGTACATACACCTGTAGACATAACTGTAAATCTACCTTTACATACACCTGTAGACATAACTGTAAAATTTACCTTTACATACACCTGTACACATAACTGTAAATCTACCTGTACATACACCTGTACACATAACTGTAAATCTACCTGCACATACACCTGTAGACATAACTGTAAATTTACCTTTTCATACATCTGTACACATAACTGTAAATCTACCTGTACATACACCTGTACACATAACTGTAAATTTACCTTTACATACACCTGTACACAATACTGTAAATTTACCTATACACCTGTAGACATAACTGTAAATCTACCTTTACATACACCTGTAGACATAACTGTAAATCTACCTGTACATACACCTGTACACATTACTGTAAATCTACCTGTACATACACCTGTACACATAACTGTAAATTTACCTGTACATATACCTGTACACATAACTGTAAATCTACCTGTACATACACCTGTAGACATAACTGTAAATACCTGTACATACACCTGTAGACATAACTGTAAATCTACCTGTACATACACCTGTACACATAACTGTAAATTTACCTTTACATACACATGTACACATTACTGTAAATTTACCTATACACCTGTAGACATAACTGTAAATCTACCTTTACATACACCTGTAGACATAACTGTAAAATTTACCTTTAATTACACCTGTACACATAACTGTAAATCTACCTGTACATACACCTGTACACATTACTGTAAATTTACCTATACACCTGTAGACATAACTGTAAATCTACCTTTACATACACCTGTAGACATAACTGTAAATCTACCTGTACATACACCTGTACACATTACTGTAAATCTACCTGTACATACACCTGTACACATAACTGTAAATTTACCTGTACATATACCTGTACACATAACTGTAAATCTACCTGTACATACACCTGTACACATAACTGTAAATACCTGTACATACACCTGTAGACATAATTGTAAATTTACCTGTACATACACCTGTAGACATAACTGTAAATCTACCTGTATATACACCTGTACACATAACTGTAAATTTACCTTTAATTACACCTGTACACATAACTGTAAATCTACCTGTACATACACCTGTACACATTACTGTAAATTTACCTATACACCTGTAGACATAACTGTAAATCTACCTTTACATACACCTGTAGACATAACTGTAAATCTACCTGTACATACACCTGTACACATTACTGTAAAATTTACCTTTAATTACACCTGTACACATAACTGTAAATCTACCTGTACATACACCTGTACACATTACTGTAAATTTACCTATACACCTGTAGACATAACTTTAAATTTACTTTTACATACACCTGTTCACACACCTGTAGATTGACCTATACATACACCTGTACACATTACTGTAAATTTACCTATACACCTGTAGACATAACTGTAAATTTACTTTTAAATACACCTGTTCACACACCTGTAAATTTACCTGTACATACACTTGTACACATTACTGTAAATTTACCTATACATCTGTAGACATAACTGTAAATTTACTTTTACATACACCTGTTCACACACCTGTAAATTTACCTTTACATACACCTGTACACATTACTGTAAATTTACCTATACACCTGTACACGTAACTGTAAATTTAGCTTTGCATACACCTGTTCACATTACTGTAAATCTATCTTTACACACGCCTGTACACATAACTGTAAATTTACCTTAACATACACATGTACACATAACTGTAAATCTACCTTTACATTGTGTACATACGCCTGTACACATTACTGTAAATTTAGGGGCGGTCGGGTAGCCTAGTGGTTAAAGCGTTAGCTCGTCACGCCGACGACCTGGGTTCGATTCCCCACATGGGTACAATGTGTGAAGCCCATTTCCTGTGCCCCCCGTCGTGATATTGCTGGAATATTGCTAAAAGCGGCGTAAAACCACACTCACTCACTCACTCACTACTGTAAAGTTTCCCTTACATACCCCTGTACACATACCTGTAAATCTCGCTTCACATACACCTGTACACACACCTGTACAATTACCTGTCCATGCAATGCACTTGTACAATTATCTCTGCATATACCTGTACAAATACATTGCTCAAGTGATAGCATGGCACTGCAAGAAGGTTCTTTTACATATTTGGGTTGTGAGTACAATTGCTAATTAGAGAAGAGAGAACTGCCACATGTTTTTTATGGATTATCGGCATAACATTTGCATCTCATGTCGTGTATTGTTCATTTTGTGACAAAACATCCCCAAATCATTAACAAAATCGTTCTTGTATACCCAACACTGACTAAAGCTATAACCTCTAAGTGAACTTGAGGAGTTGTTCACCACGCGATACGTCATGATGATGGTCATCGGTATTTGTTAAGACATACCTGTGCAAATATTGACGAATGTTCTCTGGAATGTCCGAACTGGTCGACATGCCAGGCTACCTTGGATTGGGCACAGGGTCCGAAGTGACGGTCAATGAAATCAAACCCCAGTGTGTGCTGGTCGATGATGTCGTTGTAGAATGTCGTCGCTGCGTCGCTCATACACCATCCTCCTATGACAATCTCCAGACGCCCTTCAGAGGGATTAACAACCTACTAAGGACCTGTTTACACCGTCAACACTGCAGTAAACACCCCGCAGGTCAAGACCGTGCTGGAATAATACCCCGCCATCTCGGCAATTACCGTCACGATGGTCTACATATAATGATATTATGAAATAAACATAATCTACATGTTCTAGAACTTCACTGAATTTTGGCTCAAATGATTGTATTTTGATGCTTGTATATACTGTTTGTCTAATCGTGTACGTGTATATGATTTTCTCTAATGAGAACCACTCAACTGCCTTGATAGATTTGACCCGTGAAAATCCGGAAGGATAGGTCTTCAGCAACCCATGCTTGCCGTAAAAGACGACTTTGCTTGTCGTAAGAGGCGACTTACGGGATCGGGTGGTCAGGCTCGCTGACTTGGTTGCATGTCATTGTATCCCAATTGCGTGGACATATGCTCATGATGTCAATCACTGGATTGTCTGGTCCAGACTTGATTATTTACAGACCGCCGTCACACAGCTGGAATATTGCAGAGTGCGGCGTTAAACAAGAAAGAAACAAGCTAGTGAGAACAGTTAACTAACGAGTTGATGTCAATGAATCACAATCAGTACATGGACTTCTCGAACGGAAGACAAGCTACAGTTGACAGTGAGAGCAATGAGCAGTACTCAGTTACTGGTGGATGATGACGTGTATCATGGGACCCGCTTCCCAGACGTTCACCACGTTGGTGAAACCCACGACCCAGGTACTGTGCCTACCCACCAACGATCATAATCAGGCTCTGGGAATCCACAATGGATCCAAACTCATCTACGGGACGTAACTCGCAACACTCTAACACTCAACCCTCTTAAAGGTCGGAATATAAATACGGAAAATTGACATACTTTGTTTGATGAGTTCCTTGACCTGGGCTTGTGTTTGCTGGTCTATTTCCTTCCACCACATGGACAGGAAGGCCATTTCGATGAAGATGAATTTTCTTTTGGGGTTTTCCAATAGTTCAGGAATAGTCGTATTGAGGACGCAGCGAACACATTCGTGGCCAAAATGGTGGGAATATCCTGGAAGAAAACGCATATCGTTATGTTCGTTTCTTAAATCATGGAAATGGGGAAATGAAATTGACTAGGACGCCTGGTGCTGTGGTCGTGGCTGGAGTAGTAGTTGGAGCGGCTGTGTTTGTTGAAGAAGAGGCACAACAGTGGAGGTAGTGACGGTTAGTAGTGGTAGTAGTAGTAGTAGTAGTAGTAGTTGTGGTGGTAGTAGTAGTAGTAGTAGTAGTAGTGGTGTTGGTGGTTGTGGTGGTGGTAATAGCAGTAGTAGTAGTGGTGGCAGTAGTAGTCCTAGTAGTAGTAGCACTAATGGTAGTAGTAGAAATATTAGTGGAAGAGGTAGTAGTAGTTGTAGTAGTAGAGGAGGTAGTAGTATTAGTAGCAATACTAGTAGTAGTTGTTGTAGTAGCAGTAGTTGCAGCAGCAGCAGTAGTAGTGGTAGTAGTAGAACAGCAGGATCAGTAGTCGTGGTAATATTAGTAGTAGCAGTAACAGGAGTAGAAGTGGTGGTAGTAGTAGTAGTAGTAGTAGTAGTAGTAGTAGTAGTAGCAGCATTGGTAGTAGTAGTGGTAGTAGTAGCAGTTGCAGTGGCAGTTGTTGAAGTTGTGGTAGTAGTAGTGGTTGTAACAGCAGCAGTACCAGTAGTAGCATTAGTAGAAGAGGTAGTAGTGGCTGTAGTGGTGGCAGTAGTAGTAGTAGTAGTAGTAGTAGTAGTAGTAGGAGTAGGAGGAGGAGGAGGAGGAGGAGGAGTAGATTGGTAATAGCAGCTGTAGAAGTGGCACTTGTAGTAGTCAAGGAGTAGGTTGTTACTGCCCCCGCCAAGGAGCACAACAACGACCCATGTTTATAAAGCGGTAAAAATGTAAATCAGTAAATTGATCAAAGATGTTTGCCCCGGCATGACCTTCTCGGAGCAGTATATCGCCCACATAAACATCAAGTATGACCTCAATGTAGGCCTCTGTTAACCCGTTTCTATAGACAGGTACATAACATTGCGATTGACATATCAAAAGTGCTAGCCTAAGTGTCGTATAAACTCATTTGTGACATGTTTCAAAAGGTGCGCCGAAGTGTAAACGATAAAAATATCCCGAGCTCAGCGTCGTCAGTTTGACTTACCAACCTCACACTGCACCATCCACGTTAACCAAATCCTTTTATAAAAATACGATTCAACACCGTGTAACCAAACCTGCTCCATGTAGACACGGTCATTCACTGGTTTGGGGAGCCGCTGTCGAAGATTTCATTACTACAGCCAACCCAAGCCCTGAGTGTATATTCCGGGACGTCAATTCCACTCTCCCCAAACACGACAGTAAAACGTGCGTTTTTACACGAATTTCAGAAACGATTTAACATTTCAGACCTGCATTATTGTCACAGAATAAAGTGTGTCACAACTCTGTCATATTACAATCTATGGGTTATTTCTCAAATAGTTGATGAAGTCGTGAAGGGGCGAGCACCAGGATGACTGAAAACAGCTGTCACTGCTTTATAGCCATGTGCAGCCAAATATGTTTGTGTCTTTGTCTCCTGGGTTTGGTCTTGAGACAATGACAGAAGACCTACGGGATGTTTTCGCACATACAAATGCCACTTAGCATACGTTTCAAGAAACTCTATTTAAGATCTTAATTAAGATCAATGGCCTATTAGCAACGAAAAATGAAAGTGCGTCGTTTTTTTAGTGCGTCGTTGTGTTCAAGGCATTTAATTAAATAACACTTAACAGTCTCGAAAAACAACACTGCGCGTTGACGACGTTTTTGAGGCAGTCTTTGATGTTTTCTTTCCACAATGACCAAGACGAATTCGCGTGAGAATGATTTCATCACGTCTTCCGGCTCAGTGGTCTCGATATGTTTTACGTATGGCCATCTTCAAAAGACATCCGTCGTCGTATATTTTTACGAACGTGTTCTTATGACTGCATGCGTGGTGATTGATCACTGCACCAGCGTTAACAGATCGCGGAAGATGGTGTCGAGACTGCGCTGTGTTAAACGACACATTGTTTCAGTTTTATCACGGCGTGGCACCTTCGAGTAGGAGCACCCCTTGGGGTCACCGGGTCACAAGTGACCCCAAGACCTCTGCTGGTCGTATGAAGGTCACTTGGTTGATTCCGTGACAACGTGTGTACAGGTGTTCATGATATCACTCACTGGTGCGTCCAGACTCGATTGTGCAATGCCGCAGTTCTACAGCTAGATATGAATACGGCGTTATACAATACACAAACAAACAGACAGACAGACAGACAGACAGACAGGCAGACAGACAGACAGACAGACAGACAGACAGACAGACAGACAGACAGACAGACAAACAAACAAACAAACTGACAGACAGACAGACAGACAAACAGACAGGCAGGCAGACACACAGACAGGCAGGCAGACAGACAAACAGACAGGCAGGCAGACACACAGACAGACAGACAGACACACAGACACACAGACAGACAGACAGACAGACCATGTGGGGGGAACTACAAACGAGATGCAGACCCGAGATTGTTACTATGTGCTTAGTTCTGGTAAGGTAGGTAGCCCAGTGGTTAAAGCGTTCCCTCGTGAAGGCCGAAGACCCGGGTTCAATTCCCGACATGGGTACAATGTGTGAAGCCCATTTCTGGTGACCCCGCCGTGATATTGTTGGAATATTGCTGAAAGCGGCCTAAAAATAACTCGTTCACTCAGACCAGAGATTTGACTAATTTGGATTAAAAACCGGATCCATACACGATTGAGGAACGTAATATTGTACTTGTGATTAGTCTGTCCGGGGTTTATTAATCAGCATTAAATACAGGTGCGTAATCCTAACAGTACTCCACCTGTTGTTATCACCGTGAAGATCCGGGATAGAGTAGGTCTTCAGCAACCCATGCTTGCCGTAAATGGCGACTATCCTTGTCGTAAGAGGCGACTAACGGGATCGGGTGGTCAGGCTCGCTGACTTGGTTGATGCATGTCATTGTATCCCACTTTCGTGGATCGATGCTCATGATGTCAATCACTGGATTGTCTGGTCTAGACTCGATTATTGACAGACCGCCGTCATATAGCTTGAATATTGCTGAGTGCGGCGTTAAACAACAAACAAACTAACCATGTGCTGTTATCCCCGGTACCCCACCTGTTGGTATCCCCGGTACTCCCACCTGTTGTTATCTCCGGTACTCCTATCTGTTGTTATCCCCGGTACTCCCAATAGTCGTTATCCACAGTACTCCCACCTGTTGTTATCCCCAGTACTCCCATCTGTTGTTATCCCTGGTACTCCCATCTGTTGTTATCCCCGGTACTCCCATCTGTTGTTATACCCGGTACTCCCGCCTCTCGTTTAATCCGGTACTCCCATCTGTTGATATCCCCGGTGTTCCCATCTGTTGCTATACCCGGTGTTCCCATCTGTTGCTGTACCCGGTACTCCCATCTGTTGCTATACCCGGTGTTCCCATCTGTTGATATCCCCGGTGTTCCCATCTGTTGTTATACCCGGTACTCCAACCTGTTGTTATACCCGGTACTCCCTCTTGTTTTTATCCCCGGTACTCCCATCTGTTGTTATCCCCGGTACTCCCATCTGTTGTTATCCTCGGTACTCCCATCTGTTGTTATATTCGGTACTCCCATCTGTTGTTATCCCCGGTACTCCCATCTGTTGTAACAGTTATTCCCGGTACTCCCATCTGTTGTTATCCCCGGTACTCCCATCTGTTGTTATCCCCGGTACTCCCTCCTCTCGTTATCCCCGGTACCCCACATGTTGTTACCCCCGGTACTCCCACCTGTTGTTATCCCCAGTACTCCCGTCTATTGATATACCCGGTACTCTCATCTGTTGTTATCCCCAGTACTCCCGTCTATTGATATCCCCGGTACTCCCATCTGCTGTGATCCCCGGTTCTCCAACATGTTGTTATCCCCAGTACTCCCGTCTATTGATATCCCCGGTACTCCCATCTGCTGTGATCCCAAGTTCTCCCACATGTTGTTATCCCCAGTACTCCCGTCTATTGATATCCCTGGTACTCCCACATGTTGTTATCCCCAGTACTCCCGTCTATTGATATCCCCAGTACTCTCATCTGTTGTTATCCCCAGTACTCCCGTCTATTGATATCCCTGGTACTCCCACCTGTTGTTATCCCCAATACTCCCGTCTATTGATATCCCTGGTACTCCCACATGTTGTTATCCCCAGTACTCCCGTCTATTGATATCCCTGGTACTCCCACATGTTGTTATCCCCAGTACTCCCGTCTATTGATATCCCCGGTACTCCCACTTGTTGTTATCCCCAGTACTCCCGTCTATTGATATCCCTGGTACTCCAACATGTTCTTATCCCCAGTACTCCCGTCTATTGATATACCCGGTACTCCCACATGTTGTTATCCCCAGTACTCCCGTCTATTGATATCCCCGGTACTCCCACATGTTGTTATCCCCGGTACTCCCGTCTATTGATATACCCGGTACTCCCACATGTTGTTATCCCCGGCACTCCCCCATGTTGTTATCCCCAGTACTCCCGTCTATTGATATCCCCGGTACTCCCACCTGTTGTTATCCCCAGTACTCCCGTCTATTGATATACCCGGTACTCCCACATGTTGTTATCCCCGGTACGCCCACCTGTTGTTATCCCCAGTACTCCCGTCTATTGATATCCCCGGTACTCCCACATGTTGTTATCCCCAGTACTCCCGTCTATTGATATCCCCGGTACTCCCACATGTTGTTATCCCCAGTACTCCCGTCTATTGATATACCCGGTACTCCCACATGTTGTTATCCCCAGTACTCCCGTCTATTGATATCCCCGGTACTCCCACATGTTGTTATCCCTTGTACTCCCACCTGTTGTTATCCCCAGTACTCCCGTCTATTGATATACCCGGTACTCCCACATGTTGTTATCCCCAGTACTCCCGTCTATTGATATCCCCGGTACTCCCACCTGTTGTTATCCCCAGTACTCCCGTCTATTGATATACCCGGTACTCCCACATGTTGTTATCCCCGGTACTCCCACCTGTTGTTATCCCCAGTACTCCCGTCTATTGATATCCCTGGTACTCCCACCTGTTGTTATCCCCAGTACTCCCGTCTATTGATATACCCGGTACTCCCACATGTTGTTATCCCCAGTACTCCCGTCTATTGATATCCCCGGTACTCCAACATGTTGTTATCCCCAGTACTCCCGTCTATTGATATACCCGTTACTCCCACATGTTGTTACCCCCGGTACTCCCACCTGTTGTTATCCCCAGTACTCCCATCTATTGATATCCCCGGTACTCCCACATGTTGTTATCCCCAGTACTCCCGTCTATTGATATCCCCGGTACTCCCATCTGTTGTTATCCCAAGTACTCCCGTCTATTGATATCCCCAGTACTCCCACCTGCTGTTATCCCCGCGAGTTTATTGCTCTCACACAACTGTCACAGTTCACGACAATCCACAGTTCAAGCTACTGTAAACAGCTGTCCCGATGTGTTTCAGCCCTCCTTTCCCACGGTGTCCCATGTTTAGAATTTAGAATTGGTGACAAAAACTCAACGTGACATTCTTACATTGTTCTGACATGATATTACGTTTATCGCGAGATCCTACACAGAAATCGTTCGTTCATCTTTAAAAAAATCAGAAAATCTGTTATTACGGTGTCTGGAACGTTCATCTGATAAATAATAACGAAATGAAATAGGGTCATGGTTATAAGCGATAAGTCAGTGAAAATAGTAGACTAGCTGTACTAGTAACTGGTCATTGTGATAAAGGGCTTACGGCGTGGGAACCGAATGATCCATGTATGTATAACACACATTTCTATGCCTGCTTTCTTGGTTGTGTCGTCTAAAATCACTTTACTCCCTTAATGCCTAGCATTTGCCACTTTAAGATGACACAAATCACCATTTAAAAACGCACCTCTAAAAGTTATAATCACGAGAATATTTTTTTACTGTAATAAATGACAGTAGTGTTTCAGAGCGCACCTGTTGTCATTGCTAAAAAAATTACATCTAAAAGTTATAATCAAGATAATGTCTTTTTACTGTAATATATAAATGTCAGAGTGTCAGAGCGTACCTGTTAGCATTGCTTAGTAATGCAGCGTGAACATGTCTTGTCATTGACGTGCACATCAGGCCTGTCACTTACATACAGTACTTAATCAATGCATATTTGCACTGCTCTATGTATTTTTTCGTATTTATTACTTTAAAAAAAAATAAAGCTGTATTACACATTGTGAAATACCAAAACGAGTGCTTATGTACTCTTAGAAAAATATTGAAAGCTCTCAACATCCCTTGGCTTATTGCGTGTGGAGATGATAGCTCACTGAGAGGAGCTTATGCACCACTAGATGACCCCAGCAACCTTGTTGCTAGGCTGACGTCACATGGCATTGTTTCGCCGATGGATCTTGCAACTAAATTCCACAAATTACGTCATCGGGTATTGTGACGTTATTGTAAACTTTGTGATGCAAGGCCCCGTTCCACAAGGCGACCGTACTGTAGAGCAACGACAGTCGTTAGTCTAAGTTAAAGTATGTGAGTTGCGATAACCTTAGCGCCACGATAACTTTTTGGAACGGACGCCTGAATTTTAAAGGTAGACCGTTGTATTGTATTTAACTCATACGTTTCAACTTATGACGTGTTTGAAGTATTATTCTGTTAAACTCAATTTGGTTATGCCGTGGATCGCATAGGTGTCAGGTTATTCACACTCAACAGTATAATTCAAAATACGTTATAAATGGCAAGTAATACTCGTTTCATAAATTGGTATTACACAGGAGCTCGTTTAGTATCCTTTGTCTCTAAGATGCATGGCGTGCATGTATGTGAGAGAGAACGTATGCATGTTTCCTTATGTGTCTGTGTGTGCCTGTTTAGAATGTGTCTTTTCTGTGTCCGTCTCTGTAAATGTATGTGTGTCCGTATGTCCGTGTCCATATGTCCATGCTAAAGAACACATGTCACCACGCCATCCGTATATGTGAAATTACCCCAAATATTCATAAGCCCCACATTTTGAGTGAGTGAGTGAGTGAGTTTGGTTTAACGCCGCTTTTAACAGTATTCCAGTTATATCGCGGCGTGTCAGCTTAATGTGGGAGGAAAGCCCGAAGTGATGCAGGTCTCAAACGTTTACCACTTCGGTGAAACCCACGAGGACGGGTATGGCGCTGACAAACCTAGAAACATAATCGGGGCGAACCGGATTCGAACCCACAATCATAGGTATCTGGCGTGCCCAAGGGACGCAACTCTGCACTGCGAATCGCGGCGCCGCAGACGACTGGGACACCCGGACTAGTATAAGCAGCCACACAAACGCACACACGCGCATGCACGTCGCTATATAAGTGCAATAATCTTGGACGCGACGATAAACCCCATTTCACCTCACCACCGATTTTTCTCCTTTTCCGTCCAATGGAATCTGTTTCGGCGGATAATCGAGACTGGTTATTCTCTGGCGTTGACGTTATATATTATATTGACTAACCCTTGTTAATGTTACTATTGTGCGAGTGGATACTCCAAAGCAGTATTTTGCCTTTCCATTATAATAAAAATCCTTGAACTATTCGCAACCAACTTGAAATGAGATATAATACACGGGGTAATCGAGCATTTTTCTGCATTTTTCTGCATGAGACACGTGTCGACCTACTGATGACGTCAATCCAGTGAAATCACTCTCACTTGTCTTTGTTGTTAGCCCAAGCTGTGCTAGTTTTACGTAATGTGTTGACAGATGTACCTACCGGACCCTACGCTCTTCTCCCCCGTGTAGTACTGGTCCATTGTCTTCAACCAGCCAACGTCGTCGTGGGAATGTGCGACGATGTGCACGTTGAGCATGTCGTCTCGTACTGGATTACATAGCTGGAAGTAGATAAGCTTCGGGATTAATTTACACTTGAGTATATTACCGAATCACATGTCACAGTGTACTCGTAGGGGTATCAATGGATTAATGGGCGTTATAACACACGTGTTCCTTTGCTCTCTCTCTCTCTCTCTCTCTCTCTCTCTCTCTCTCTCGCTCTCTCTCTCTCTCTCGTAACAGATGTGACGTGTCTCTCACATATGTGACCGATGTGACGTGTCTCTCACACACGTGACCTACGTTCATGTCTCTAACACATGTAACCGATGTGACGTGTCTCTCTTACATGTGAACGATGAGACGTGTCTCTCTCACATGTGACCGTGACGTGTCTCTCACACATGTGACCGACGTTGCGTGTCTCTAACACATGTGAACAATGTGACGTGTCTCTCACACACGTGACAGACGTGGCGTGTCTCTCACACATGTGACCAATGTGACGTCTCTCTAGCATGCGACCGATGTGACGTGTCTCTCTCGCATGTGACCGTGACGTGTCTCTCACACACGTGACTGACGTTGTGTCTCTCACACATGTGAACAATGTGACGTGTCTCTCACACACGTGACAGACGTGGCGTGTCTCTCACACATGTGACCAGTGTGACGTCTCTCTAGCATTTGACCGATGTGACGTGTCTCTCTCACATGTGACCGTGACGTGTCTCTCACACACGTGACTGACGTTGTGTCTCTCACACATGTGAACAATGTGACGTGTCTCTCACACACGTGACAGACGTGGCGTGTCTCTCACACATGTGACCAGTGTGACGTCTCTCTAGCATTTGACCGATGTGACGTGTCTCTCTCACATGTGACCGTGACGTGTCTCTCACACACGTGACTGACGTTGTGTCTCTCACACATGTGAACAATGTGACGTGTCTCTCACACACGTGACAGACGTGGCGTGTCTCTCACACATGTGACCAGTGTGACGTTTCTCTAACATGCGACCGATGTGACGTGTCTCTCTCACATGTGACCGTGACGTGTCTCTCACACACGTGACCGACGTTGCGTGTATCTAACACATGTGAACAATGTGACGTGTCTGTCACACACGTGACAGACGTGGCGTGTCTCTCACACATGTGACCAATGTGACGTCTCTCTAGCATTTGACCGATGTGACGTGTCTCTCTCACATGTGACCGTGACGTGTCTCTTACACACGTGACTGACGTTGTGTCTCTCACACATGTGAACAATGTGACGTGTCTCTCACGCATGTGACCAATGTAAAGTGTCTATCACACATCGTAAGTCCACATGTCACATCAGCTCGTTTGTTCTGTAACACTGTGATAACCAATGCAGTTTGTGATCTCATAAAGTGATATAATTGGTTTAACCAACTGTTCTCAGCTCACATAAAGCGTTGAATGCACAAAATACCAGCCCCAGAGAGTCGTTTGTTGCAGACACAATAGCCTTCAGCAGACGCAATAGACTCACTTGACACCCAGACACATGTGTCCATTTAGACGTAATGCGTATATTCAGTCCAACTAAAACAATTTTAGCCGTCTCATCAAGATGTCTGGTATATAAGTGAAACCTTATATTCTTAATGGACAGACGACGGCAGAGGGAGACCTTCGGCTATTCGAGACGACCCTTCTCCAGATTAGAACGTGACTTGTGTACTTCTTAATTTGCCCTGCTTGTCACGTTAAGTCTATTTTTAAATCGGCGAATAAGCATTGGAACCAGAGAGATCGATAATATGTTTGTTCATTTGTGTATTGTTTTACGCCGCACTGAGCAAAATCCACCTATATGGCGGCGGTCTGTAAATAATCGAGTCTGCGAATCCAGTGATTGATATCATGAGCATCGATCCACGCAGTTGGGATCGATGACATGCATCAACCAAGTCAGCGAGCCTGATCACCCGATCCCGTTAGTCGCCTCTTACAAGCATAGTCGTGTTTACGGCAAGCATGGGTTGCTGAAGACCTATTCTACCCCGGATCTTCACGGGTCTCCTACCATATTTTCTAGTTATTTCGTTACGGTGTAGTATCTGGTCACCCTACATAATCCATATAGGAATTCAGGGACAAAGCAGAAATCCACGACTGTAGGAAACAGCGAATAAAATGGGTATCGGTTGGTTACTATGTCGGAGTATTGCCCTCTCTAAAAAGTTAGTTATCTGTCCTTGGCAACCACTAAAAGAAGATGATGCGCATGTGCTGGTCGAAACGTATCTACTTCCGGGAAGTGTCGCGCCATTGACGACGCCATATGTCCAGATGCTGTCAAAACAGCGATACTGTTGTAATTATAACAATCACTGTAAGTTACTACAATGTTAAGGGGGCACGGGTGGCCCAGTCGTCTAAGGCGCCACGATTCGCTGTGCAGAGTTGCGTCCCTTGGGCACGCCAGAAACCTACGTTTGTGGGCTCGAATCCCGGTTCGCCCCGATTATGTTTCTAGGTTTGTCAGCACCATACCCGTGCTCATGGGTTTCACCGAAGTGGTAAACGTCTCAGACCTGCATCACTTCGGGCTTTCCTCCCACATTAAGCTGACACGCCGCGATATAACTGGAATACTGTTAAAAGCGGCGTTAAACCCAACTCACTCACTACTACAATGTTACTATGTCTGACAGTAAACAGCAGCATAGAAGAGTCGACCATCACAGGGTCACCTTCGCTCTTACGTAGTGGTCACAGGTCGATTACAATACCATAAAAATTTGGTCTGTCTATACATGCACATCAGGCAGGCAGGTTAGAAAAACATGTTGCCTACACTTTAACATACAGTCGAAGAAAATACTTTATTTTCATTAGCGTTTACCAATGTTTCATAAGATCTGCGCTGAAACTTTGCACGAATCGCGTGTGATAGCCACACGTTATAGCGGGGGAGTGACTGATGCGTTATAAACAGACTGGCTTTTGATTCGCATCGGCTTTAACATTTTGGTGTATGGTGACTCAAGAATTGCCAAGTGAATTATATTGAAAGAACGTTTTCACATAGCTTCGACACAGTAACGTTGCCTAGATTAAGATAATTAATACTTTCTATAATTTGAACTGGCGCAATGAAGTTATGAATACTAATAGTCATAATTGTAGTGCTGCATTAATGTGACTGGCATATGATTAATAAAGATTAATTATACCAGCCCGTAACCGACAGTTACTGGGGAAACCATTTCCTTAATCATCTACAAACGAGAAACAATTATACCATTATCAGCGCTGGAAGTACTGTAGGCGGAAATATCTGCCCATAACGAATGATACGGTTACAGCTTATATTAGCACCATCTTCCAACAAAGAGAGGCGGGGCTGGGGTGGGTGTGTTGGTGTTTGGTGGTGTGTCTGGGTGAGGGGTGGGGGGGGGGGGGGGGGGTGTGTGTGTGTGTGTGTGTGTGTGGGGGGGGGGGGGGGGGGGGGGGGGGGGGGATGGTACGATGCCGTGCAGCTAGGTCATACGTCACTAGTGCCCCTACGGGGAGGTGTACTTGAGGTGTGTTCTTTGCCAACATTCTTAAAGAGTTGTCTTGATTCAGAAATACATGCTATAGAAAGCAACATTCATTTTGCTGTAGTTTTACAGTGTTTCCAAATTGGTAAAATCGTTACAATCATGCGACAGACACATATTCCTTATGTGGAGACTGACAAACGATCGACTAGTTCGTCATTATTACCTATGTACAATATGTATAATGATTCCGTAGTTTTCGATCTTAAATTCCCATTCAAGATTTCATTTTAAGTTTATTCCAATCGTTGTAAATTGAACTTTAAAGCCGTGACTACGACGTGCATGATCTTTTGTCAATGATAAATTGTCAATAGAGAGGCGCAAGTTTGTGACATCACCCGGAGGCAATCGCTGATGTGTATGCATTGCACATTCCACAATCAAAAGAAGTATCCTAACATAACGTCATTATAAAACCATTAGCGCTTCAGAAACACATTATCCAACGACAGGGCGATCTTCAAACAGTTAAGAAATGTCAACAATATCGATCGATAAGTATATACTTACATCAGGATTGCAAGTTCCCGTGAACTCTTGCTTTGCCGGCAAATCTCGACTTTGGACATGTCTCAGTGGAATATATGATTTCCTCACAGATGGACTTCTTGCACCCCAATACATGATGACCAATTGCACCGCGACGACCGGCAACGCTACCCACAGACATCGACGTAGATGAAGACGCATATTGCACTCGCCATCGACACCCAGCAAACCAGTTGTTCCTCTTGACTCTGCACTGAAACTAGGAACAATTGGCTATAAGCTTTAGCTCAACATAGGTAGTCCTTGGTTATGGGGGTTTTGTCAACAGTATAAACACAGCTTTCCCTTCTCAGCATTGACAGCTAACCGCCCTAATGCTGCCCGAGTGCTGGTTATACAGCCCCGTCACATAAAATCTATTGCCCGCTTAATTGGCCTACAGTAAACCGGTTCCGACTACAGCCCACTAGTCAACCAGCAATAATCCTTCCGCTGCTTGATGCGCTGTGTATTAATCTAGTATAATGATTCGCCAATTCAATACCTGTTAAAAAAATAATTAGCATTCACGATTATAGCAGAACGACATCAAGAGATATCATTCGAATGACAAGCCTGCTCTGTTTGAATAACTATATTTGAATATGGTGATTATTGATGGAGCTACATTCCAATACCTTAATACGCCAAGTTCATCAGACCAGTAGATTCGAATATCCTGGTTTTTGTACTAATTAAAACACGGCTGTAATGTCACTGTATTGTAACTGGTCTATTATGTTTCACGAATGGACACTTTGGTTGTGAATATATACATACCTACATTATCTGGGCTCAGCGTTTCAATTAATATTGATGTCAATTTTATGGATGTCAATTTCTTTGATATAATAAAGAAGTTGACATCCATAAATTCTCATCCTAATGTGCATCACTTTTAAATGCCTTTTGAAGACTTGATTTCAAATAATGTATTACTGTACACTGGGAATTAATGGAACTATTTCTCACTCAACTGAATGATTTCAAAGTTATCGCCAACAAATGTGTCGCCAAAGCGGCCTTGTGCACCTATTGTAAAGATCAGCCAACGACGTTACTTGATGCAAGCGCAACACCTGCCGAGAACAAGCTCCACGTGAATGATGCTCCATATCATATGAAGACTACAAAAAAAGTTATCGTTATTTTTTCAAATATTTTCACAAAAGTCTAAAAGTACGGATGTATTAAGTTTGAGAAAGTTGGGATGTTTTTAAAGTCAGTGTGACATCGACACTGCGGAGAACCGCCAGTTACTTGTCTGTTATACTTAACGCCATACCATATGAGAACAAGCACGAAGTTCCTGTGTCCCGTGAAGCTATCTATCGTATCGGGTGTTCCTGTGTTCATTGTGTTTATTATTATTCATGAATTCATGATGAAGCAAACTAACAAACTCTCTGGAATCACAACGATTACGTTTTTAAGCAAATACCGGTCTTTGAAGTTTCAGCGGTCTGTATGTTTTATTATATTTTTGCATTTAGAATATTCTAGTTTGCATATATTTCTTTTTCTGAAATTTCGTATCTTTCTGAGTCACGGTTTTAATGATCGGTTACACATAATCCTATGATTCTTATTCGTAAAAAACGATGAACTGGTAAGCTGTGAGTTTACGAGACTGTGCTTCGGGCAAAAGAATTGAATATTTATTTGTATTGGCAGCGTGGAAGTAAGTGCACATGACATCGGAATACAAAGCGAACTGGAAACAAATTCGGCCGTATGAACCGAGGAGAAACTAAACTAAAAGTGACCGAAGCTATGATTATGGAGATAAGATACTCTATGTGGGTTGTCGTGATTAGCAGGGATACATAACGGGACTGTAGATCGCATGCAATGCGAACGAGGGAAATTGACAGTTCTCCTCGCACTGATATTTACAACGTCACTCATATGTCGGTGTTTCGTCTCTGTTTGTTGTATTTACATATTGTAACCGCATCCCTCCTTAACGTGATAGAGGAACTGGCTTGACAATTAGGGCTTCACGTTAAGGATACGAAACAGTTTGACATATCTACTTATTGAGTTATTGAAATACGGTTTGCTGCAAGATGATGAATGACGATGATTTGTTTCACATATGAAAAATACAATAATACAACATTCCTACACTTCTATAGGTTTCGGGGGCGGTGGGGTAGCCGAGTGGTTGAAGCGTTCACTCGTCACGCCGAATACCCAGGTTCGATTCTCCACATGGGTACAATGTGTGAAGCCCATTTCTGGTGTCCCCCGCTGTGATATTGCTGGAATATTGCTAAAAGCGGCGTAAAACCAAACTCACTCACTCACTCTTCAGGTTTCAAGCGTTATTTTCAGTTTAGATAGCTCGTCGACATAGTGGTACAACCTGAGATAGTGGAGTTCAAAGACAAACGATTTTGAAAGTTATTTTTTGAAGATTATTCAGTGAAGCCCCGTTAATCCGGACAGAAATATCGGGGTGTTCGTTCGTAAAGAAGAGTGCCCGGATAGACGGAATCCAGATTACCAAGGTTTCATTCTACAGATGATAAAAGGTTAAAACATGTTGTTTGATAAATAGGCAAAAATATGAACCACCAAAAAACAAAGCGCATTCTTCTCCTTCATGATTCAAAGGCCCAGACGATATGACACATTGATATTTGTTTGCAAACAGAACAATACCGTCTAGCCTTAGTATACTATTTGTCAATTTCACCTACTCTGAAAATGTGTATTTTTTATGCATTCATGACTGCACGTGTTATGCACGCAGCTGTTCGCTGTTTGATCGTTGATTGTTTTGTGTGCTCTATCCCAATTGGGAAGGAAAACAGAAAGAAAATAACATTTAGTTTTCTCCGTGGGGAATGCAACAACATGATATTAGTCTGATTGCATCAAATGTCAGTTATGGCGACCACTGCAGTGCGGCAGCCATCGGGACAGACTTCGGAAAATATTTGGTGCTATGTTGTAACTCGGATAGCAGAAAGCGCCTGTTAAAGTGAGGGTAGTGTGGAGAGGGAGAGGTTGACGATAAGGATAGAAGCAGTATTGTGATAAAAAGACAAATAAAGTAAAGTATTGTATTTGATCAATTGATGAGTTTTCTGAAAACGTGACCTGCATCTTAGTGGTCATTGTTGATAACAGTGAGTGAGTCAGTATGGTTTTACGCCGCTTTTAGCAATATTCCAGCAATATCACGGCGGGGGACACCAGAAATGGGCTTCACACATTGTACCCATGTCGGGATTCGAACCAGGGTCTTCGGCGTGACGAGCGAACACTTTAACCACTAGGCTACCCGACCGCCCCCCATTGTTGATAATACGTGGACGAATCATGCTTTACAATATCTCAGCTTTGGCCTGGCTCACCTGGTGGGTATCGCTGTCTGTACTCCACACCAACTTTGTTTATTTCAATTGCTGTACTGACAAACGCATCAAGTGGTTTAATTCATCATGTAATAGGGTTTTAAGAAATGACTTGCTCAACGAAACCAAACTTTATGTCGCATCCGATTTCTATCCTAAAAATTGAATACATTTTTCTCCAGACATTGATCATGAGATGACAATGGCTCACTTCATCTACAAGTCTGCGACATTAAGAAATATAGTTATACCATTCATCCAATTAAACAAATGTCGCATCCGACTGTTGGATACGACACGATACGCTATCAATGTATGCACATGCATTTTGTTGACTCAGCAAACCTGGCAACTTATTCCCATTTCCCCTTAAGCTGATTCATCAAGTTGCAGAACAAATACCTTCAATTATCTATCGAATCCGAGAGTCGCATCCAGTCGCATTCAGACAGTGGTGTATCCGAGCACTGTGACAACTGTTTGGTGAATCACGTGTCTATATCCTGCTGTATCTGATTATTTCCGCTGCCAAGCCATCCCGGGCATTACAAGGAAGAGGGCCCGCTGTCTCTCTGGTATCAAATCATATCAACTTTCATAATTAGACTAAACCATTGTCACATAATTGTGATGAAACATTATGATTATTACACATCGATCGATGCATATTTCATTAGATGAGTGATTTGAAATGCAAGAGGCGTCTAGTTTCCCAATTAGATATCATACCAGCATTGATTTTCTTCTAATGACATAATGCAAAATGAAGTACGAGGGCGTGATAGCGTTTCTACATGCTGCATTTCATGTCACAAATGAGTACAGATGTACACTCCTGTCAACATATGTTAAAAAGCGATAAATATAATTATATATGTAATTACAACATACTTTAGACCCGTGAAGATCCGGGGTAGAATAGGACTTCAGCAACCCATTCTTGCCATAAAAGGCGATTCTGCTTTTCGTAAGGGGCGACTAACGGGATCGGGTGGTCAGGCTCGCTGACTTGGTTGATGCATGTCATCGATCCCAATAGCGTGGATCGATGCTCATGGTACCTGGATTGTCTGGTCCAGACTCGATTGTTTACAGCCCGCCGTCATATAGGTGGAATATTGCTGAGTACGGCGTTAAACAAACAAACAGACAACATAATATACAACTAGTTGTTTCAAAGATAACCAAAACTGTTTCGATGACAGCGTTAGAAATTGGCACTAGTCCCGTAGTCCTAACCAAACTGCCCAAAAGTAAAGGTATCCTAAGGACTAGTAGAAATTGGCCCATTTTAAGGGTTTTGCTATATGTTATCATTATAAGGACTGGTGGACAAAAGCTATTAGTTTCTAACCCTGGATGATGCAACAAAAAATATTTAATATTTTTTTAAAATTATGACGGGGAGAACAGAGGACTCATATTATGGTCGTGACAATAAACATTTCTCAAATGTGAACTTTTCTTCGGATTTACAGTCTGCGCTTAGCAGATGCATCAAGTCGATACGCCAAGGCTCAGTTTTCCCTCCTCCCTCTTGTCACTAATGGGAAGTATTGAAGCCGAGACTTGCGAAACACACGAGAGTACTTCTCCCACCAACAAACCCCCACCTCGACCCCGGGGGAGCCTAATGGTTCACGTGCTGGCTTGTCACGCACTCTGTCTTTGTTCAATGCCAAATGAACGATGCCAAACTGTATGTTCCCCGCCGTGGTGCTAAGGCTCCAGCGCTTTTACAAAAAGAATAATTACAGCGGAACTCACACCTTCCTGACGTGTTCGTGTGAACAAAATGGTTAATCTGTGATCTTGTTTCTGGAGACACGTAATCACGCTCGATTCGAAAGGACGC